ATCTTCCTTTCCCAATACATCCAAGATATCGAATAAATTGCTTGATTTAAAGTCACGCCATGTAATTTTATTGTTATCCTTTCGACACAAATGAAAGAATATTCTATGAATTACTGTGTCTGCATATCGTTCTTAAAATTCCGGTGTTGCTTACAAAAATTCCAACCCCGGATGCTATTCAAGTAAAACTATTTAGGAAAGAGAATGTACTCTTCATGAAAGGTTTGAAATCATCAAATTAAATGAAGTCATTCTTTGGTTTTTTGAGAATATGAAAGCACCTCTGTTTTGGTTCTTTTTATGCTAATTGCTAATTCCAATACTTGATAAAAGCAGTTTTACTAATTTTGTTGCCTGTACCCTCTACTGCTGTCATTAAAATTCTTGTTAAGTATTTGCATAGACCACACAAATTTGTAGTGATCTGCTCAAAATGGCTAGCATCAATCTGCTCAGCTTTACCAAATATTTCGTTGATTATTTTCTATAATACTATAAATATGTGGTCTATACATTCTATTCTTATTGTAATTATAAATTGATCTCTTATGTTGGGAAATAGAATTGGGCAACCAAATCGTAATTCGATACTTCTTCTACATGTAGCTTTTTCTAAATTATTTATGATTATGTCAATGATTGTGATAAATCTTCTGGAATACGCGATTTAGTTTCATGAAATGAGTCTGCACGAGGAGGAGTTGAAGGACCTAAGCTTTTTTTGTTAGGTGAGCTTAAGAGAGCACTTTGTGACATCCCAGACATAGTCATCTTATTTGTGAAAAAAGCATTAGGTTGAGTAATAAGATTATTTTACTTTCCTTCCCGCACATCCTTTATCAGTTGATGTACTAACTTTTATGTTTAAGGTAAAGTTAGCCATTTAATAAAGAGATCATCAACTCTATTTTTGGCCAATTAATATCTAATATTTTGTGTAAGTGGGAAACCTGCTCCAACTCCTTCAGAATACGATTTCTAAAGCATAAAATAATTAAAATATCTTTTTAATTCGATGTTTGCTATCACAAAGTAGGCATTGTTTAGGCAATAAGCAATGAAACTCATGAATCGATTTGCTGTAGTTGCCAATAATAAACCAGAAAAAGGACCATCACAAGTAATATTAAATATTAATGATAAAAGGGTCATTTGACAGACAAATACACAGTCATTGATCACACCTATGATGCAGTAGTTGTAGGAGCAGGTGGAGCTGGTTTAAGAGCAGCCTTTGGTTTAGTTGAATTAGGTTTTAAGACTGCATGCATATCTAAGTTATTTCCAACTAGATCCCATACTGTTGCAGCCTAAGGAGGAATTAATGCAGCATTGGGCAATATGACAGAAGACGACTGGAGATGGTATCAATGATCAAAATTTAGTTAGGCATGCATATGATACTATTAAAGGATCCGATTGGTTGGGTGACTAAGATGCCATCACATATATGTGCAAGGAAGCACCGAAGGCAGTTTATGAATTGGAAAGTTATGGTTTACCATTCTCTCGTACTCCTGAAGGCAAAATTTATTAGAGAGCATTTGGAGGTTAAAGTTTGAAGTTTGGAACAGGAGGATAAGCTTATAGATGTTGTGCAGTGGCTGATCGTACTGGACATGCTATGTTACACACACTTTTTGGCAGAGCTTTAGGTTACGATTGCATTTTCTTTGTTGAATATTTTGCACTTGATTTAATGATGGATGAATAAGGGTAATTTTATATTTATTATAAATTTGTAGAGCTTGCAGAGGAGTTGTATGCATGTCAATGGCAGATGGTTCAATCCATAGAATCAGAGCTGGATATACAGTCATTGCAACTGGAGGGTATGGAAGAGCATTCCAATCATGCACATCAGCACATACATGCACTGGTGATGGTGGTGGTATGACCATTAGAGCTGGTCTACCCATGGAAGACTTAGAATTTGTATAATTTCATCCTACAGGTATTTATGGATCTGGATGTCTTATGACTGAAGGATGTAGAGGAGAAGGAGGTATTCTTAGAAATTCATTGGGTGAGAGATTTATGGAAAGATATGCTCCTACTGCTAAAGATTTAGCTAGTAGAGATGTCGTCTCTAGAGCTATGACTAAAGAGATATTAGAAGGAAGAGGGTAATTATTATTATATTATTATCATTTTTAGAGTTGGACCAGAAAAAGACCATATTTATTTACATTTAAATCATTTACCTGCTGAATTATTACATGAAAGATTGCCAGGTATCAGTGAAGCAGCTAAGATTTTTGCTGGAGTTGATGTTACCAAAGAACCAGCACCAGTATTGCCAACTGTTCATTACAATATGGGTGGAATACCTACAAATTTCAAAACAGAAGTGTTAAATCAAGTTAATGGAAAAGACTCAATTGTTCCAGGACTTTTAGCTGCAGGTGAAGCTGCTTGTGCTTCAGTTCATGGTGCAAATAGATTAGGAGCCAATTCGTTATTAGATATTGTTGTCTTTGGAAGATAAGCTGCCAATTTAGTAGGTGAAAAATGGAAGCCAGGATAGAAATAACCAGATCTCCCCAAGAATGCTGGAGAAGCTGCCATTGCTAGAATTGATAGACTTAGACATCATGAGGGATCATAAACTATTGCTTAAGTTAGAAAGGATTTATAGAGAACTATGTAGAAACATGCTGCCGTTTTCAGAATTGAGAAGACTCTATAAGAAGGTGTGGAGAAGGTTAAGGAAATCTATTCAAGAAAAGATGATGTTAGAATCAAAGATAAGGGACTAGTTTGGAATTCTGATCTTATTGAAGGATTAGAATTAGAGAACTTATTATGTACTTATCATTTTATATCTAATACTAGTATAAGGAAAAATGACCATAGAAGGAGCACTTAATAGAAAAGAATCTAGAGGTGCTCATGCTAGAGATGATTTTCCAGATAGAGATGATAAAAATTGGATGAAACATACTCTTGCTAGAATTCAAGATACTAAGTCAGGAGATGTTTAATTGACTTATAGAGATGTAAATATCTATTCATTAATATTTTCATAGGTTATCACAAAAACCCAGGATCCTAAAGAATTTGACACTGTACCACCTAAGAAGAGAGTCTATTGATAATAATAAATAAAAATATATATAATTATTTAAAACTCCATTCAAATCTCTGTTTGATTTTAAATATTGTTTATTTAACTTATTCTGTGCTGAATAGTTCTAAATTCATATCATGCATTATTTCTATTTATTTTAACATTCTTAATTTTATATCTATGGTATTTATTTTTTCTCAAACCTATTTGAACTAATTTTGTAATTTTCAATAACATCTAATTAAAAATAAGACAATAGGATTTAATCTAATGCAAGACTTTAATCTAAACTTTCAAGTTTAATTTCTAACTTAAAATGGAAAGAACTCTCTTTGCTAACACTTTTAAACCTTGATAAACAATTATTGTTTTTCTTATTGGATATACGTGACTTGATAAGCAACCCAGAAAATTATATTATTAAGTTTAAATAAATAAGAGAGGATGAAAATAAAGTCAAATCATTTTTTGAAACCATCGATTGAAGGTAAACAATTATTTGAAATACTCAAAAATATCTCCTATCTAATCTGGATTTAGTATGATAAAGGTGTTAACGAAATCATAAGAAGAGTCACATGAATAGAAGAACAAGAATAAACTTTTACAATTTTAGTTAATTATTATAATCACAAATGAAATTTAATGAACGTTTTTAGTTCTAATCAAAGTAGGAGGAAATTAATTTAGATAAGGAAGCTTCTGATATTGCTTAAAGAATCATGGAAAAGGTTCGGTAAAGATCAAAAGCAAAGTCTGATCAAAGGGAGTTGGCTTCTTAATATTAAAGAGCAAGTGATTATAAGCCTAGACAATTGTTTCAAGACAATTAATTAGAAATTAGAAGACAATCTGAGAAGGTTACTAAAGGAACAAATGAATAAATGGGAAGGAAACTAGAAATTTTTGTTCCTGAATTTAAAATCAGCAAGGACAACAAGGCTTAAGAGATGACTCGTTTAGAGAACCAATTAAGAATGGAATACTTAAAAACCCCTATAAAAACTCAGCTTTAACTTAATGGACAAGGAATTAAGGATGCACATTAAAAGACAGTTAAATTAAATAATTAAGAAACTATGGGTTTTTAGGAGCAAAAGAGTGCAAAGTAGTTCTAAATAATGTATAAAATTCTCTGTATGAAGGTATGATCAAACTAAACCATCAAATGGTCAAATGGACTAACTGAGCAGTAAAAGATTTTCATCTCCCAAGCGTAACCACCTAAAACTAGATAGTAATTAACAGACTAAATCTTCCTTGTATTTGAAAACTACTTAATACTAAACACCTGCTTCGGTCTAAATCTAATAATCAGACATAGTTACCCAATTATTAGGGAGCTAAAAGAAGTAAAACAGAAATTATGTAGAGCAAATCACTAAACGATGAAAACCTAAACTTTTTGATTTTAAACTATGTTAATTTTACTTTATTAATAAATAAAATAAAAATAAACTTATTTATTAATAAACCTTTATTATTCTTGTAATATATTTTATTAAAATTTAAAATGCCCAACTTGACAAAGAGTAATTCTTAATTTATATCATTTTTAACTTGTAGAATAAATCAATCATATAGTGGCTAATACCTTTGTAATATCATTGAATTATTATAAGGCAATTGTTTTAATTATATACTATTATTCTAATAGAACAGAATGAAAATTTAATTTAATTCTGTTGCTAATTACTATTCAAATGAAAGCCCATTCTTCGAGCATTAATTACAAAACTGTTTCTTGGTATAATAATAAGGTCAGTCCTGAGTTTAATATTCAACATATCATGTTATTTGAAAGTACAGTGCATTTGTTATTCTCTACTTTCAAATGTATAATGAATATATATTAAGGAAACGATGATATAAACTTTCTGAAGGGAATTTTAAATATTATATTTTTTTTCAGAGTTCTTAATTAAATTTATCAATATGGTTTTATTTTTAAGATTTACAGTCGTGCTTTTCGATCTTATTAAAAATTATTATTGTTAGTTTCAGGTAATTCAAAATGTTTAATGAACCCTTTGCTTTGAAATTTCATTTATGTTGCTTTTATTATTTAATTTATAAATGATAAAAAACTTGAGCTTAGCTTTTAATTCTATAGAAATGGAATATGCCTATCGAGAATGGTCATTTAATAATAACCATTATCGCCTTTAAATATTTTTCAGTTTTATAGGAGGATATTTAATTGTGATGATCATCAAATTTAACAACACAAATACATTGCTTCCCTTAATTATCTCATGCATAAGCTTGTGTCTTGAACTTACTCTTCTTTTTTTCATTAGAAAGTATAAAGAAAAAGTCGAAATAATAATGACATTGAATCAAATACTCTTATCTGTAATTTGCGAGTTTTATCGGATTTTTGCTCAAAAATCAAACCTATGGTATTTAGGGTATAGCCTTGCTTGCATGAAACTAAGTAAGCGTTTTTGCTATTTTATTTTAGTAATTTATGCTCGAGGCAATAAATTTATTGTATAAACTGGTCTGTAAGTGATTTGTCAATGCTGCTCATTTATTTTTATGGAAGAAGAAGATGTCTACTTTATAGTGAGTCATAATCTGTTAACTTTTCTATTGGTCATATTTAGATATTAACTTGAATTAATAAATCGAAAATATTTTATTGCCAGTCAATCCTAATGCTAGTATGAAAATTTGATCTAAGATCTACTTCCTTCCTGGGTTGTCATAGTGAAATATGATAAGATGCAAGGATAATTGTGTATTGACAAAATAAATAGAAATATGCAAGACAAATTTGACATTAAAAATGATAAATGTTTTAGGGAGTTCTTAAGAAATTTAAAAGTGTTACCACACGAGTTTGAAAGGCAGAATGTTTAATTTATTAAACTCGAGCATACCCTTATTCGATAACTGTAAACGAATAGGGAAGATTAAACAGTTGAAAGATATCACGCCTTTATGGATAAAAAGGATAGCAAAACGAAATAATAGAAATTTAAGATTACATAGGTGTTTTTTAAAACTTTTGAACCCTCAATTATACTTCTTTTTGAAGAAATTAAAGAGGACAAATATGATCAACTATTGTATTAAGTTTAATAGAGAGATTATACATCTTGCACAAATGCAAGAATATCACTTACGAATTTAAAAAAATAAATTTAAATATTAAAATATTTAAAATCTCTAATCCCATAATGGTTTAACGGGAAACAATCACAATTTATTAATTCACTTACAACAAACATCATGGATTAAATTCAAAATGGTTATATTATGTTTAATCTGAATTTCGATGTTTTAAATCTCTTTAAAATATCTCATCGACAACTGAAATTTGAAATAAATTAAATTTAACCTTCAATTTTGATGGAATAACTATGCGAAGACTTGTAATTATCCAGGAAGCTGATTAATAAGTATGTAGTTTCAGCAGAGTTTACTGAGATTATTAAAACTGATAAGGCTAAATTAATTTCTATCATAATTAATCTAGTTGAATTTTGTAAGATTTTACTTTCGATAATACACGGAGATGATAAAATTTTATCTTAGGCTATACCATTAGGATCTCAAATTTAAATTCATCTTAAATAAACGAAACAATAGAATAATTGTATAAAAATTAGTTTAACGCATCCTAAATTATTTATTTCTCCTTTCGTTAGGGATCTATTCGGAAATATAGAAACATCTATTGATCATAAAAAAAGAAATTGGAGTTCGAGAAACTATTTTGAAATGATTAATTAACTTAATTCTACTTTTTAATAAATCTACGAATACTACAAAAAAGACCATAAATCTACAGGTTTAATAGAAGATGATTTTCATTATTTATTTTAGAACTAAAAATCAAATTTGAATATCAGTGAGGAATCAAGAGGATTTACCCACTAAAATAATGTTCAACCTTAATTTTAATTCAATGTTTTAGGTTATCCTATGGCTTAATATTTGATTAGTTAATTAGGACCATGGAATAAGATAAGGTTCAAGAATAGATATTAAAATTTCATATCAACTCCTTCTTAATAAAATATTAATACTCAGAACACAAAATTGTAATTTCTTCTTTATTAAGACTTAAATGATTTTATATAGGAGTTAAATTAATTAGAAAAACCCATTCTTGAAACTTATCAAAAAAAGAAATTAAGTAATCATGATATCAGCTAAAAATTTTACTATGCTTAGTTGGCATCTTCTCCTAGAAAATTTGGGTGATAATTTCATTCTTTTATTAATCTGGTTATAAAAATTTAATTTATGTATAAAAAAACTTTCTTCAAAAATCAGACTTATCTGATTAAAAACTAATTTTATGCTTTCCCAACTGTTTAAAGCAATTTAATCGAGGTAAATTTGAGATACTAAATTGCGGAGTAATGTTAAGTTTCTGTAATAATTCTGAATAATAAAAGATTATTTTATCAGCTAGATTCTAATTGTTAGAGCTTAGTTTTATTTGTGCTTATTTATCTTAAGATATTAATGAGCTAGTTTTCTTTTTCTTTATAGAATTCTCTGGATGTATATATTAACATCTCGATCCATAATTACACCAACCATCTTTTATAAAATTTTTACATGGCTTTGTCTTGTAGTTTTAATGGAGATGCGCCTTAGGTAAAAGTTCAGAGTGGCCATGGGCATATGAACACTTTATCATTAATTTAATATAATACTTCAATACCAAATTTGCAAGATCCTTTAAGCATAAAGTTCTTGCATAATTCTGTCTTTTTCTTTTTTGTGTATTCATCTATAAACTTTTATTTTTCAACAGAAGTAGAAAACCTCCTACTTTTTGACCTGACTCTAAGTATTATGTTTCATCATACCCTATTTCTATTTCTTCGTCATTTGTATTGATAAAATCTAATAAAATTGTTGTGGACTGCCAATCATCTTGCCATTTTATAATAGAATTTTATATCATAATTATAAATTATATATCGAGATTTTATGAAAGAAGATCGCTAAATAAAATAGCAAAATTCTATTAAAAAAAAAATATATATATATGTTTGATCAATCTTAGTATAAATTCTGGAAATTCAATACTAATGAATATATATGTAACGCAATGCTCTCTAGCTTTCAGTTGAAAAACCCTTAAGGTTTTATCTTTATTCACTTATTTAAAGAAGGATTCAAGAATTACGTTTAGTGTTTTTACAATCGAGTTGTCCAAAGTCTTATTATTATAGCGTGTGTAAGACTACTAATAAACATCAAAATCTATAATTTAGTGTAGAAGATATTCTGAAATATAAACTATAAAGATCTACAAAAAGAATTGTTTAAAATATTTATTAATTTTAAATATTCGACTTTATTTTTAATAAGGTTTTTATACAGAAAATTGATAATTATCAATTAATTTTTATGCAATACATAAAAACATAGCAATATTTTAGAAAAATGAGAATAAACTAATTTAAAATCGGATACATAATCTTTTCAAAATTTAGGATTTCAAATTACTTGAACATATATAATCTCTATTAATTAAAATAAATTATATATTCATAAATAGTAAGGGTCTATTAAATAAGTAGAATATATTATCTTAGAGAAATATAAATTTTATTATAATTTCATTGATGTTATATTCATTATCATAATTGTGGTATCAATTCATAAGGTGTATGCAAGCATTCTTCAGAGCCAGATATGTTTGATACATTATCTATATATACATAAAATATATTACCTTCGTTCTAATCCGATTATGTAAATCTGATTTCAAGGTTTTCAGGTACAATATAGGAAAATACTTTGAATCCTTTTAGCTCTTCCGTTATTACTGGGAATTCTCCACATAAGTTTATACTTCTTCCCTTAAAATAGCACTTGTCAAACACTTATAAGCAACTATCATCCTCTTGCTATTCAAAGTCAACATTCTTTTAGATCATCCTATGATTCTATGATTTCAATCCATCTTTAGTATTAAAATGCCTTTCATTAACATAATTATGACCATAATGGATAGTCTAATTATAAGGACCATAAAAATATGGATAGTTAATATTCTTATTGTGTAAATAATAGCCAGGATCGTCTTCTATTATTTTTTCATATGGTTCGTAGTAATATGGACCTATGTCATCATAACCATAACAATTATAATAGCCAACTTAATCTCTATATCTCTAAACCTGTTGTTTTGAATGCTATTACTACTGCTATCTAAGATATATTTCTCTTAATTGATATTCTGGATCCTAATATTTTCCTCTATATAAATTTGAGTGCCTCCTATACCCAGAATTAGGGGAATAATTTTATCGAACCATCCAAGGAACACAACTTGTAGGAGAAGTTTATTTACTATATGGATTAAGTCTTAGATATGGATTACCATTATAATAAGGATTTGAATTAACAACTTAGCGATGCCTATAAGGATAACCACTAAATGGGTTTTCTAGATTTGAATATCTGTTCTATTTATTCATACACCGATATCTCCAAATTAAATCTTCATCAAACAATTCATCTCCAGGATATCTACCTGGATAATTATAAGGGTAATGTAACTTTTTATTCTTTCTATGATGATAATAAGGATGATTTCTTATATATCTTCCATTTCCATCATACAATTCATCATCCTCTTCCTCTTCTTCCTCCTTATTCCCATTCCCTTTGCTTTTACCCTTCTTTTTTGTTTTGTCTTTTGAATTAAACCCTCTCCATTAATCATCTTCATCCATCTCTTCTCCTTTCTCCTCTTCATTTTATTTTTCTTCGGCATTCTCTTTTTCTTCATTATTTTCTTAATCTTGAGCTTATTCATCTTCATTTTCTTTCTCTTCGTTTTTTTCTTATTCTTAATTCTCCTAGTCTTCATTTTCTTATTCTTAATTCTCTTGGTCTTGGTCTTGGTTTTCTTATTCTTGTTCTTACTCTTGTTCTTACTCTTGCTCTTTATCTTCATTTTCAACTTCATTTTTTGGTTTTGCTTATGATTTAGCCTTAGATTTAGGTTATTCTTTATTTTATTATTTTTCTTTTTCTTTATTCTTCTCTTTTTCCTTAGCTTATGATTAAGGTTTTTCTTAGGATTTATTTTTCGGCTCTCCCTTATTTTTGTCTTAACTTTTATTTTATGCCTTATTCTAAGTTTTATTTTAGGATTTATTCTTTTATTATTTTTCTTAGTCATCTTATTATTGTGATTCTTTTGCTTCGTCTTCTGCTTCTTGATTATTTTTATTTTTATTGGCTTTTTATTGTTTTTATTAATTATTTTTTTCTTCTTTTTAATCAACTTCTTCTCCTTCGTTCTAAGATTTTTCTTCATTCTCATTAAGTTTTACATCCTTTTATTTTGCATTGACAAAATTATATTCAATTATGATTCTATCTGCAATGATAGGGATAGTAGAATCTTCTTATTAATAGTTCTTTTGTTTTCCTCTTAAATTTTATTTTTAACCTTAATAACTCTATCCATTTAAATTTTCCTTTATATCATCGTAATCCCTCTCTTCTCTGGATATGTGATGAGAATGATGATGGAAATGTTTTATTTAAGGTTCTCTATGATGATGACTTAAATGTCTTCTAGCATGATAATCATAGTCACTATCATAATCACTGTACATTGATGAATAAACATCATAGTCATAATAGTCATCAGGCTCTTGATATTATTTTTTATGACTTTAATAAACCTTATTTTCATTTTTTTTTTCTCCAAATAGTTAATTTTACTCTCTAGGCTCCTACTTCGAATTAGAGTCTTATTGATTATCTTAGGTTGTAAATACCAGTTATTATTATTACTCATATTATTGCTGTTATTATTATTATTATTATTATTATTATTATTATTATTATTATTATTATTGTTATTGTTATTGTTATTGTTATTGTTATTGTTATTGTTATTGTTATTGTTATTGTTATTGTTATTGTTATTATTGTTGTTGTTATAACTCTTATTGTTAGTATTTTTACTACTCTTATTATTATTCTTATAAATTAAAACTTTAGGAATCTTAATATGATTTAATTTAATCCTCTTAAATGATTTTGGACTGTGAATTATCTTAATCATCCAAAATAATCTCTTCTACTTTTGCTTATTATTCTATTATCATACCATCCTATTAATTTTATAAATTTAATTTATGTGTATCTTAAAATTATAGTATTTAATTTTGTTTTTCTTGATTACTATTATTATGACTTTATAAAATTGATGGAGCTTGATCACTATTTTATATTTCATTATTTTGGCTGGTTTAGATTGATGTTTTACTACCTGTAGTTTATTAATCCTCATTAAATTAAAAGACTTCTACATCTTGATTATCTTAACTTATCCAACTCATTGGATCTTCATAAACAATAAAATCAATGTTCTACTAATTCTCATTGTCTGTCTACAATAAACTTTATTATTGATCATTCTTAAAATCATTCTATTAAGTTAGTGCTTCTTCATGTTTATCGTATATGATTTCTTTTTAAATTTACTCAACATCATCCTTTAAAAATATTTCAGGATCTTAAGGAATATAAACTCCATTTAATGTCTTATATATAGATTTTTCATCTAAATTATGAGATAATTCTAAAATTGAAATTTAATTAGCATCATCCTCAATTTTATCTTTAATGTTAAAATTTTAAATAGGTTCAATTATAAAATTTCTATCTTAGTGCTCTTTATTAATGCTTAAAGGATCCTAATATTTTGATTCTGAATCAACTGAATATTATTATAAAAAGATGCCATTGATTTATAATAGCTATTTAATTCTCTCCAAGGATTTACAATTTGATTTTTAAATAAAAGTAGCGAAATGATTGATTAACATCTCAGGTTAATATTTTTTCTTAGACTCAATAGAGAAAATATAATTTTCACATTTTTTAATGTCTTAACCTAACTTAGATTTAATTAGAAATAGTACATTTTTTGGTTTGGATTATATATATGTAACTTTATGAGTTGTTACAGAACTCCTAATGCCATAAATAAGTAGAATTTTTTATTAGAATTTAATCTTGCATACTTATATTGCAAGAATTTGTTTGTATTTCTTAAATAATTTCATACTCGCTTTAAACAACAGCATAAAATATATTATTATGTAAGTTAAAATCTTAAAGGTACTTATATTTTGAAAACTAGGCTAAGATTATTTAAAATTTTACCTTTTAATATATTTGCTGGGTATATTTGGAAGATGTCTGTTTATTCGATAAAATGCTGTAACTATAAATCAGTTCTGCATTCATTAATTTTACAAATTCTATTCAATTAATTCAAATTTGAAATGATGTTATTTATTTGGGCTTCTACATTTTACGGAGTTACAAATATCATTTAGAGAAAAATTGATTCAGAGTCATCATATATTTATTATAGACTAATTTTACCAAAGTCTTTTAGGTTGAATTCTTTATATGAAGTTTGAGAAAATGTAATGATATTCAAATAAATTTGGTTTTCATCATCTATAAAAAATTTCATTTGTTTATGCAAAAGCCCACCAACATAATTGCTTTTTATTTGATAATCAGGAAAATTAAAGTACACATTAATCTAAAGAATAATTTTCATCTTACATCAAATTCCTTGTTAGCTTAAATTATTAGCACATCTTAGTAATCTTATATTTAGTTTGTTGAATTGAATGCTATCTAATATGTGGAGTCTGAAGCTTTAATCCCAAACATGTTATTCTCCAATTGTAAAATTTATATATATTCATCTATTCCATTCAGAATTTCACAAAATAATTTGGATTTTATAATTTAGTTTTCTTGATTTAGTTCTTTTTAACCATAAACTGACATCATTAGTATATAAGTGAGCAGAAAAGTTGTCCGTTTTAAAAAAAATTTCATTAAAAAAATAAAAAAAATTAATTATTAATTTAAAAGCAAATAAAATATATGTTCATTTTTAAATTAAAGGAATTAATCCAAATTATGAAAAACAATATATTTATTTAACTTCATTAAAAATTAATTTAAAAAAAGGCACAGAGCATTTTATTGTGAGAAAAATACTTTGAAGAAAGTTATGAAAAAATCCTTTAAATATTATCATAGCTATGGCAATTAATTAACTCATTAATTTTATATCATCTCTTAAACTAATCTGTCTCCATTTATAATATGTGTTGTACATATTTATATATCCTTTTCTAAAAAATAAGAAATTAAATTACTGTAGCGCTGTCCTAACCAACGAATCGCAGCAATTTCGCCATACGTGACTCCTCCAATAAAGTAAATCACATAAATTTAATTTGCATCATCTTTTCCTTCTTCATTTTTATTTTAATTTAGATTTTATTGTATAACAATATCACCAGGCATTTCTTTTAGTGCTTGCAATACGATTGGTCCCCAAGTATTTTTTAAGATTAATTCTTCAAAAATTCGAACTCTCATTAATAAGTAAATAATACATTATAGGCGCATATGCAAGAAAAACATAAGAAAAATCCTCTGGGGCATCGTGATCAATATCTTCATTAATCAGACGCAAAGGTTTTTCAATTTTTTCCCAGATATGAGTATCATTCAGTTTTTTTCCTATTAAACCCATTTTTTCACAATTTTCAAGGGTCATAATGTGCTCAATGCCATACATATGTAAAATTTCTCTGCGATAAAAATCATAGAGTTTGGTCTTCATTCCGTTCTATATTTAATTGTAAAGACTAAACAATCGAATAACTTTAGTGATAGGGGCCCCAAAAGAAATAAGATTTTCGATCATTTACTCAACTTATGATGACTTAGTTTAAAGTATAGCATGCACTTCCTAATTAACGCACATATTAAATAAAATGGATTCCAGCTATTTGCTTAAATGTTAACTAACAATAAGATCTGTAATAGTGTAAATTATTACGGTCAAGAATAATGTTTTGTTCTTTGGGTAGCATTCGCAATTTGGAGAGATACTAATTCATATCGCTCATATTCATTTTATTATCTGCTTATTTCATGGATTGAATCGTCTATTTGTTATTCTGTCTCTTTTCTTCAAGAACCCTTTGGCAGTGCTTTATGTTCATAATTTTGATTCTATTGTAATAGGAATCATTTAGTTTCATCGTTTTTGGTCTGCCCTTTAAGGCTTATTCGTTTTTAATAATTTCTAGATTAATTGAATTGTGTTTGATAGAAAACACCTCATCAATCAAAGCCTCATAAGTGAATGGAGTCAACATAGGAGTGATGAAGTCTAATTTTCTCTCTATAATTAAAAGCGTATGCATTTTAGATTCCTTTAAACTCAACTCATCTTCAATCAATTCTCCTTATTGCTTCTTTTATTTGAGTATATCAATGACGGATTTGGAGAAATTTCCTTTGGCATAGATATTCTTAAACTTGCCATGAACTAACTCCATTCTTTAAATGGACTCAGCAACAGTTTACAAAATAGACATATCTTGTCCAATATATAATGGTCTAAGGCAATTATTCATCTCCAATGAAAGCAAATCACTTGCCAAAGGTATTAGGTCGAAATTGAAATTGGTTATAATCAAATCTCCCAAAACAGCCTCTTTTTCTAAATAATCTTTGCATACAATATTCATTCTAGGACATAAGATTAATAAGTATTTTCTATTCAAATTCTTTAGTTAATTGTTTCTGATGATTCTTACGATTCTTTTCATGTGTTGTCTATCGTGATTCACAAAAAATATAATCTAATTTATTTCCACATCCAATTAATCATAATCATTATAATAGATTGATTCAATGCCATTTTCCTTCAAAATCTAATCAGATTCAATAACCAAATTAAGCATGTCTGCAATAAATTCATCAATGACAAGAATCTTTTTGCCAACAAACTAATTTTTTCATAATATTTGAACACTTACTTAATTCAATTTATTGATTAACTTTTGTCTCAAATACTTTTGATAAATGGCAGTTTAAAAGGATGACTAGTAATTTTCGAAATTGCTTAAGTTGACTTTAACTGAATTGGAAGGAACTCCACTTTATTTGACTTTCTATGCCACTTATTCAAATGAGTCTTTGATAAATTGGAACATTTATTACTTATGAATATTAATAATTTAACGATATTGAAATTATGCTGCAGAAGAAGGACTCTGACAAGGAAAATGCTTCTTATAAAGACAAAGATTCACAAAAACAAAGAGTGATAGGAGATTACTTATTAGGTTTGTAGTTTTTTCTATTTGAGTGAAAACTCTTGGAGTGGGTACTTTCGGTCTAGTTAAATTGGGAGTGCATCAAATAACAGGAGAGAAAGTAGCCATTAAAATATTGGAGAAGGAGCGAATTGTGGAAGTAGCTGATGTAGAAAGAGTGTCAAGGGAAATACATATTTTAAAATTGATCAGACATAGACATGTTATCCAACTATATGAGGTATATTTGTGTCTAGACTATGATAGATTATAGAGACTAAGAAGCATATATTTTTAGTGATGGAATTTTGTGATAACGGAGAACTTTTTGATTACATTGTGAAAAATGAAAAGTAATACCCTTCAATTAATTGATTAGACTGGAAGAAGTAGAAGCCTGTCGAATATTCTAGGAACTGATCTCTGGCATTGAGTATATTCACAAACTAAACATCGTCCATAGAGATTTAAAACCTGAAAATCTTCTATTAGATCATCATAACCAAATTAAAATAGTAGATTTCGGACTTTCCAATACCTATAAAGAAGGGGAATTGCTTAAAACAGCATGTGGAAGTCCGTGCTATGCTGCACCAGAAATGATTGCTGGCCATAAATATCAAAGTATCTTGGTTGATATTTGGTCATGTGGAGTAATATTGTTTGCCACCATTTGTGGTCAATTACCATTTGAAGATAAACATACAAGTGAATTATACAAAAAGATACTTAATGGATAGTATACAATACCATCACATGTCTCATCCGATGGTCAATCCTTTATTAGAGGATTATTGAACACAGATCCCAAAAAGAGATTCGATCTTGACTAGATTAAATCTCATCCATGGTTTAAGTTGTATAAGAGAGTTCATTCGATTCCTTAAGGAATTATTATTGGATATAGTCGAATTCCTATCGATGATGACATCGTTGATTAACTTGCTCAAAAAGGATACAATGCTGATTATATAAAGAAGTGCCTAGATGCTAATAAACACAATAATCTAACTACAGCATATTTTCTGCTCCTAAAAAAGCATTTAATTAAAGGAGGTTAATCAACAGCAGATATTAATTCTTAAAATTTTAATGAAAAACTGTTAGAACCAGCTACAAGACCTACTAAACGTATATCGTACTTTAAATAATTAGCTCCTATAAGTAATTTATTAGATAGTTAATTGATGAAAACACTCAAGCACAACAGATCTGGATCTTGTTAACCAAATTAAAAATCACATACACAAGGGAGAGGAATGTCTGTACCTTAGGTTGAAGATATTAGATCTATATACAATGGATCCAAGAATTATCAGAATTCATCCTTATCAATTGAAGTAACCATCTAATCAATTTCTAATAGGATCAGTCCTTTTTATTTGAAAGAAACAAATCTTAATCATTCCAATAGAATCACAACAAGAAAATGCCAACTGATATTTAAATCAATGACGCATTGAATAAGACTACTTACATAAACACAAGCAAAAGATCTTCTAATGCATCAACTGTTTCCCCTGGACATCAAAATAAGTTGCTTCAATACTTAAGTACAAAATAATAATAAAATAGAATCATCAACAAAGACTACTACTCCAACAGCAGTAAGAGGGAACTCCTAATAAAAAATGCCTTACACTAGTAAGACTACAAAGAATCAAAAGGCTTCCTACTCAAATTTTGATAATCACAACAATTCTGTAATGGAAAAAAAGAAAGAAAATAAACCCATAAATTTAGCAGATGCCACAAACATTGATAGCAAGAAAAGATCTTTGCATATAGAAGGAGTAAACATTACATTTTATAGTTTAGGATCTCTCCATGCCTGCTAGTACTAAACCATAATCAATGCCATATCAATTATGGCTAAAGATGAATAGTAGAAAAGGATCGAGAGATTATAGTGGGGGAGGATCGAAGACAAAAAAATCAAATGGTAGTGCCAAAGCTAATACAAATCAGAGCTTTAACTTTGACAAGAGGGCATGATTTCCTCTTACATAATTAATTTATTCTTTCCAATTTGTATATTAATTTATATCCATTTGTAAAGAGGAGAGCATTCGAATCACTTTGACGATCAATTGAAAAAAACGCAAATAATGATCTGTTGTTAATATACTAACAAATAGGTAATGGTTTGCTCATTTTTCTACTTTTCCAAGCCACAAAGCCAAAAGTGACTTTCCTTTAACTGCGATAATCTTAAATCTGACCCCTGGAATATCACCGACTGCATGTCCCTTTCTTCCGAATCCGGCGACAGTGACTTCATCGTTTTCATTTAAGAAGTTTAAGCAACCATCCTTTGGGACGAAGGCTGAAATTTTTTTGCCATTCTTTTTCAATAATACTCTAACACACTTTCTGACGGCAGAGTTTGGTTATTTGGATTCACTATTTAGAGTTTATAAGGGTAAATTTACACTCCAATCTTTTCAACAACTAAACCTTTAGCATGTGATGCACCCATAAATGGATTCTTATATCTTGAACCGATCATAGCCTTATTGTATTCCTTATCAGCCCATCTGTTAACTCTTCTATGATCTTTGAGCTTTCTTCCCGCTCTCATACCTCTGGGTTTACCAACTCCCATGATTAAAAGATTTTAAATAAATTATTTAAATTTTCAGAATATGATTAACACAATATAAAATTGCATTAGATAAATGTTAAATATACATAATCATAATTATTTTCTATCATTATAACCTGAATTTCTAACAACTGAATTTCTCCCACTGTTGTTAGTTCCATATTGGCTATATCCCCCAGGAGCAATAGTGGCTCCTTTAATGGTACTGGTTTCAAATTGGGTAGTGACTCCAGTACCTGATGGTCCAGTTCTTTTAATTTCACTTTCTTTAGTAACAGTAACTTTGCTTTTTTTCAAGGCTTCTAATTATGTTTCTGCCATGGTAAGTTTTTCAGAAATGTCAGAGTTGATTTCATTTTGCTATTTGAATTTCTTCTTCCATAATTCTACTTCTCCTTAGAGAGAAATAATTTATTATTCCGATTAAGAGAAACTCTCCAATTAAATTTCCATTTCTCTAATTCTTTAATCCAGTGATTCAAGCTCATTGTCTTTGTCATTCATGAGTAATTTGAGTTTACGAATTTCTTAATCTTTGAATTCATTTTTTTCTTATGAATTTTTGAGATCATCTGTTAGATTGCCTAAAAATGATTATAGATTTTACTAATTTTCTTTTTAAGTAGTCTGATTTCATCATCTGCTCCTTAATTTTTAGAGTTGGATTCCTAGAGTTATTTGTATCTTAATTTCCATTGGTCTAATTCATCTTGCAATTGTTTATTAGATTATCTGAGTCCTTGTTCTTGATTTTTTAATTCTTTGTTAGCATTAATGAGTTCATTGATCTGGAATATTAAGTATAAATACTTTGGAATCATCTTAGACATAGGATATCTATGGGGCATTTCCTCTTAGTCTGAGATTTTCTTGTTGAAGATCGAAGAGATAAACCTCCAATTACACTTAAAATTACATAATTAGATTACTGCATTTTGTTTTCCATCGTGAATCCATATCATCTAATGTGACAACTTATAGTGGCCTTTCTTGATGATGTACCTCAGCATTATTTGGTTAATTAGATGCAATTCTAACTGACGGAGTGATTAGAAGAGGTTGTGATTGTGTAATGCTTTAGGAGACAACAGGTGTGGTAGCTATTTATCTGGCAGAAAAAGGACTTCCAATTAATATAAATGTAAGTACGCAATGCCAATTTTCTGAGATGAATACGATTAGGTCAAGGTTTATTGTTGCTAAGGACTATTAAATAGAGTGTGATCGTACTTGTATTGGAGGAGTTCAGATTGTCCGATGGATCCTTAAGTGCCGTATTGTCTAGGGGGTCTAATTAGATTGGATGATTAATGAAGTAGTGATTGTATTTGAGAATGATTGTATCCTGCTTGGCTATATAATAATTATGTTGGATCATTACTCCATGATGAATAAGCTGTTATTAAATAAATATTTATGTTTAAAGTATATCCCTTAGGGTCTGGTTAAGAAGTTGGGCGTAGTTGTGTGATGTTGACTATTTACGATAAAACGATCATGTTGGATTGTGGTTTGCATATGACACATTAAGACAATCGCAGATTTCCAGATTTTTCAGTATGAAGATTTTCTATCTAATTAGTTAATCGAGGAGAAATTGGGACGTAAGTACGTTGATTTGGTGTTGATCACACACTTTCATCTTGACCATTGTGGTGCTTTGCCATATTTCACAGAATTATATGGTAGATTAATATAATGATATTTAGGGAATGGCTATAATGGACCTGTGGTGATGTCTATGCCAACCAAAGCCTTGTTGCCTTACATGTTGGAAGACTATAGAAGAGTATTATACTATCACTATTTCGATAGATTTGGACAATGCCTAAGGAAGATTAACAATTCTAGCAGCAGCCATCCTAATAGGATTTTAGTATCAATCCACAAATCAAAACTGATCCATTATTAATTTATGACCATGAAAATATCAAATCATGTGTCAATAAAGTGTAAGTAATTGGACTTTATGAAACCCAAAACTTTGATGGAGTTGAAGTGACTGCATATTATGCTGGTCATCTTTTGGGAGCTTGCATGTTTCATGTGAAATATAAAAACGTATCCGTTGTCTACACAGGAGATTACAATTCAATTGCTGACAGACATCTGGGAGGAGCCTATATTGATCAATTACAACCAGATCTGGTGATTTCAGAAAGCACTTATGCAACCATTATCAGAGATAGCAAAAGAACCAGAGAGAGAAATTTCTTGATGCATGTCCAAGAAGTTCTTGACAGAGGAGGGAAAGTCTTGATCCCTGTATTTGCTTTAGGGAGAGCTCAAGAATTGTCTGTGTTATTGGAATCTTATTGGCAGAGAACGAAATGCAAAGCAGGACTTTATTATGCTGCTGGTCTCATTGAAAAAGCGAATTAATATTATAAGATATTTACTGGGTGGGAATCTGAAAAAATTTAGTAGTCCTTCTTAGACGATAATATCTTCAACTTTAAATACATACAACCATTTGATAGAAATCTAATCAAAAGTCCATTATCTATGGTATTATTGGCTACTCCTGGTATGTTACATGGAGGACTAAGTATGTAGGTCTTTAAAGAGTGGTGTGGATGTGCAAATAATAGTTTGGTTATTCCAGGCTATTGTGTACCAGGAACATTAGGTAATAAGCTACTTGCTGGAATCAAACACGTTAGAATAGATAATAAAGATTATGATATCAAAATGCAAATCAATAATATGTCTTTTAGTGCTCATGCTGATAGCAGAGGAATCATTCAGTTAGTGAATCATCTTTAACCAAAAAGTATTGCTTTTGTTCATGGAGAATATCACAGAATGAAAACTCTTGGAGCTGAAATAATTGATAAAATCTAAATTAGAGTTGATTGTCCTGCTAATTTTGAATTGCTTGAGTATGAAAAGATCTTGTCGATCGATCGACCTTTAACCATAAAAGGAGAATTCAATAAGAACATGAAAGGATATTTATTGGAATATAAAGGGTAAATGGTTTTGTTATCTGATGAAAACGATATAATGAAGGAAGTCAATTAATTATTAGGAATAATGTAATCAGAATAGGGATATATGAGGTAATATAAAATCACTGGTTATTTATTGTGAGTGTAATTAATTTATATTATAAATCAATCTCTATAAGTAACAATTGAGAAGCTTTTTTATTATCTGCTTTTCGTTTTGGTCCTTACATTTATTGAATGCGATCTCAATTTGGGTAGTCTCAACACATCTCTTTTAATAGTCTATTGGTTCATTAGACTCTAATGTGTTGGAGTAACTAATTACGTCTGATGTCTGTTTTACAAAAGTGTGTCCATATTGCTATCCAAATCAAATTATTATAAATAAGCAAGCAAACTTATGTCGTTTAATTTTATTAGGTTTCTGAACCCCTTTTAGTATTTAGTTTAATTTATTATCTCATTTGTCTGTTTTGATTGCTACGACAGTTGTTTTTAAATAGTATCCTTCCTTTGCACAGTCTAAAAACTTAAACTGACTCCTGGCTACAATTTGATATCCTAAGTCTATGACTCTATAAACTCAACTATTATTGTGTCTTCATTATCTGCTTGTTTTCGTTTGTATCTTATCTACTCTACTAATTTTGGCTTTGAAATCACAGTGTTGTTATCAGACTTAGGTACATCGAATGGCAATGTAGTTATTACATCTTTTTTTATTTAATTGTTAGACCTTGCAATAGGATCACAGTTGTAATCGTAAGTATAATCCTTCGATCCTATTTGCATTATCAATCTATTATATTACTCTTTCATTAATCGTTTCTCCTTAGATCGTTCTCTTAACAGCTACTCCTTATTGGATTTGTCTATGCATTTTTATTCCATTATTCTTCTTTCATTAGGATATTCTTCCACTTATTCGATTGTTTTTTATCTAACCAGTTGGGGTTCATAGTCTTCCCACAATTACATTGGAACCATAAATTAATGCTTGGGATACAAATCTATTTTAGGTGTTATCCTAACTGAAATTGGCGCTATGTCCTTGATATCATAGGCTCTAAATCTTTCCTTCTGTGTACTCTTGGATTCAAAATCCTCTCTCTCTATATCATTCTGAAAATAAGGATCGAAACATTTTTAGTGCATCACATTAAAGGCCAGATTGACTGTATAAGAGGCACTTGATTAAGATTCTAAACTAGCGAATATGTTATCCTCTATTTGAGTCATGATTTTGTTAATCAAGAAAGGGATGATAGTTTCCACTATCTCTAAATATTCCATTAATATAATTGAATATGAAATATTATTGTAAATTATCATTATTTAAGATGCTTGTTAAGGACTAAAATCTTTTAAGCACAAACTTAAAATATAATATTTTGAGTTTAATATTATGAATTAAAATGAGGACGACTTATTTTTGATTTTTGTGTAACGAGTTTACGAATTGCTATAATCCAAATAAGTAATCTAAGCCTTAGTGGACAATGGGTTTGATTAATGGGAACAAACCAAAGAACTTACAATTGACATCCTATCATAATTGGGAGTACCCAAAGACAAGGCTGCTTACATAATTTAAATCATCAATGAAATTGATAAGCAACCATTATCTGCCAAATCCAATTCCAAACCCTTGACTCTAGAATTGATGGCCAAGGGTTTAAATAAAAAAAAAGATTATTCAAAAAGACCACCTCTTAAGAAACAAGATTAATTGTCTGATTGCTGTGTGCTTTCGCTTAATGGACTAGGATTGACCTCATTGAATGATTGTATTTCCATGGCCAAAGGTCTGTAGGTTCTCCATATTTACGATAACAATTTGTAATAGTTAGTATTGTAGGATTTATAATTCTTGAGAATACTAAATGCTCAAAATAACTAATTAAAATCGGTTGAGTTTGAATAATTACCCAGTTTAGAGAAAGCATACCTTGATAAGAATTGTCTGACTACTGTGCCTATACTGCCAGGTAGATTGAATACTCTCTCACTTTCAAATTAGAATACAAAAGAATTTCAATTCCCAGATGAATCATTTGAATTGGCAGCCTTCTCCTTAATTAATTTGACTTGTGAGAATTCTAATGTCGAATTTATATTGACTCTAGGTTCCTTGCAGAACTTAGAGTATTTAAATTTAAAAAATAATAAGATTAAAGAATTCGACGTATTTTATCAACTTGAAATATTTAGGACATTGAAGATTCAATATCCAATCTCCAAAATATTAAAGAAATAGATCTGAGAGGCAATCCAATCACCCAAGTATACAAGTATAGAGATAGAATTGTGTTGTTATGCAAAACCATATGTAAATATCGAGTTATATATTATAGAAACTATTGATAGCAAAACAGTGTTGGCAAATGAACGACAATACCTTATCAATTTAGGAAAGTAGAAGATCCTACGAAGAAATCAAAGTTTGGAAGGGAAGAAGCAAACCATTCAGAAACCATCGATAAGTGGAGTCAAACAGAAAATCCTATCCAACGAAGAATAACGATCTCATTAGTAATAGGGCATATCGAAAACTATTAATTCAGCGAACTATTTCAATGATAACACACCTATAATGCTTACTAAACATAAATGAAAATAAATATATTTATTTTAAATTATTTCTTTTAATTCACCCATTTTTTTAAATTAATTATTTATTAAGAATACTAAAGTTATGCAGATTCATAATAAAATAGATATATTGCAACCTATTCCCTAAAAGAGGAAAATTATTGGAGTTCCATCAATTAAATATAATAATGATGATCCCTTTAATTAAATTTTGAAAGCTGCTTCAGCACCAGCCACTTTAGAATAAATGGAAACCATCAAGTAAGTCAATAAAAATAAAGATTATTGCAAAAATCCTGTTATCTTAGTAGATTATTCAATTACAGAAAATTAGAAAACTCTGTAAGAATAACTCGATGAAATTGATTGATATTTGAATTTGCATTTTGCATATTTAGCCCCTTATATGATGATTCAATTATAATCATAATTTTGATTTTTCATTCATTATCAATTAACTTATATATATATTCCATCTTTAAGTAATTTAAATATTCAAAAATCATTTTTGTAACCAATAATTAAATCAATCTTTAAAAAGTGAAATCAGAAAGAAGTTGTAAAATAGTGAGGGTTTGCTTTTAATTCTTTCAGACCTATTCTGATATCCTCATATTTGGTCAATTTTATTAAGTATTGCATCAATTCAACTAGTGCTCTATCTTTTTCATCCCCCACCCAAGCTTTGATTTTAATACCATTATGTGGCTATAAAACAAAATTATATGGATTATTGTCAACTATGATGGTTTTTGAAAGAGGTCTCCCCAAAGTGCTCAAGTCTTTCAACATAACATTCCCTTATGAAAACGTGTGATGTCGATACAATCTATGCTTTACGACATTCATAACATCAATTTTGTCAATAATCCTTAAAATCAAATATTTAGTACTTATCTGCATATGATTAGATTCCAGCTGTAAAGATTACAATTTCAAAATGTTTCCCCATTTATTCTAAAAATATCTCTGTATATGGTCTAATTAAGACTTCTTGAGTTTCTTCAATAAAATGAACCAAGGTTTCATCTAAGTCCAGTACTAATGTATAAACAGTTGAACTTTTAGGTAGCAAAAATAAAAATCTTTCGAGATTGACTATGATCACTCTCAGCTTTTATTAGTAAAATTAAAATGCTGCATCAATTTATGAATCCCGATAAGCTTAAAGATGCTATTGAACTTATTTATCTTATGTATTCCTTCATATTTTTGAACATGTACTTTAGCAATTTGTCTATATTTTATTCAATTAATAGATTCATCTTTTCAATTTGATTAGGAATGAGAGGATTCATGCTTTGAAATTACTGAAACTGATGCAAATATTATTAAACACCTTTAATCTGCAATTTCAGAGTGGTGATTGTTTAAATAGTATTAGCTTAATGACCATAGATGAGTAACTTCTCCCATTTAATCAGATCAATTCCTTAGAGTATCCCTCTCTTGATCATCAAATAGAAAACCAAACCTATGCATTCATTTATCATAAATCTCTTAAATTATCTACAATGACCCTAATTAATTGATTTTTATACTCCAATAATTTCAATAGTAGCAGAAGAAATCTCTGAGATGTAGTTATTTAAGGAACACACATCAATTTGCTAAATAAGATTGATCAGATTGACCAATCTTATTTGCATCTTTTAAAAACTAAAGTAGAGTTTCAATCTCAATCTGTCATTTTGTCGATCAGGATGCAATCTTGCGTCATCATCTGAAAATTACTATGTGTGTAGTGTCTCAACTCTCTTTCGATAAGATCCACAATTCCCTATCTCAGTAACTAATTTATCTCTATTCTATGGCTTTTTTTATGAGTGAACAAAAAAACTATTAAACGAGGCAGGTTGTTAATCATCAAAATGAAATGTGTTTGATATTGATAGAGATTCCTTTTTCTTCAATCTTCTTTTATTTACAACATCTTAAGCTTATCCCAATTCTTAATCCCTTTTATTCTTAATTTAGTTATTAAAGAAATTTAAACGATAAGGTGATTGATTATTAGTCTTTTTATCATCAACCGATTTTAATTATTTTCGAAACATAAATAATTATAATAATTTTCTTATCAACTTCCATTAACAATTCTTCTCGTCTTTTTTTATTCATAAAAGTGCTTATATTACTGGTATTTTGATAAAATATAAATGTATATTCTTGGACATATAAGTTACATATTTTCGAATATAGTTAATCATAATAATCATTTAAGTCCCTCTGTTTTATCTCTGATGATAAGAGAACATTCCTATTGATTTGAGTTGGTGTAGAGACTTTTGATTGCTATTTTAGAATTTCACCTCAATTCCAATAAAGAATTGTATTCAATACTCAAACTCATTAGAAAAGCAATATTATGAGGCATACTTTGCTGGACTTTGCACTTAATTCATTAAATCTAGTTTGACAAATTATGAAACTTAATCTAATTGCAATTATTATCTTATAATGTGAATCAATGCTACTAATTACTTTAAAAATCAGTCTGCATGATAGTAGAATGATCAATTAGAATGAATCTTTCTACTTTTTGATTCTGACAGGGAGTTAACAGATTTATAATTATTCTAACCCTTTTTTACTTTTTTTTTAAGTTATTTATTTTATTTGATATAATTAATATGTTTTAATCAAGTCATGAATTATTAAACCAATATATTAAACAATCACTTCAAGGACAGGATATTAAAAACATTGAGTCAATCTTTTATTTTTTAGAAAAAATAGATAATCTAGTAATATAAGAATCAATTAAAAAAATTGGAAACTAAGAAGAATTTGTTAGTCTAAAGGTGCTTTTTGATCATAAAATAATTTTAATTACTTTTTTGCTTATCAAGAACAATAATACTGAAGAAATATTTGAACTTATTCCTTATCTTAATACTTTGAATCTCTAATAGAGCTAGGTAGTTATTTCAATTTTAGACGGTTCATTAGGAATAATAATTGAAGAAGGTAGTTTTATTTCATTAAATTAAATGATTAGCAACAACCAAATGAATTATGAAAAAATTAAATAATTAGCTTATGATTTAGTAGAATAATTAGCTATTTTACATTAATAAAATATATGCTTATTCAATTTTTCTTTAAACGATGTTTATTTGAATTTAGAATCAAACAAGTTTTTAATTAAATTTAGTCTTGATCTTTTAAGAGTTTAATCTGATTAATTCATATTTAATTATTCACAAAATGTTTACATGGATCCAAATTTCCCTATACCTGAACTAATTTAATTAGATCTTTAAGCAAAATAATTTAAAATCCTAAACCCCTTTTTGATAGATTCTTGGAACTTAGGAGTTTTAATCCTAAACACTTTTATGAAAATAAATTAAGAGACATCTACTGACTTAAAGCATTTATTGGAAAAATACTTCCTAAATGTCTGTGGCATTGATTATATTCTTATGAGTGGAAATTATTATAAAAATTAAAATGACTTATAGTTTCTCCTATAGGAAAATAATAGATGCTCAATTTTGTAATTCATAAAATTAATCAATTGCACCAAATTGTTAAAATTATGTGAAACTAATTTTGATGGTTCTGATGAATTTTTAAATTTGGCTAACTGTTGTGAAACTATCAAGAAATAATATTTGAAAGGTAAACTATTAAAAATAAAATCTATAAATCATCATATGATTAACTTAGAATACATAGAAGATTTAAATTAAAATTAGTTACCTATTCATAATCAAATCTAACTAACTCTCGGATAATTAATAATCAATTCTTAAATTGTAAGAGTCATTCCTCAAATTCAGATATTTCACAACACAAATAAATTTATTCTGGATTCACACTTAACCAATGAAAAGTTAGTATAGATAATCATGATATTTCAAGATTTATAAATATATTCTATTGATACAGAATCTCTCCTTTTATTTCTTTAATTTCAAAATATTAACTTTAAAAAAATTCTTAAGTTATAAAAGCAATTCTAATTTGAAATACATAATTTGATATTTTATGATAATCCAAACAACCAAAATTCATTGGATGAATTACTTCAATTTTTCAACAATTTCAACCTAAATCGACTTGAAATTAAATAAGATTAAAATCCAATTATTTAGAATGAATAATTCGCCTAAAATATTTTCAATAAAATGCATCTGGATTAAATTAGAGTTCTAATTTTGAGTAATACATATCTAACTGATCAAACCTTATAAATCATATCAGCATTTTCTTCATTATCAAACCTTAACCTATCGAAGTGTTAGTGTTTATCTACTCAAGGGCTTTGCTCATTTTTTAAATAGTCTTAATTTTGTAATCTAGTTACATTAGATATAAGTAAAACAAAATCTGATGAAACGGTTTTTGATGCAGTTTGGAAAAACAAATCTTATATTGCCTTAACTAGTTTTAATATTAGCGATTGTTCTTTCATTAATTTGACTTTGATAACACAAACTATTGCCTAAATCAATGCTAAATAGGAAAAGGTGTAAGAATTATATATGTCAGGTTGTGATTTAAACAACTCTGTATTAACAGCTTTACAACAAGTAACCTTCTTAAATTGTTTAGACCTATCAAATAATCCCAAGCTAAATTAATTTCATAGTCTAAAAAGAGATAACAAATATAATTATTTAAATTTAGAATACTGCGAAATGAAATCATAAGATATTATCTATATTCTGAATCTAGAGTGTTTAATTAAATCAAAATTATTAATGTCTACTCGTTAGAGTACTTCCATTTACAATATATAAATCAATTAGCGGTCTATTTCACTAACAAACTTTTAGGTTAAAAACATTCAAATAGATTAAGATGTTTCTGAAATCAAATTTATGAATGTAGTCCTAGGCTAGAAAAGAGTATTTCTCTCATAAGAATTCAATAAGTTAAACATATTACAATTACAAAATTGTTAAATTGATGATAAAGATGTCAGTATTTTAAGTTAAAATTTATCTTTAAATTAGTTATAGGAATTAAATCTGAGTTAGAATAATCTAAGTGATAGCTCATTGATTACAATTTTATCTACATTTAAATAGCTGATCAATCTTGGATTTGATAATTCTAAAATCACGAAGACTTCAATTTAATACATAATTGCTTCTAATTTGAAAATTCTAAGCATTAGATTTTGTCTTATGCTATAGGCAGAAGATATATTGAGTTTATTGACTAATTTAGATAATCAGATAGAACACCTTAATCTAAGTTACAATAAAATCAATAGTACTTTAAAACAATATCTATAAAATGAAAAATTAAATTTTACAATAATATTTGATTAAAGTGATAGTGAACATGAATAAATAGAATAGGATATTCAATCATTCAATAATTGAGAATAAACTAACTCTTAAAATTTGAAATTTATCAAATCTAAAATATTAGAAAATATAATTTAATTCTGAAATTGCTTACTATTATTATTAAATTTTATTTTAAGTTTAAAAAGTATTATTCTAAGAATAAAATTTAAACATACTTGAAATATTAATTATAAGTATCTTAGTAAATCATTTTTTTTCTTTTTATTCTAATGATTATATAAAATCCATCTTTCAAACTTTTATATTTTAATTAAGCAATTAATATTGTTCTTATAAATCTTCTTATAACAAGTAATTTCTTTACTTGAATCAAAAGCACTCTTCTTATATCAAGTCATTCTATTAGCTACTATTATTGATAATTGTTGTAAAAATTAATTAAAAATTAAATATGTGATGAAATATTTTTCTAAGCAATATAGATACGCTAAAAAAATACAAATAAATCATAGATAGACATTTATTTTTGATAAAATTAAGTCCTAAAAAAATTTATCAAGTTTAATAAATACAATTATATATAAATATATGTCATATTAATTTGGAGGAAGCTAACTTTAGACTTAGAGCGTACCAAATGCAAAATATAAAACTATGTTGTGCAGACATTATTTAGGTATAGATTTGACTATGAAAAGCTACTAAATAATGTGCTATTGGAGCTAAATGTCAATTTGCTCATGGTACGTCAGAGCAAAGATAAATGAATGGTATTAATTTTAGCGATTATAATCAGATCCTTTACCTGCATCTGCTTTATCAGCCATGACAAGTGGAATTGAACAACCTATCAGCAAACCTTAATCATCTGTATTTTAAAATATAAATTCAAGAATTTAAATTCAGTTCCCTGTAAATACCATGCTTAAAATTATTGCAAAAATGGATCGAATTGCCAATACATGCATGGTATTCAACTTAAAATAAACTAGATCCTGATACTGCTTTATAAGCAAATACAATCAACTTATAATAAATTTCAGTGATCTCATCCCCACCTCCGTAACCCAAGCAAGAAGATCCAATATAAATTGTTTTTTAGCATATTTTAATTGAAATGCAATAGATATTTCTACAAGATGTGAGTTATATATATAAAATATAGGAAATAATATAAAAATTAAAGATAGCCTTTGATTAAACTAAAATAGGAAATCTTATTAATGCTTCTGAGTGTATAAAAAGTATTATTCATGCTCCAGAACGCACACATGAGGAAATACTTAAATATACAAATCTCTATAATTAGGCAATATTGTATTTTAATCAAATCTCATAAGTGAATTGAATAAGATAATAAAGAAATAAATATAATTGTAAGTAAATTACAAGATATCACATTCTCATGGTTTTTTGCAATTTCTAGGCCAAATTTTCATTTTCTTTTTTGAAGGTTTTAGGCAAATAGGAGACTGAAAACTATTGGCTCTTCTCCTACATCACATTATGATCTAAGTCTCTGACTAACATATCAACTTTTTCTTTGTTCATTTCTATTTGCTTTTGGCAATTTCTTAAAGTATTTCTTAGAACTTCAATTTCTCTTCTTTTCTCTATCATTTCATTCATGTTTAATTTATTCTCATTAATTTATATTTTAAGATCTTGTTCTTTTATTTCCAACTTGCTTTTGATATCTATTTCATCACAGTATTGATCATTGATTTTTTATTAGATCTCTTAAATTTGTTCAATAGTTTTTGAGGTGGATTCATTGCCAATCAAGATGACTAGCCTAAAGATATTAATCAATAATTATTACTTATTCATGATTTCCTTCAAAAATAGACTATCATAATGTTACTTCTTAAATTTGCTTTCATATATTTTCTATTAATGTTGTTCCTCTTAATATTATTTTTGATATAATTAATTTTATTCAATTTAAAAGGATAACTTGTCTTTTAAATCTTTAATTTCATTTTGCTATGCTTGATTAACTTCTTCTAAATTCTTAATCATTTTGTCATAACAATTCATTTGTTAATCATTTAAGGTTCTATTAATAAGTACATTAACTAATTCTTCTTTTTCTTGTTTATTTTGATCATCATTGCTAATAAAGGTTGAATAAATATAATAATTACAATTTCAGGTAGTTTTACTATTGGCTACTTATAATTTCATATTAACTAATTGTTTATTCTAATTGAACAGTCATCTATTCTAAGGATTCTATTTGTAATGTCATATTTTTCATCTTTGTGTTATCAGAATGAATCTATTTGACATCAAAGGTGAGTTATTCAAATAATGAGATTATCAAACTACTCAATCGATCAATACTCTGCCAAATTGATAAACTACATAAATACACAATATTTACTCTCTTTAAGTAATAAATCCTTTGATGATGTCTTTTAGTTCATTAGAAAACTTGTATTGATATTCTGATTTTTGTAATTCGTAATCGTATTCTCTTACAAATTGAGATATTGTCTATAGAACTTATTCTATGATTTCAACTACTTAGGAGTCATTCTAAGTTTCTAATCTTTTGTCCAGATCATTTTATAACTATTCGATTAAGACCTTCATATTTTCATTTTCTTGTTGTTATTTGATGTGTCTTCTTTGGAGTTCATCATATTCTTGTTATAATTAAGTGTATTGTTTTGATTGACATTATTGCTCCTATTTAGAAATTTGAGATTTAGTTGCTTGCAATTTCAATTGATCTTTAGCATCCTTTAATTGTAAGTTTAAACTGGAGATTTGCTAATGTTGTTAATCCAATTTCATTTCGTATTCTTTCAACTATTCCTGTTATTCAATAACTCTATCACTATTAAGTTATTAAACAGCTTCGTTATTAAGTACTCTTTATTAGAGAAGAACATTTTCCTTTTTTAGACCATCAATTATTTTTTAATAATGTTCATATTGTTCAAACTAAGTCATCTATTAGCCTTTCCTTAAATCTGCTAATTCTTTATTGAGTTAACGAATTTGTTTATTCTTGTCCTCTAACATAAAATCGTTAGATTGCTAAGAAGTGTAATGCATGCGTTGAGAATCATATTGATCATCCTTATTACTAAGGAATTGACTGTGAAATCCTGAAACCGCATTAACATTATAAGATCCAAGATGAACTTCTTCTTCATCCTTTCCATACATCATTTTTAGGTTGCTCTAAATGTTCTGCATACACTCCTCCAAGTTCGAATTGCTATTCTCTCTGCTTTGACTGGTTTTGCTCATCTGATCACCAATACGGTACATTTTGAATTTAATATTAAAATTTTTAATTTCTAATTCATAATGTTATTAAAGATAGAGTAGTAATATGTCGTAAGTGAACAATAAATTTACGTTACAAATACACATCTAATTTAGATCTTTCCCATTAAATCATAGATGTCATTTTTTAAAATTTCAGTTCTTAAAATTTTACGTTAATATGAATGAGTTAGATCTAACTCTTAAATCAGAATCTTGAGAATATTTATATATTATATTAAATAACAATCCTTAATAAAAACTTATCTTTAATGTTTAATTATTTGATTTAATTGAAAAATGAGTATTTTGAGAAGAATTTCTGAAAATCGAAGAATATCAGATGTGTATAATTATTGTAGTAATGCGTGATAGTTCGAGAGCGTCAACAGTGATAAACTTTTATTAACCTTTTACGGATAGAAAATTATAACGTATTTTGATATTGGAGTATCTGGGAACAACGTTATTCGGTATTGGATTGCAGTCAGCCAAAGATGATTTCTAAATATAATTGGTGATATTCTTTTGTAAGTATTTAATGACGATTAGATAACAGCCATGCTATTTTCTGCGAGACATAGTGGAGCTCATTATCATTTGGCTGTGACATTGATATTAATGTTTAGACCTCATTATCCCATCAATAGATTCAGAGGACTGTTGCAAATTATAGTAGGAATACTGGGGTTTATGACAGGCGCATATTTCGGGTATCATATGTTGAATAGTTTGTTACTTATTGACAGGTCACATCTCCAGTCCGAGACTCCAAAGTCATGAGCAGAGTTGGATCTATTCCGATTTGTGTGGAGAGATATTAGCCACCACATCCTTCTAGTTCATGAATGTATTGTTATTTGAAAGAAAAACAGCTGTTTTTAAGACTCCAGTATATAATACTATATTGTTAACATTGGCAATATATTATTCGCGAAAGTTGTCACCCCATTCTGGTGGGTGTATGAACCCTACCATTGCAATCGGGATGAATCTTGCAGTTGCATATGTGGAGAATAGAAGTGACATTTTGAGGAATGATGTGTGGGTATTTGTGGCTGGGCCTCTCCTTGGATCATTCATAGTCTATATCTTGTATTATTGCATAATTCAACCGAGTAATAAGTTGTGCAATAAGTTTAAAAGCATGGGCATTTGATACATTTAAATATATATATGTGAATGTCCAAATTAATTTAATAAATATATTAACTAACCATAAAAATGTATAAGAATTTAACATCATTGATCTAAAAACCACTGTCATTTCTTTTTAATAGAACAATCAGATCATTAGTATATTCAGGTATGTTATGGAAATACTTATTAAATTAGATTAAAAAACCAAAAGAAAAAGTAAGAAGTAATCTGGTCTTTCGGCTCTTGATGAATTATTATTTAGGTACACCAAACCTGATTAATAATTTCTTGATGCGAAATATGGCTTCAATGCTTAATTTGTAGTTTATGAAACCAATTCTAATTATTGTGATCTCTCTAAATCTTATTCTGGTGAGAATAATGAAAGATATCAAAATAATTATAGGAGCATAGTTTTGCCGTTGATTATGATGTATGGATGCCATCTCTATATGAATGATGAAACCAAGTGCTTCTTTGGATCTTCATCTTTAAAAAAAAATCAATTGGAATAAAGAGTTGTACTGCTCTAGTATGCAGCAAACAACCCAATTGAAGATAGATACAAGGTAAGTCAACTGAAGAATATCAATGGTTACGTAGTCAGTGTTTTTGATGGACATGGAGGTTGGTAATTAGCAGAACTTGCTATGAATATATTGCATGAGAAAATCGATCAATATGTTCTGAGAAATCAAGACAAAATATTGAATCAAGATGATCTCATCTAATAAAGTATATCGCAGGCCTATTCCGATGTGGAAGAAGAATTTTATAAAGTGGCATTACAAGCCTATAATATGGGATTCCCATCAGTTGCAAGAGTGGGAAGTTGTGCCCTCACTGCAATTGTTGTTGGAAACAAGGTCTACAGTGCAAATCTAGGAGATAGCAAAGGAATTATTGTAAATGTCAATAATAAAAGTAAATTAATTCTTCACTTTTTATAGCCAACGAAAAATCCTATAAGAAAATTAATCATACTTTAAATGCCAACTCAAAGAAAGAACAAAGAAGATTGAAATCCGTCTTTTCCGACGATGACATCGTTGTTTGCAAAAGCGGAAATAAGAGTTGCTATGTCAAAGGGAGACTCTAACCCACTAGATCCTTGGGGGACTTTAGGTTAAAATTCCAAGAGTTCAACAACCCCAAAAATGTATCAGAGGACAAAGGATATTTGAAATCCATTTCCAATTTCAAAGGGCCATACATCAGTGTATTATTATTTAGTCTATTTACATAGTCTACACCAGATCAACAGGTATTTGAAATATAAAAAGGAGATAGATATCTAGTTTTAGGCTCTGATGGATTGTGGGATGAATTAACCAAGTCAGAAATATCAAAAGTAATTATTTTGAATTATAGATTAGATTGTCCAAAAAAATTAACATAACAAAGACGAAATCATTAAACAAATTTTTGAAGAGTCCCTGTCTCATGCAGCCAAGTCCAATAAAATGTCTGATGAAGATATTAGGAAGATTCCCTTGGGCAAAAGAAGAAAGTTGCATGATGATATCACTGTCATTGTAGTTGATCTATAAGGTTAAGTTTGAGAAATTTCATAATTTAATGATATATTTTGTTTATCTAAATCAATATTTCTATTATTAATATTGCTGTTGATTTTGGTACTAGGGTTGTTGTTGCTACTATTGTATCTGTTGAAATTACATATCTATGTATTATATGAGTTTATACTTGAGGGCTGTAGATCTTGCAATTTTAAGGCTTCCTCCTTCTTTAGCTATTGCATCATCTAATCGACTGCCATGTTTGTTTAAAAATCATTAGAGTTTTTATTCATCATCGAATCCATTACCTTCCCTTAGACCATAATGTCATCTAAGGCCCTGTCAAATTGATTTATATTTTAATATAATTATTCAATTGACATGTTATTTGTATACTATTACATAATTGGTGTAACAACATTCAATTATTGCATCATCTACAATACTTATAAATTTCATAAATACATCAGCATTGGCTTGAGCACTTTTTACTTGTGATTCCACAAATTAAATCTTCGTTGCCATTTTTTGTAAATTTTCACTTTCTTATTTCTTTGCCATAGCTGTTTATAAGAATAGCTTAGCTCCTTCTTCATTATTTTTCTTTAAAGCCTCCTTAGCCTTTGCAACATTCTTTTCCTATTCTTTTAAACTTCTTTTTGATTCAGATTCAAGACGTTTCCATGTCATTCTTAGATCTAACTAAATATCCATTGGATCTCTTGGTTTAACAGGTGCAGCCTTCTAGTTTGGTTATCCCATTATTTTTATAATTAATATATTAAAATTATTATGTTTTTCATATTAAAAATAAGGTAAATAATAACAGAATTTAAATTATTCTACATTTCTTTATGGAACAATATCATCAAAAATTATTTAATTATCTCATGCCAAGTATAGATTTGAACATACTAGAATTCAAATTATGAGGATATTAAAAATTCTTTGATTTCAAAAATATCAATAATTCTATCTGGATCCTAAATAATAAAAACAATCTCTTCTTTGTATAATAAATCTCATTCCTTTTAATAAAGGCTGGCCTTAATAAAATGACATATTATATTCATTTAAACTTAAAATAAATAAATCACACTTTTAAATTCTAAAATCAATTTAAATTATTAAAAGACAAAGGCAAAATTTATGAAATATTAAAGAGACAGATATTATCTTATTACAGATATAAAATATAATTATTTTCATTTATTTAATTATCTTTTGTATTCATCATTTTCTTTTTGTAATCTTTGAATGATTTCTTTTAGCATTTAATTTTGTTCCACCAATTTAGTATCCAATTACGACTGTTATAGCTACTCTCTCTACTCTTTGACAATTGTATGCAACTGTTAATTTTCTTTCTTCAACTATTTTATTTCCTCTTGATAATCATATCCACTCTTAAGTAGTATTTTAAACGGACTTTCATGTCTGGCGTGATTTTTAGTAATAATCTGTTGATTAAAGTAATTTGAGGCAATCTTAGGTCTAGAGGTATCAAATGGCTATGGAGAATGATGAAAAGTTGTAGATTTTAAATTAATGATGTTTCTTTAATGAGATTTATTCGGAGTGCCAACAGTTGAATGTTATGAAGAATGCTTAACATAAGATGGAGTTTAAAAATTGGCAGTTTTGTGGCCACTGCTTGGAGATAACAAAGGACTTGATGTTCTCATTTAAATCCAATATTGAATAAAATTTATTTCATTATTGTTTATGAGAAATGATTTTCATAAATTCATTTCTAGCATTTCACGTTTGATCTTCTCAACCACCTTCTCTACCAATTGTACAAGAGTCTCTTCTGTCTTTTCTCTTTCTGTTCTTGTCTTTTTCAAGGCCTCAGTTATTCTCCCTGATATTTCTCTTAGACTTTCAACAATTTCCTCCTCCTTTATTTCTCTTTCCTTCTTCTCTCTATAATAATAATATTATCTTATGTTTACCTATCAAAAGCCTCTTTAAGATCTTATAATTATTGTAAAAATTATATTTAGATCTTCCCCTCTACTTCCTTTCTCTCTCCGATTTCGTTTTATAATTCATCAGCTAATTTTGGAAGATCTTCATTTATATATGCATCCACGAATTAATATGATTCAGATTAGGCCTAAATATTGGTATATATTGTTACAAGTCCTTCTTTGACTACTTCACCTTATAAATTATCTATCTACTATCCAATCTAATAAACGATTTTTCGTTCTTATTCCACTCTATCTTTTGAGTTCTATTCAATTAACTTACGAGCATGTCTTTCCAAATCAGTTAGTAGCTTTTAGGTTTCAGCTTCTTATCTTAGACGACTATTATTGATAATTATAATATAATACTCTTCTTGTTCTTACTCTAAAAATTCCCCTAGTTATCTCATTCTTGAGGCAAGATAATTGAACTTTTCCTCTTTTTATTCAGAATTGTGTTGTAATTGAGCTTCAAAAGCCATAATGAGTTACGAGATGTTATGAAACCTACTGTTCTTCCTAAAATAAAAGAAATGCTTAAAATGATTACTCATCTTGGACACTAGTCGAGATGTTATCTAATTTTTCAAATATTGCTTAGACTCTCCCTTTAACATTTGATTCAGACATTTTTGATATAATTTTATTATCAATAAAAATTTATTTCTTTTTATCCTTTATTTTGATTCAAAAACAAAGATGTAAAGAAAATAAATTGCATTTTAAGTAATTGTAAAAAATTAATTATTCAGATTAAGTATTCTAACCACTCAGTAATTCAGAGATGAATAAAATTGATATTAATTTGTGTTTATATCTTCCATAATATATTTATAGACAATAATAAAAATAAAAAAAAGTAACATTTAATAATTTGATCAATCTTTATAGACATTAAATCTAGAGATTTTGAAGGTTAATTGCTTCAAATCCTATTCAAGCACTTACTGTTAACTTTTTATTTGATCAAACTTGTTTTATTTATTTGAGTTGTGAAAATTGTTAATTGTTTCTTCAATTACATTTTCAACATCCTTAGCATTTTAATGATAATCCTCCTCAGATCCTATCAATTATGCCAAACCATCCAACTTGGCTTGAAGTTGACTATAGTAATTGCCTTGCTCGCTTGGCAATACTTTTTAATATTTCGATGAATATAATTTAACTGCACTTTAAGTTTAATTAGCATCTCTTGGAGTTGGAATTTGAAACTTCGATTACTTGGGTGATTGCTTGAATTGAGACATGGATCTCATAGGACTTATAAACTTTGATGAATTAAATTCATTTCTCATTTAAGCATTTGGTGATTAGTTTTGTCTTATCATATTTTTCAAAGGACTCCCTTAAAAATCTAAATTACATCAAATCTAATATACTTGTAACCGAAGTTCTCTGCTTAGTTCTTTGTCTACCTAAGTCTTACTTCAAAGTAGCCAAATTGACATTATCCTTTTTATTTGATTACGAAGCCTAGATTAAAATACCAATAGATGCATACTAATTTAAAGATAGTTTAAGCCAGTATTTGTTTCTATTTGAACTTACTGTTAATCTCCTGCCTGTATTTTTGCAATTGTTATGACAGATCAATATTCATTTAACAGATAAAATATAGTAATAACTTTTATTATTAAATAAATCACAAAAATTGATATTATGCCATTCTTCTTTAAAACTTACTATTATTCAAATATCTCAATTTCAAATTCAAATTGAACTTAGGAATACTCATCCTTCCATTCGAATTGATACTATTTAAATATAATTTCTAACAAAAATTGTATAAATGTTTGTTATGAAAAGTTTTATTAAATAATATTAGTGTAATATTGGTTATTGAATCATAAATGTATAGGTTGGTTAATTTTCAACAAAATATATTTTTATCAATAATGAAGGCTATAGATTGCATTTATATGCTTTAATTTGTTTAAACAGTTAATTTAAATTGATTTTTATTAAAGATAACAAAAACAAAAAATGCTGCTATTTATAGTTTTATTGTATCTTAAAGGACTTTTGATGAAATTTATGCTTTGAAAAAGGCATTTGTAATATATGCATGTACGTTATCATAAATTTAATAAAATATAAATATATTTATTATGTTTTACATTACCTATTGATTAAGCTTTAAAGAAAATAAATAATATATTAATTTAAATTATTAATGAAATAAAAAAATTAAAAATAATTCAAATTATATTATTTCCAAGAATAATTCCATAAAGAAAATAGCACGTTTGCAATAGTAATTGGATTAGGAGTAGAACAAATGGATATAAATAAATAGATTGGAATTAATTTGTCTTAATCCTTTAAAAATGGAGACACCATGTTAATGAGATCTATTGATATTAATGATGAAGAATTAAGAAATATATTATAAGAGTATTTGACTGAGGAAGAATAAAAAAAATATGTTTTTGAGAGACCAGAAGAATATTTTGATTAATTCAATATATTTAAACATTTAGTCAAAGAATAAATATATTTGGCTATTCTTCCAAGAGGATAATTTGTTTTATATTAGAAAAATGACAAAAGTGATAAAATTAGTTTGGAGGATTCAATAACTAGTATTGGAGAACACTTGTAATAGTTCAAGGAATTGGATTAAATCCAAAAGGAGTTCCATTTGCATAGAATCTTATATAATATGAAGGAATAAATCGATGGGGAGTTACCTAAATTAGGATTAGAGAAAAAGAAAAAGGAATGTAATACTATGATTTTGATTTTATTAGTTAAGAATGCGGAAGAAAAATTAGAGTATGAAATTGAGATGAGGTAATACACAGGAAAAGGTTTATTTAGTATTCCAACATTTGATAAGACATTAGTTCATTATAATTGGGATAATATGTAATAAATTCCCTAAAAATTGTTATTTTAATAGTGAATTGTTAATTTATATACAAATATTAAGAATTTAGAAATTCATTAAAAAAAAAAAAATCTAATTTAATGGGGTATTTGAATGATAAAGGAGTAACATATGATTACTTTGAATCTTTGGCATTCTAAAAGATGTTGAAAGAAAAAGGAATAGTGTAATTTTTGAGTTTGTTAAAAATCTTTGGGAAATTCTAATTACATGAACATTAATTTGAACATCTCTCAGATCCCAATGTGAAATAGGTAGAGACCAAAATGTAGCTGTTTTGGGGTGATGAATTTGAAGGTCACGTGATAAAGTTGTATGATGACTAGAAGTTGGCTCTGTTGAACCCCAATACAGGTAAAAAATAATATAGATAAACATAGGTGGTTTATTTTAAAGTTTGGGTGAAGAACAATAGAAGAAGCTGCCATTTGTAATATTACCAGAATTTGGTGCTTGGATGATTGAATTGACTCCAAACAAGCCATATCAATGCATGTGCTTCAATTTTGACCAAGTCTTAATAAATATGAGAAAGAGAATCCAAACACTCCAAAGTTATCTACCATAAGGAAATCAATATGTACTTATCCCAGTCTATCCAATGTTGGGAGTTGGTAGATTTACAACAACAGTTGAGAGTGATTTGACTGCTTCGATGATTGAAAAGATCAGAAGTCAGACAAGTTACATCGAGGGAACTCCCACTTTGTAGTAAGATGAAAAGTAGTTTCAAAATGAAAAATTGATCTAACCAGCTACTCCCTATAAAGAATTACCAGTGGAACCTATTTGCAATTACTTCTCTTAAAGTATATACTTTGATGACAGAATCATTAATCCTCATCCAAGATACTCGACCTTAGCTTAGAATATTAGATTAAGGAGAGGATCAAAGGTTGAAATAAAAATACCATTGTTTATTGATTAAAATACAAAAATAGAACAGAGTGAATATGAACCAAATCCAGGGTATTTCTATTCTTTTATTATTTTTAGATACATAACAATGGATCATATGGGATTTGGAATGGGAAATTGTGCACTCCAAACTACTTATTTGAGTATTGACATAGATCATGCCAGATTATTGTATGATCAATTAGCTGTTTTGGCTCCTTTGTTTGCAGCTTTGACAGCAGGTAGTCCAATTTATAAAGGAAAATTATCGAATTGGGACACTAAATGGGATTGCTTGGAAATGTCAGTTGATTGTAGAAGTGAAAATGAAAGAAATCCTTAGAATCCAAATTATATACCTAAATCAAGATATTCAACAATTTCATATTTCATTTCTAATGATAAAATGAACTTAGAAGAATACAATGATCTAAGTTTCCCAGCCAATGAGGAAATCATGAAATTTGCTAAATAAAAAGCATAAGAAATGAATATACCACTTGATGACAAATTACTTAGACATCTGGGAATTCTATTCATGAGAGACAACATGGTTATGTTTAAGGATAAAATACATATTGATGATAATACAGCTCATTTTGAAGCCATCTAATCAAGTAATTGGAATTCAGTCAGATTTAAACCACCTCCTTCTTATAATTCAAAGATTGGATGGAGAGTGGAATTCAGGACAATGGAAATTCAATTGACAGCAGAAGAAAATGCTGCATGGTCTATTATGATCCTTATGATTGTTAGATTGTTCTTTACAGTAATTTATTAATTCTATCTTTAGAACTATATTCCAGTTAACTTTTATATGCCCTTATCCCTTGTTGATGAAAATATGAGAAGATCAAAAGAAAAAGGAGCTATCTTAAATTAAAAATTCTACTTTAGAACCAACTTCTAAGAGTATGGTCCTGCCACTATTGAGGAGTTAACTTTGCAAGAAATATTTTTTGGTAAATAGGATGGATCTTTCATTGGAATTATAGGATTAATTCATCAAAATAGAAATGTGGTTAATAAATAGTAGTGTGCATAGAAGGAAGAGCACATTTATTTAAAAAATAAAACACTTCAAAATGAAGTCATTGAATTTGTAAGAAACAAAGTTAATGGGAACACTAAAACACTTGCTTCATGGATGAGAGATTTTGTTACTTCACATCAGAATTACAATTAGGATTCCATTGTATCTCATGAAATCAATTATGATCTCATCAAAACTCTCACTGCTATTAAAGATAGACAAAAAGAGGATCCACACTTTCCCTTAATATTTAGTATGTGATTTTAAATTTTAAACTCCATATTTGTTTCTTTATAATCATTTTCATATTAACAAAATTGGAATTCCAATAATTTAAGATTGCGATTGAATATTGGCAAAATCATTCTGCATCAATGATTTCTCATTTATTCTTCCATAAAATGTTCCTTACGGAAGTGTCATTTCAAAAAGAGAATTTCTATCCTCATGAATTAATTTATCTTGTTCTACTAACTCTACTCTCGTTATAATATGCTCTTAAGATAATGGATGTCTAAATTGCCAATATATTTACATCATCACGATCAGCTCATCTTTTAATTTTTTTGGCTCTACTTTGTGTACTTTTTTGGAAATTGCCAAAACAGGTTTATTGATTTCTTATTTGATATCATAAACTTTATTTATATATCTAACATCAAGTAGATAATCATAGCCAGCTACTATTGAAATTAGACTCCCAATTATGTATGCTTTTGATTATAATTTCAACGCAAAAGTATTCATCTCCTATATAATAAATATTGGAATTAAAAATAATTGAGGATAATACCAATTATTTCTGGAAATTGTTACTTTATTAATTTAATGCAAATTTATGAATTTTTCATTGCTATTTCAAAACTATAAGATTATAGTACTAAATTTAACATTTATCGCAGAGATACTAGAAAGAATTAATTAATTGTTTGTATACATAACTTGATTAAAATAGATTTATATAATTATAATGATACCATAAAATAAACGTATAATAGGTTTAGTAATTCAAATCATTTTTACACATTTGAATATCTTGAGTTTCTTGAGGAGTTGTAATGTTTTTTATTAGAGATTCTCCAAACAAATACTTAACATTCATCTAATTTTACTAATTCAACTGGAGGTTTGATACAATTACTTCTTTTTCCTTCGTATGATTTGTGAAGTATTGAATTTTCACTATGGTCTAAGTACCTTTGATTAGAATATTGCTTCAATATAGGATCTTCCAATGTTTTAAGAACCTTCCTACATCGTTCACTTTCACAGCTTTTGTTTATTATTTGAGGAAGAATAAATCGATTCATCCTTTTTAATTCAAAATTAGTGGTTCTTATCTATTTCTGCAATTTCAGGATTAAATTATCTACACCTGTTTCATAATGTTTAAACATATTAATTGTAATATTATATTATAAATTTTGTCACAAAAGAGAGAAGTTCATAATGCTCAGAAAGGTGTTTGAACACTATCTTGGCTTTAAATAGTCCAGCCACTTACTTTCCTAATTAGTTAGATTTACTTGTCAATCTTTTCATTTCTAATTTTATTCGTACTTTTTGTTTATTCGCATTGATAACTCGTTTTATTTAAACTCCTTAGGGTTGGACTTGCTTATTCAGTTTGCATATTTTAATGATGAGAAAGATAATTCTATATGCTCTTGCTTTGTTTATGCTAAATAGATTCTAATACTCTTGGTTTTTGAATGAAAAATTGTCTTTCAGTCAAATTAGTGTTGTTGTTTTGTTTCTGACTCTCCAAAATTAGCATTTAGGTTGACAATTAAAACTCCATAGAGGGGATATTTTTTCGAATCCTCAAAGGCGAATTTCGCTCAGATTAGATTTCTGTTTTTTTCTTATTGTGTTCAACAATTCTATCTATAAAATTATATTAAATAGGTGTAACTTAAGTTTTATTTCGAGTGATTTTATTTAATCTTAAAAGTTTAGATACAATAGATCCACTATGATAATTGGATTCTTAGTTTGAAGTGAGAAGTACCTGTGGTGAATGATTTTCTTCCTTTTTTTCTTATCCTGTTGTTGTTTTTATGTATTTTATCTAACTATTGCTTCTCTCCTTTGAACGTATTACTTCTAAGATCTGACGTATAGTAGTGATCGAGGGTTGATTTAATTATTTCGATTGAATATCAGGTTACTTTGGTCTTTAGACGAGATAATGATTAGCTTTCCTATAACTCTCCTGTTAATACATTTAATTAATCAATAATAATAATTAAATAATAAGTTTTGAATTATGCTTAACAAATATCATTCATGAATACTGAGAGTATATGCTGATGCTTTATAATGTTAGTAGGAATACAATTCTTTGATTTCAGGTTAAGATAGATTATTTTCATTTTTTTTCAATCCTTATTTTTAGATTATTTACGGCAACCTATTAATTTATCTTGGCTTAAAGAATGCGTCTTTAGCTCCAGTCAACTTAAACTTTTTCTCGTTATTATTATTTATAATTGATGGATTAAATTGCTTATTTCCTAACTTGATCTTGGGTAAAACCAATTTAGGTTAATCATCTTCAATTTATGTTAATACTCTTCTTCTGGTGTTGTTAAATTAAGGAGTTTCCATGTCATCTAGAGATATCGTTTTGCTCTCTTCGTATAAACTGGAGACTTTCGCTCGTTTCGGAATCATATTACTTATTATATATTTTATATTATTATTTATATCTAAAAATTTTGATAGATAATGCATTCCCATTATTTTAGTCTCAAAATTTTTAGTTTCCAATCTAAAAAGTATAAGTTTAATTCTCCCATTACAGGATTCAAACTAAATTCACTCCTAATCAAGTATGTAAGAGATTATTAATTATTTTGCAGCTATTTAAAAAATAATTAATTATTTTAATGATGACAATAAAAAATATCATTTTCAACATTTATATTTATACTTAATTGGATCTCCTATATATAGGATATTCTAATCAGTTTTCATTAAGTTAGACTAATTGTACTTTGTTCTACTCGCTCATTAAAGAATTATTATGAGTTTATTATATGTAATCATTTTGCTGATAAATTAATTTGAGTTTTTCAACATTCACTTTATTATTTTCTAATTTCCACTACATTGTTATTATTATCCAATCTCATTAACCTATTCAATAAGAAATCAATATTAAGCTGTCAAAAATTTTTTCAGTATTTAATTTAAAACTTAACCAAAATATAATATAATTTTTTAATTCATTGAACTCGTCTCAACTTAGAGAGAAGCTAATTGTTATTTCTTGCATATTTGAGGAATAGAAGTTCTTTTTATAATATAGCAAAAAATAATTAAAATACACATTGCATTATATATATTATTTATCAATCTAATTTTTCTGATTTTCTTAACGCTAAAAGTGCATAGTTTCCAACAACTACTAAGGGTACACTTAGGATTCCTAAAACTGATACGGTTTCAATCAAATTTAATTTAATCCAAAATAGGGTTAGAACAACAAATAACCCTATGATTAAAGCAATAAACAAATAAACAATGGTTGAATTGTCCTTAGGCAATTTGTCAAAACTTAGTTTTAAATTTGAGATGATTCTGAGGAAAAATAGAAATGCAAGTACAATAATCACGACAAAGAACATAACAAACTAGAATATAATAGGTAACTTACAAAGAATGGAACTTCAGGCTATTCTTGGCTGAATTGATGAACGATTTCCTAAGGCAATTTATAATAGCCATCATTTTAGAAGGTGGTTTAAGCTTAAAACTTAGTATCAATTTTGAGGAAACTCCATCTTTTAGGTACTACATTCGAATCAGCCAGAAGCAATTCAACCTAATAGATTGCATTGAGTGGTGTAACATGATCGGGATCTCCAAAATCAATAATGCCATAAAATATCTTTCTTTTGGTATCATACTCAGCAAAAACTTAGGTGGTAGCAGAGGGATGTTTGGGATGAACTAGTCTGATGGCAACTTATGATTTAAGATGATTTTTAGTCTACTTAAATGTTATAATTACTTTAATGATGACATGAAGGAAACTCCTTTCATTAGCACTTAGAGTGGCAGGGTACACTTCTCCACTTTCAACACTGTGATGGAAATTGGGTTTTGAAGTCTTGGAATCGACTACATCAAACATGACTTCCTCAATCTCAATCTCTTATAATACTTTAACAGTATGTTTAAACTTGATGTTTAATATGTAATCTTACAACGAAATTGGGGAAATGCAATTCAAAAGGAAATGAGCCAACTGTTGACACTTCAAAATAGCCACTAAATTCTTTTGATTTAATTGGAGTATATGCGTACTTCTCCTTATCATTGTCTATGAAAGCTGAGACTTCTGTTGGTTAGGCCTTTTCTCCTTTGAAGTTTACGAACTTAATATTGATTTAGGCTTTGCCCTTATTCACCAAGTAGTAGTCTTAGAAAATGGGATAGATGATGGAATTGACTTGGTTCAATTGGAATAATTTAGTAATCCAATATTATTCATCGATGGATCCTAAGACTGTGGTTCTTTAGAAGAGGAAGTTGATGATAGTTTATTGATAGATCTAACTTTAGAGGTGGTCTTATAGTTTGGGGTGGAGATTGGTAATGTTGAAAGTAAAAAATGAGTACAATATTGAGGCAGTGACTGCTGCTGAATTATCTCTATCCAATATTCCTATGACTCCGTCGTACACTTCTTAGAAGTTAAAGATGGCTTCTTAGATTGCCTAATGGATCTTGGTGGTGTCATTGGAATTAGTGTTGCAAATAGTGGCAAGATGATATACTTGAGCTGCTGTTTTATATGAGTCATCTTATTTTTTAAGTTATGGCTTGGCTGCACCTCCAGCTGTGATAAAATATTCTAATTATGGACACTACCCGTTCAGAAGTGAATTATAGTAAATTGATTCGAAATCATCTTAATCAATCAATGGTAAGTCAATGTTGTAATCCACCTGACATTCTTCCAAAAATGATGAGGCAAGCTTTGTATAATATGCATCTTAGACTGTTGTTAAAGTGTATTCTTTCAACCAAGTACAAACCTTATTAGATTAAATTTCCATACTTGATCTTGATCCACGTCAGCCTGTAAATCAGAAGCTATTGACAATTAGTATGCTAATTTTTTGAGGGAATCAGGTTTGGTCACAAACAAGTTTTGCTTGTATTTGGGAAATGCAAAAACTGTGGTCAATAAGAGTATTGCAATGATCATTAATTAAATTTATATGGAATCTATTATTCTCAAGAAATGAAGATCCTTTATATATTAAATATTATTCTCAAGTGTTGTTTTCTAATAGAATGCACTTGATTAAACTATTTGGAAAGACAATCCAATTCTAGAATTTGATCTATCGATCTAGACTCGTGATATACTTGCAAATGAGAATAAATGCAATAGTTATAACGAATAGAGCTTGTAGATTAATAGAATATAAATATATCATTCTTGTTGTTATTGTGATTCTGCCTCTCTTCTCTCCTATTCCCTTCTTCTTTCAACATCACTATCTGGTTCCAAATCATCAGGCTATTCTCTGGGATTGGGTTCAGGAATCTCATCGACATCTTCAGGTTCCTCTTGAACATCGTTTGGAGCAAGAGGATTAAATGAGTTTTGTTAATTCTTATTTCCATATCCAAAATAAATGCTAATGAAATCATTTGACTATGATAGTATTTCATGCTAATAAATACATTACTAACAGTAATTGCACAGGCCATAAATAATTTCTTAATAAGACTATTTAATAACTTAAAGGTATTTCTTCCTAATTAGTATATTGTTGTGTTTCTCCAAAAATCTTAATGCTCCAGTTCCTTTCATTTTATTCAAGAGATACTACTTAGTCATACGAATAAGTTTGTCATCCTTAATGGACTTTAATCTTTCAAGTTCAGGATCAGCCTCATTCATTTAATTAAGTTCTTCTTCCTTAAGAGAAGGATCTTCATAAAATGTGATCCTTCCTTACTTTAAGATATTTGGAGGCAAGTGAGCCCAGCCATCCATAGTGGATAGTTCTGCTGATTCTGGCATTTTGAATTCGTCTTCGAAAGTGACTTATTTAGTATCCTCATCATATCTGTAGAACTGGGTGCTATTAGATTCGCATGAGTTATTCTCAAGATTTAGACTTTTAGCAAATGCTTTACCTTTCCATCGAATCGAGGATATTGAGTAATTTCTTTATTTAAATTTCCACTAAACACATAAGTCATAAACCTACTCGCTTCCATTTATTTACGTGTTACTTAAGGCAGTAATGCCAAATCCTGCAGTACTATTTGACTTTATTATAATTATTATAGTCCTGAGTAACTTAATGAACATATTCATTAAGTTTTTCATCGCAATCAGAAGGTTGAGGTTCCTTATATGTTTTGGACAATAAAACATCTATGAAATAATAGTCTCTCTTTTATGAAAGAGGTTTCCCCAAAACCTAATATTAAAAATGTTGATATCTCTGATGGCGATAGATTTAAGAGACTGTTGGATAAAATAAACATCCTCATCTGTGAATCCATCGCCAACATTATTCAATAGAGCATTTAGTTTTAGGAAGTTCTTGAGTGCTACATTGATTACTTTGGCATTTATTTGCTTAAGTTACATTTATTTTTTACAATACTCTTATCATGGGAATATTTGATCTTGCAGATTATTAACTTGTTCGGCAGTTTTAAGGGGTTAAATATTTAGTATTTGACTTTGCTATATATGATAAAATCGGTTTTCTTTGATGAAATTGCTCAGATCTTCAAAATCAGACCAGCCTAAGATAATGGTGGATGGGGTACTTTATGCCTTGTAGTATTTATTCTCTTGGATTTAGTAATAGATTTCACAGAAGTGATTGTAGAGTGTTTTGCCTTTGTAATTAGAATCTAATATTTTTTATAATTGAACATCCATCATCCCAATCTGAATGATAATTAAATTTAAATAAAATAAAAATGCAATACTTAGACAATTATCTGCAATCCAAAGGTGGATATGACTATACAAATGTCAAGAGGTACAGAATTGATTAATTGCAATCTAAGAAACGAATTGATGAAGGCCTAAGGATTCAAAGAAATGCCATTCACAAAAACAGGAACGACAATAGTTGGTGTCATTTTTGATGGCGGAGTAGTGATGGCAGCAGATACAAGAGCAACTGCAGGATCGATAGTAGCAGATAAAAATTGTGAGAAATTGCATCCCTTAGCTCCCAATATCTGGGCTGCAGGAGCTGGTACAGCTGCAGATTTGCATCATTAATGTGCTCATTTTAATGCTAAACTCAAACTTTAGAGACTCAATTTGAATAGATAGAGTAGAGTCAACGAGGTGATTACTAAGTTGACCACAAAACTCTTCCCTTATAGAGGTCACATTGGTGTTGCTCTGATCATTGGTGGAATTGACTCAAATGGACCATAATTGGCTTCAGTCTCTCCTCATGGAAAGTAAGGGACTGTACTTAATCTATTAGTTATGTTTATCATCCATTTTAATCTATGGGCAGTGGATCTCTTGCAGCTCTGGGAATTCTAGAAGCCAAATTCTAAGACGGTCTTACCAAGCAATAAGCAATTGATCTTGCCATCGAGGCAATTGAGGCTGGAATCTTCCATGATATGGGGTATTTTGGGCATTCTATTATTTTAGATCAGGCAGCAATGTTGATGTAGTTGCAATTACTAAGGAGGGTGTCGATTATAGAAGAAATATCAGATAATACAATGCCAAATCCCATCAGAAACAAATACCTTATCAATTTCCAGCCAATAATACACGTATAGTGATCTATTGAGTTTTAGCTGCTTTAAGGAAATTTGAATTTAATTTTGAAAAACAAGAACTCAGTGAAGTCGGACAAGAGATGGAGATAGTTGAGTGATATATTAAAATATAATATAACATATTCATTTGTATATCGAAAAAACACTTATTTGATTGAAATTATTTAATTAATGGATAAACAAGATTATTATCAAGTCTTGGGAGTAGAGAAAAATGCCACCACTGAGGAGATTAAGAGTGCTTACAGAAAGTTGGCTTTGGTAGGAATTATATAGTTATATAGACAGAAGTGGCATCCAGATAAGAACCCTGATAACCAGGAGACAGCAAAGAAGTAATTTTAATTGATTTTACAAGCCTATACAGGTTTAATTTTAATTTTGATCAATAGTTCTTTGTGATAGTCAGAAAAGAGCCAATTATGATAAATTTGGAACTGCAGATGGTGAAGAACAAATGAATTTTGATTTTGATGATTTTTTTGCTCACGATTTTGAGTCTATGATGAACTTCATGATGGGAGATGCTTTTATGAAAATGTTTACCAATATTGGCAGATCAGGAAGAGGGAAACACAAATTCAAAATACCCTCTTCCTTTATTTTCAAATAAGCACAACCATAAAAGAAGCCACAAAAAAAAGAAGAAGAAGATGATTGGGAAACTGAAGAAGAAGTTGATGAAGACGATGATTGGAAGGATGTAGACGATGATGATGATGATGATAAGAACGATAATGACGACGATGAATTCTAATCAGACAGTGATGATGATCTCACATAAAATGAAAATTTATTTATGATGCCCATGTTTATAGAAGAGAATATTAAGGATACTGATAGTAATGTGTCTTAATTCTATTCTTAGGTAACAAATACAAGTGTAAGTTCGATGGTTAGATACTGAAAGAATAAACCTTAGTGTAACATTTTGAAAAGAACCACAAAAAAGAATTTGCTGCTTGGAGCAAAAAAAAGCATTTTAAATGATTAATTAATAATTACATTATTTTTAGAAATGAAAAATCGATTCCTACAACTTAAACAAAAACTTAATAATTGGAAATGGATTGAATGCCAAGTGACTCTCCATTCTCAAACTAACTAATAAGAATCCTATCGTCTTCTTGAAACCAACTACAAAATTATGTAAGACTGTACAGTTGTTGAGGAATCACTGCAATTCAATATCCAAATGCAGAAATCTTTTAATTTCTCCAAACGAATTGGATGGAATTGGCACAAAAGTTGGAAACTTCCTGAAATCGTCGTTAAACCAATCCTAAATAGCTATAAACTATATACAAAAGGTCTCAGATGTAGATTAATTTGTGGCTATGTCGAAGATGTATCTACAATTAAGCAAGTTGAGCTAGAAGGGAATACAGAAAAACTCTATAACGATGAAATACAAGGTTTTTAATTCGAAAACATAAAGTTCAGTTCAACTTCATATAAGCTGGAGGTTTTTACTTATCAATAATTCTAGGGTGTCCATTTTCATGTCATTATTGAGATCTACAGAAGGGATGATATCTTCGAAAGCGAGTTAACCATTAAGTCAGTGATCTCTCCTCCAATATTTGTTGACTCCAGAAAGGCTGCCAGAAATACCAAGAGGTTTGATTACTAGAAAATTATGTCGCTTATCCAACCTTTTCATCCCTTCTCTCTCAAGAAATAACTTATCGTTCGATCTGACAAGTCAAAAATACTAAAAATAGAAGACACTCTTGAAGGACTTAACAATTATTTGATGGCCTAGAATATCAGGAATAAATGCAGACATCCCTACTTTCTAACTTTGAAATTTAGATCAGTCTTTGATCTCTATTACAATTCCAATATATATTCTACATAATTGAGTTTGGAACAATTACTTGTTAAGATTTAATAATGTTTGGTCGATAGTTTAAATTCAAATTAGAATTAGTAGGTCTTGTTGTTAAGAATGAAATATACAAATTATAGTGAACTTGATATGGGATTCTTTAGTAATAATTTGAGTCAATTATAAAATAATGTAATTCAAGTTGTTGCTGCCTCTTCTATTGACAAACATTGGGTGAAAATTAATTCAAATGATTTGAATAATATCTATTCAGAAAAGTACTCTATTTTTCCAAGAGTCTCAAATTCAGATTAAATGTAAATGAAACAATATTTTGATATCTCATCTGATGAAAGTGACTCCGAAGTTTGTTGCTAAAATGACGTAACATTAATAAATATAATAATAGGAATAAATTGAATTAGGAAAGTAATAAAATTTACAGGAATTTTATGAAACAAAAATTGAAATTCAAAAAAAGAAAGTTTGTCTGTGAATTAAGATAAAAATTACATTTTTTAATCATAAATTAAGTTCTTCAATGCTTTCTTATAAATAGAATTTCATTTGAATTAAAATAACACCTACAAAGATTATATTCCATCAAAACATTTTGCATATTAGATAATATTCAAAATGAATTCAAATTAATCCATTTTTTAATGATATTTCCACATTAACTAGTATTAATCTCAAAAATTTAATTGAATAAAGATTTTATTGATTATTTTTATATCCTGTTTTTTAAATACATCATGCTAATTTTACTCCTTTCAAAAGATAAAATTCGGATTAGTATATTTTGTAATTAACTTATGATTTCCTCGTCTAGTTTCAGATCTCAACGAAATGATTAATGCTTATTTACACTCCAAACCTTTAAAATGATGAATTCGATTTATTTTTATTATATATATTATGTTTTATTTGTATATATATATTCTATTTATATCTTGATTTCAAGTAATATCCTCATGATTGTATTATATATAAAATTAATAATTATTATTCCATGGGTGTGTGCGGAGGTAAGCCATAAAAAAGAAGCAAAAAACCTTACATTATCCCTAAGACATTAGAATAACAATGTATGACATGTATCTGAGTTAGTTAATGCTATTGAAATTGATTTGCTTTATCTGATATATTAGGACCTAGCATCCAGAAACATAGAAAATCTAGTCAACAAGACTGCTTTTACTGATTTCTTTACAATGATTGGATTGTGGGGCGAACTTGTTTTTGACTATTTTAACTAAGAGAACCATAGCCTATTGAATTTCGAGCAATTTCTAAAAGGAGTGGTCCATTATATCAAATGCGATGAAGACTAAAAAATTTAGCATCTTTTTAAATTATACGATTTAGATAAATAAGGATTGATTAGAAAATCTGAGTTTCTTCAAATGGTAAAAATAACAATAATAAATTAGATATAAAATTATCCAAGAGATGACTTAATAAAATTACTTGACGACCCTATGTTCTTGGAGGATCTAAAAATCCTCAAGTATTATGAGACCAAGGAGATGATTAATCAGAAAAAAAATTAACCCAAAAGAGCAGATGAATAAGAGTTTACAGAATCAGGTAATCAAAATTAACATGGCATTAGTCCATGCAATTCAGAGAAAAAACTCAATGAGTGGAGAGATGTAATCTATATAAGGGGCTAAATCAGGGGAATCTGCTGTAGGATCATCAAGTAATTTGCCAGCATTCAATGAACAAAGTGTTGTGATGATGTTCCCAAATGAAAGCATGATTGGACCTACAGGAGTTCCCATGGGACAATTCGGTTAAAACATCACTTTCAATATTAATGGAAAACTAGTTGAATTAAAAAGAGTCAATATTAATTACCTAGTTCATAAGTATGTAAATATGATCTACAAACATAAAGCTAAAAATGATTAAGGGTATTTATACATAATTAATAATTTAGTTTATCACTTGAGGATTTCAAATCTTTTGTTAAGTTACATCCAAAAATATTTGAAGGCCTTTACAAAGCTTTCAATTTTGATGTCTGGGGTTTTGATACTAATGCCGCTGTTCCTCGTATGATGATGACACCAAAAGATCTTGAAGGAGAGGTTAAAAAAGTAAGCAAGAAAAATCCAAAAATTAGCAATCCAAGATATTTTAAATTAATGCAGAGGTTCTGCTTATCCTTTAAGACTAAAGAATCGACCTTACCTTCTAGTAAAAAATAGTATTGAGTTATTAGGGATCTTTTGCCTTGATGGCTTAACAATCCAAGAAAAAGTAAACAACTAAGAATAACAATATGGATTTGAAGTTTCTCATAAAGATAAACTATATTAAACAAGAGCATATATGTGTTAGGATTTCGAGGATTATAAAAGGTGGACCAACAGTTTATAAATGTTTTAAAAGTATTTAATTTTTCAATCTTTTTGAGCTTCTGTGAATGACTATTATTCAATTCTTTAGAAGATTGGAGAAGGCAAATTTTCTATTGTTTATCTTTGTGAATGCAAAAAGGATAGATAAACGTTAGCTATAAAAATTATTGAAAAGTTTAAATTGTCTAAATCTGAGAAATTAATGCTTGCGTAATTTTAGTATTTAGTTATAGTCATGAGGTAGAAATCATGAAATTGCTTAATCATTCTTGTATTGTTCGTTTCCATGAAATCATAGAAACAAAAACACATTTAAATATCATCACTGAAGTTGTGAGAGATGGGGATTTATTTGACTACATTATTAAAAATGAAAATATTAATGAGCAAGAGGCATCCTTAATTATGAGTTAACTTTTTGATACTCTAAATTATATTCATAGTGTTGGCATTGTTCATAGAGATTTAAAACCAGAAAATATTATGATTGTTTTGGATGCTACAAAAAAAAATGTAAAGCAAGTCAAAATTATTGATTTTGGCTTTGCTAATTTTTTAACAAATATTTAAACAAAAGAAGGAGAAGCTCTCTGCGGAACTACTAATTATCTAGCACCTGAGAGTTTGGAATAGAAAAAAATTGACTTTAAAGTTGATAATTTTGCCTTGGGAGTTATCCTATATTTTCTACTCTCTGGTACTTGAAATATTGAAGTAAATTAGGTTACTTGCCCTTTGATTCTGAATTTCCTGAGGATATAATTAAAAATATTATTGAATGCAAATATGATATCCAAGAAGAGTTTTGGTAATAGATCTCAGAGGATGCAAAAGATTTGATAAAGAAACTATTAATGAAAGAGCCAGATGAAAGAATTTCTTTGTAATCTGCTTTGGAGCATCCATGGATTAAAGTATTAGTTTACAATAATATAGAATCGAAATCAATTACCTACTAAAAAGGCTTAGAGAGTTAAAAATAGATTAGGGTTGTTTTGATTGATGATTTGAAACAAAATGTTTATATGATACAATAATATTTTTTCATTGAGTATTAAATTTATTTTAATATTTTCTTACTTAATTTAAAATTATACTGTTATAATAAAAATATATAAGATTTAAAAATTGAGTTTATACATTTAATACATATATTCATCTTATTTAATATTATCTTTAAATACATTTTTATTTAATTTAAATAGAAACTTGTATAGTATTTAACATTTTTTTACCTTCTTATCACATGTATCACCTCCCAATCTTACTTTTATTAAGATCTATGAGTGACTCTATGCATATTTTAAGGATTAATAAAGGTTGATAATAATTGGATATTTAAAGAATATTTAAATGTAATTTCATATTTTCATAAGAGACTCTGAGAGCTTTTATTAGTCCACCCCTTAGGCTCAAATGCTAGATCTTTTGAGGATGTTTTTGATTATGGTTGTTATTTTAATTATGTCGTGCCTTTGCTTCGACATGAATTACTATATCTCTCTGAATGCCTTTTGGTTTAGAAATCTTTTGAAAGGTCATTCAAAAATGATATTTTCTCTTAATGTTTTAGTTTATAGGGAAGAAGATGTCTTATGGGCAGACTTTTTTTTTGATTCCAGATAAAATAGTTATTTGGAATCTCACAGCTGTATATAATAGGCGGTTTACAAACAAAATTTTAATTTTTCCTTTCTAAACTCAAGGTGATTTGTTTTATTTTTTCATAATGATTTACTTCACTTATTGAGGTATATGGGTGGAAATTATTCTAGTATTTTTCTGGTTATGTCCTCATTTTGTTTGATGTGTAATTCGAAACTTTTATTTTAGATTGAGGAAATTTGTATGTCATTATATTCCCATTATAATGATAATTTCTAATATTTTTTTACATTAGAAATTTGAATAATAATGATAATTAAGTGAATATATAGTAACGATTATTTAATATAAATTTCAAAGAAAGATATGGACTTCTAGTAGAAAAAAATGTAGATCATACTTTATGAAACAATTTTGTAGAATACTATAAAATAAATAATTGAAAAGATTATTCTATTATTTAAAAATATATAAATATTAAATTTCTTTAAAGGATAATATTATAAAATCTTGATAGAATATCTTAAATTGCCTTTATCAAGAAATGGTGAAATATACTTATGAAAAGCAGAAAAAGATTGATTAAATTTCAACAGAAATATTTGAGAAAAAAAAGAAAAAGTAAGAATTTAGTATTTATTTAGAATAAATCAGGTTAAAATATTAAATCTTACTGATTTTCTTTTAATTCTATTAAATTGGTTTATGATGTTTCTAGTCTCGAGAAATTAGGCTTCAATATCTTTTGCTTCCTAATAAATTAATCATTCATACTGTTTTCTTAAGTTAAACTCTTAAGTCAGTGCTTTTGACTCTTTTCTTTACTTCATTTTAAACTCTAATTGGGGTTGGATGAATGTACTTATTTATTGAGATTTCTTAAGGGTATGGGGTAATATTGTTTTATTTTGAACGAATCAAAGATTTATTTTAGTTAGTTGGGAATATTATAGGTTTCCAGGATTGTAATGAGTCCCGTTGGATTTCCTTAAATTTCCTTTTAATCTCAAAATCATTAATAATTTTAGGAATAGATTATATTTTTGATTTTTTTAGCAATTCTTAATTATGATTACACTTTTCATTGAACATTGAAGATTGCTATTCCTCCAAAAATTTGATTTTTTCAATGATGAGCGAGAGATCAAATAAGGAATTTAGATTTTATTTTTATTTATTCATAATATAAACTTCTATTAATAATTTTTTGTAATTTGGATGCAAATTTTTGGTACTTTTTCGATTCAAATTTCTAATTCATTGTGCATTTAATATTATAATGCAATAGATGAAATCAACTGGAGAAAAGTATTAGAAATAACTAAATTAAAGATCTCCGGAAAAGATATTGTCAAAGAGAAATAGTAATAGTTAATTATAATACTTAATAAAATGGAAGAATCATGAGGAGCCAACTTGGGAATTTGAAGAAAATATTCGAAATTAAATTTAAAATTTACTAACAAACGATTTAGAATAAAAAACCAATTAAAATGAAAAATAAGTTGAGCCAATGAAAATTTTATAGAGAACAGTTCAACAGTCTTTTAAGCATCCTAATTGTTCAGAGGAGCTACTTTTTAATAAGCAGAGAGAGATGACAAAAAAATATTGCAATGCATACCCATAATCTGGAGATGAAATAGATAGTGTTCAATTGATTTTAACATAAGAAGATTGTATATTTGAAATAAAATGGAAATCTAGGTTTGATGGAGTGTAACCTATATCTGATTTTTATCAATATGATTAATTCAAAGTAGTTGCTCCAATGCTATTTATGGACTTTTTAGAGATTTGTATTTTAGGATTTGAAAAGAAATCAGATATATAGTTTATAGCGCCTGGCAAAGATAATATAGAAAGAACTTAGTTGATAAAAAGTATCTTATTATAGAATTCAAATTATGTGGATACTAATAAAAATTAATTAGAAGAAGTTAAAGTAAATGAATAAGCTAATGAAAATTATGCTACGTCAAAGAAAAACACTAAAATAACATTTATGTAATCAGACTAAAAATAGAAATAGCTAATTTAACCATAAAGCAATACAGAACCGTAGGATCAAGAATAATAACAGAATGAAAATTCATCCTAATAGAACAATAATTAGAGTGATGAATAATTATTGGAAGATAAATAATCTGATTAATAATAATTAGAATAAAAGGAGTAGAATATGGTTGATTAGAATAAAAATTAAAACTATGAAGAGCAGATAGAATAAGAATCAATATCATTAGAATAATAATAATTAGAATGATGATTTAAGTATGGACTTTATTTAAGATATTATATAAGTCATAATATTATTCTTTATTTGACTTCTGTTTCCATGATTTCTAGTAGCTTAATTTCAAGAGTTTGATTTCTCTTTAATAACTATTCAACTTGAGTTTTTAATCTTTTGATTTCTTCAACCTTAGATTAGAGATCTTTATCCTTTCTCTGATAAGCGATAACTAAATATAAAATAGGGATGTACTTGATTATTCGAATTTCCATTTGAGATCTGAGTAATCTTGTTGTTTGACAACATTTTCTGAGTTATTGATTTGCTTAAAGGTTTGGATCAATTCTTCTAACTCTTAAATTTTTTATCTTTATTGATTGTATAACAATTCATAAGGTTAGAATGAGTTTCTTTATTATTAAACTTCTTATTGCAATGATACAAAATGTTATTCTTTGCTTAACAATTTGAGTTATAATTTTTCATTTTCTGATTTGAGAATGTCTCTTTAACTAGTGATGGATTTATTTTAGGATTCAAGATTGGCAATCATTTATTCTAGATTTTAGATAGTAGTTTTCTCGCATTTTTTGTGTAGGAGTTCATTTTGTAATTTTTCGTTGCTTGATTAAAGTGAAATAATTTGTTATCTCAACTCGTGGTTAGGATTGCAGTTTTCTTTATCGAAAGTTGAAGTCTTAAGCATGAGTATGATGGCATCAATTGATGATTCAAGGGTTTTATCGTATTTTAGTTTAATTTAACTTAATGAGTAAATGGCTTTGGAAATGTTGTCGATGGGCATTTAAGATGGTTACTTGATATGTACAGACTCTCTTTGGATCTAGCAAGATTCTCGTGCCACTGAAGGTTGTGTTTTTGTTGTAATCAATTAGGGAATGCCTCTAGCACTGTTTCTAGTAATGTTTTGGCTGGCTCGATTGGTTTTGGGCATAACAATGTCTCGGATGGGAGAAATCTAATCATTTAGGGTCCTTTTATAATATTAAATGCAATGATACATTCTAGAGGTTAATTGTTGAGGGCTGGTGGGAGGTTTATAGAGATATTAAATTTGATGAGTATTCATTTTACTGTTAAAATTAATAATTTACGATTAACATAAAAAAAGAGGTGTTATTGTATAATTATTGTCATCCTTAAGTTTCTCTTAAGACCACTTTCGCAAGTTTTTTGAGTTCAAGGAAATAACTAATATAAAATTAAAGCGTTTACCTACTATTGGTAGGATGATTGTAATTTTTAATGGCTCTCTGTAATTCTATGATCTTATTCAGTGGCAATATATCTTGTAATTGTTTTTTTGGATACAATATACTTCATAGTAGTTATATGTTACTTTTAAGTGGGTTTACTCAGGTCTAAACTGGATCTCTAAAATGATAATCTACCTGGTGATTTGTGTATTTGGGGAGATGAATCTTAAGATTTGTGAAGTGCGTTGTTTTTTGGTGATTTGGGAGATATGCTTGATCTCAGGATTTATTAGAGTTATCCGAGATTGGATGTTTTGGGTTAGTACAGTATTTGTTTGGGTTAATCAAATTTGCTGTTTATTTTGCCACGTACTTCCTTACGAAAGTCATCCAACTCATAAATTGGAGTGTTTGCTATGAATGATCCAGAATGCATAAAATTATTAATGAAAAAATTACCTAGTAGTTATTTGGAGCCCAAAATATTTGATAACAAATACATTATCAAGTAAAATTTGAGTTCTGGGTCTTTTGGAGTTGTTTATCTGGCTATTCATAAAGTAACACGTGAGGAAGTGGCTGTTAAATTGGAAAAAGGAGAATAAGAAACTTTAGATAGAGAAGTTTACTTGCTAACTAAGTTGTAAGGCATTTAAGGTATCACCAAACTTTACTGGTTTGGAAGCGAGCAAAACTATAATGTTATGGTCATCGAAATCCTAGGTAAGGACTTAGGTTATTATGTTAAACATTACAAACAATTATCATTGAAAACTGGTTTACAACTATTAGAATAGCTCCTAACCATTTTTAGTTTGGTGCACAACAAAGGAATTGTTCATAGAGATCTGAAGCCTGAAAATATAATGATGGGCAAAACCAATACAGCACAAGCATATTTAGTTGACTTTGGAGTTTCTAAATAGATTTTTGATTCAGCAAAACATATGTACATAACTATTCATTCAAAATAGACCTTTTCGAGACAACAAGTCATTCATTGGAACAACTCGATATGCGTCAATTGCAGCTCACAAAGGATATGAAATTGGAAGAAAAGATGACTTAGAATCCCTTATGTATGTCATCATATATCTTATTTTGGGGTATATACATAGCTATTTAATTTCACTAGCAAACTACCTTGGCAAAATCTGTAGAATATTGGAGATAAAGACAGAACAATTGTTGTTGGAGAAGTGAAGATGCAAACATCAATCTAGTCACTCTGTAAAGATTTGCCTTCACCTTTCTCAGAATATTTGAAGTAAAGTGATCATCTTAACTAGTTATTTAAAAGGGCTAGATTATTAAGACTAGCCTGATTATGAATTACTCAAGAAAATTATGAGACAATGTTCAGACCCAAATACGTATGATAATTAATTCGAATGGACAGATAAAATACCAGAGAAACTTGGAGAAGTCAAATAGTAAAGCTCATTCTTAGCTGTCCCAAATGGATTAAATGATTAGAATAGACAAAACACAAAAAAATAATCTTATATGGGTACTGATTCCATATGAATTTAGGTTCCCAATCTTCCAATATTGTTAAATACATACCATCTAATTAAGATGCTCTTCTAATAAAAAGTCAACCTTAAAAAATTATAACCAGTCAACCTCATATTGAAGTGTTGAAACAACTAGACACCGTTGATTTTGATGATATCGAAGAAAACATGTAAAATTATCCTACTCTAGAACAAAAGTTGCTGAGATTGCAAGGATTTGATGCAAAATTTAAGGAAGGTTGTGTATCTCGTTCTGCAATTCATGTTTTTGATCATTGAAATCAAATTAATTTATTTTACTTAATTAATTAATTAATATGGATAATCAATTAAATTATTATTTATTCTTCCTAATTAAATTTTTTATTTTATATTGAATAATTTTATAGTATTTCCTCTTAATTCTTTTTATATTCTTCATTCCTAAATTACAGCCATTTTTCTATAGTTTTTAATAATTTAAGTTTAATCCTTTGAAATAATTCTATAGTATTATGTTTCCTTTTTTTTTAATTCTTTATTCTAATCAAATTTTCCAGTAGGTTTCTATTTGGATTTATCTAATTAGAATTAGAAGAATCTAGATAATGTAATTCTTTAGAAAATTAATAAATTAAATCTAGACCTAATTCATATTGACTGGATTAACTATCCCAAATCTGAAGCAAAGTATTTATTACAATACAAATAGAATAATTATATAGACCATCTTAGACTTCATAGATATTAATGTTCTTGAAAGATATAATTAGATTTAAAAATACTTTTGATATCAATATGATCTCGAATTGAATTTAAGTTCTCAACCTACGTCTGTTTATACTCTAATACTTTTCGAGAATTACGTTTTAAATCAAATGCAAGGACTACTTTATTTTTAAAAATTATCTGCTTAATTGAAATCTTTTCTTCTAATTCTACTCTATTTAATTAGATTACATTATTCAAATTTCAACCTTATAGTTAAATTATATGCAAAAAAATTTAGGAAAATCATATATAAAGTTTCTCAAAAATCACTAATTCAATATTCAAACTTTATAATTATTTTTAACTGAAATGTTTCAATAATCAGAAGCAACTCTGGGATATAATAGAAATTAAACAGATAATTAGCCAGATTCTCAAAGAGATTCCTCTGTTCAATAAAATGTAAGCATCTAATTATATTTAGCCACTATAATAGGGTTTAACTGATGAATAAAAATCAATAGGAATCCTCAACCCTTATGTTTTCACATCATATAATATGCCAAAAGTAAAGCAAACTTTTCATACTAATTGTAGATTAATTGCTATAATCATTTTGGTCAAACCATCACTAATTTTTGCAAAACTCAAGAATGCAGATTACCATTATGTCCCGAATGTGTAAAAGAACATGTGAATGAACATTCTGAGTTTAAGACATATCCTAAACTGGAATGCTTGGAAAACATATTGACTTAAGTTCACTCTGATATTTGTTAATAAGGTAATTCTTTTTCTAATTGTCTTAAGCCAATTAAATTACTCATGCATAATATTGTATTGAAAAATCTGTTGCTCAAGCATATGCTTAAACTACTTTCACTGTTGAGAAACTCAAAGAAGCTAAGAAAAGAATTCTAAATGTTATTGAATAATACTTTGACACTTTAGAGAATGAATTGGAAAATAAATAAAAGAAAAACTATGAAAATTTCAAAAGAGATGCAGATGCACTTCTGAAAGCATTAAAAGCCAGGAATGGAGCATATCTAAATTTTTTAGATAAACTCTAACAACCAGAATGCATGTATTCTCTCTTACCATATCTTGCATCTCCAAGTTAAGAAGATAACAAATAATATCTTTAAATTGCTAATAAATTTACAAGCAGATTCAAAGAAGTTCAATCTGAAATTACTTTTGACTCTTTCAAATCGTAATAATTTAACTAATTTTAGAGCTTAATTAAGTTCACGCTTAGCAGAGATTGTTGGCGTTGTCCATCAAGATCTTACAGAATATTTAGATATCCATAAGCTTGCCCCGCCAGAAATCGTTAAGAGCAAAGCTTTAACACTAAAACCCCAAAATAATCAAATACAAAAAAAAGCATCATCTCCCCAATAACGATAGAGAAATTTGAGCAAAACATATTAAATTTAAGAAAATTAGGATAAAGAGATTATAAAAGTTAACCCTAATTAAAATTAAGTTGAATAGACCATTCGATATTAATAGATTAACCCTTAGCCTATTCAAATTCAATAGTATTAATCTCCTTCAAATTTCAGCTCTATGAATCAAAACTACCCTTAATAATTTACTTAATAATAACCTCAATATTATTCCAATCAGCCTCAATATTCAGCTTAATTTCCATACAATCAATAAAGATATTAGTAACAAGTGCCATATCAATAATATTTACAGTATGATCAGAACGGCTAATATTAAAATACAATTAATCCTATTTAGAAATATTATTGAATGTATTAATGTATTTTGATCCTAACTAGTATATATTAAATATTCAATAAAATTCCTAAACCATAATTAGAAATTTCTGAATTATTATATGATCTATTATTTAGAAGGTAGAACCCTTACTAAAATGATTATTAGCATTCCTTTCTTTTAGATAATTCTTATGATAATCATTTTGGCTCGCTTCTTTAGGTTTATATAATTTAAAAAGCAAACAATTATATTGATATAAATCTTTCTGCATTTTAAATAAGCTAATATGAATACTTTAGAACAGAAGCCATTTTTAAATAAAAAATAATCATGATTATTTTATAATACCATTACATTGCAAAAAAATAAAAATTTGTTAAATTAACAATTAAAAATGTCGTAAGACTTAAAGAAATTTTAAGTCTAAGAAGAAAATCAGATATAAAAGAGTATTAATGAATAATCCAATCAAATGGAACAGACATAGAAAAAATAATTTACAAAATTTGATAATGATAATTAGAATGATTTAAATTGTACTGTTTAAAGAGTTAAAACAACTTAATAATAAAAAAGCTTTAATTTACCTTAAAAATAAAGGAATTCATCTTATCAGGATATTAATGACAATTTATATGACAAACTTCTAAATAATAAGTAAAAAGTATAATTCGATAATCATGTTGAAAAATTATAAAAAAGCCAATAGTTCAGAAGAAGTAATTAATATAAATCGCTTAGCAATAGATATACAAGTTCAGAAGGCGGTTAAATATATGATTAGGTGAGATAAGCAAATCTTTTGGAAGATAATTAAATTGATTCAATTAATAAATATGAATATTACGACTCAAAATATACAGAGTGTAGAGATAAATAAACTAATGTCTTATAATATTATCAAAGTCAACATTTTAATGAAGTGTACAGAAAGAGGTAGGATTAATTGTCCTGTTCATTTTATTCTAAAAACTCTAAAAAAGTCGTCATTAAAACGAATTAGACTATCTATTAAAGATAAATCAAAGAAGAAAAAGATCACAATGATTCAAGTGATTCGAATTAATCAAGAATCTCTAAGGATACTTAAGAATAAGATTAAAAAGACTAACAATCTAAACATGAAGAGATATAGAGTCTAAGAATATCAAAAATGTCTGACCTTAGTGATTAATTGAAGAATGACTTATAGATAGAGGAAGGTTAAGGAATTGAAAATAGTCTGGGATCTGATTTTCATTATTTTGATAGCAATAAAAGTTCTCTCAATCAAACTCCATAAAGGAAATCTCTTAGAGATATAAAATTCTATAAAAATTAAGTACCTAGTCTCAAAATATAACAACAAGAAAATGAAAAATATTTTTCATAGGCATCCAGTCCGCAAAACAACCTAGAGAAGTAATGGTCCAAGAAATTATAAATTACGACTGATGGTTTAGGTTGCTAATCTAATTTAATTTCACCTATAGTTGCATATCATGATAACGGATAACATAAAAATACTATGTCCTTTGGGAGATAATAGGGGTACAACAGTTTTTAAAAATCCTACAAAAAGTATAACCAAAATTGCATCAGTCCATTTGACTGTAACACTCCAATTAATGAAGAATCTAAATTTATAAATGAACTTAAAAAAGGGAATATTGCAAAAAGCAAATAGATTGAAAAAGAGTAGGCTATGATAAGAGTATTAAAAACCTAATCTGAGAAGAAGTAGCAGAGTTTTGAGTATGAGAAAAAAATTATGGAACTTGAACAAGAACTTAAATTGAAAGAAGAACAAATGTAATTGAAAGATGATATAATAAGTGAATAACTAGAAAAAATTTAATAATATAACCAAAGAATAAGTCTAATTCCAAATGAAGATGATTGGAATTCTGATTTTCATAATATAAGGGAATTTATTGATGATTATAAAAGCAATATATATTAATTGATATCTCATAAGAATTCAAATATATCTTTTATTAATTTGAAGAAGTAAAAGTTTTAGGAATAATAAAAGGATAAATTCAATTAATTCAGTACCAAAAATTCAACTTAGACAAATTAATAAATATCTGAAGAATAAACCAATTCACAAATTATAAGCATTTAGAAAAATTTAATTTTATCACCTATTTTCGAAAATATAATACTCTTACAATAAAAATCTTTAGCACTTGGATTTGAATTTGGCCATGCTGTCCCAGAACTTTTTTAAAAACTATATTACCTTAGTAAAAGAGAGAAGTTTAGAAATAGATTACTTGATATGAATGAATGCGTAAAATATGAAATTCAAGAATTAAATAATTTTTTAAAGAATCAGAATAAAAACTCAAGTATTAATGAATTGAAAGAGACACTTGAATCAGAAATTATCATATAAAAATACATTTATTAAAAAATTTACAATATATCTAATCTATTCAAAGAAAGAATAATGTAAATATAGGAAGGTCACAAACAAATGTAAGAGTAATTGAAAAAAAATACTCTATGTAATTGATTAATTTAAAACTAATTTATAGAATGTATTACTAATTGCTAAATTTATTCATAGTTCTAGTTACTATTGTTATATTGTTAAGTTTCTACCAAGATTAAGTTATTATAAAATAATTCAATCTATTATAAAATGCCAATTTTATAATACTGCTTAAGACATATATCTCGTATAAATTTGTAAATAGATGATTAATTTCATGCAAATTAATATGTTTTGACTTATAATAAGAAAATTTATCCAATTCCTTTGAGAGAGGTTGCGTAAATAAGTATATTAATAAATTTATTTTTCTTATAAGTTATTTTAATAAGATTGATATTTAAAATATGCATCATGATTTGAACACAAGACAAGCCAAATTGCCATTATAAAACATAAATAGTCTTGTATTGTTTTATACTGTAACATCATAAGCATATCCTTCACCTAAATTTGGTTACAATTATGAATTACCTATAATAACTTGCCAAGTTGGCCCATACTTCTTTTCAAGTGCTTCTTTTATTGTTTTGCATGCATTCTTTAAAATAAATGAATATTTAGAATACTTCAATTGATAAAACTGGAGATGAGTTGTTTTCAATTCCTGAAACTATCGAGTCTTAAACCTCTGAAAGCATATCTGGACTCATATCTGTATCCTTAATTTAACAGCAATTATTACTTTGATAATAGCTGTACCAAGCATTTCCTTTTTCAATTAAGCAAGGTCTTATGTTTCTTTCTTTTCTTCCATTTTAATTATATTAATAAAATATATATATAAATATATATCATCACAATTAAACATTGCACATTAAATGGCTTTCTTATTTTTTTATAAATCCTCTGTAGTTATTAATTACACAGGATGAAATTTTATTTTTCACTTAAACCCCACACATCTCAATTTCAATTCTTTTACGGTTTCACATAAATTTTTCTTCTTTAGCTCCAATAAAATAGAAGCTAAACAAGATCATTTTATATAATCCTCACTAAAACAACTCTAGTTTTAAATAGCTCTATATAAAGTATTAGTATCATTAGAAAAGATTAACTTTGTTCATAAAATTTTGTCCTTTCAATTGCTTTAAAAGAGATAATATTTGCAAATTAGATTATTGAGTAAAGGCTATTTAAATAAAAGTACTTCTAATATCCAATTCATCTAAAATAATAAAGGATTAAGTTAGTTTAATTTAAAAAACAATTAAATTAGTAATCTTAAAATGTTTATAATTATTTATATTTCTATAATAAATAGTTGATGTAAAAATATATCAATACAATATTTCATCACAAATATGTGGATTGAATTTAATCAAATGTATTTAAATAAATATTAGATAAAATCTTATTCCTTTACATTATTTGCAAAACAATAGAAGAAGCCATTCCTCTCACAATTGTATCAAATTGTTTCTTGTTTAATTAAATTACACTGTTATTAGTTTTATCAATAAATATTTATATATCTACTTATTTTAATTTTTTATTTTATGGAATCCTGAAATTGCATCATTCTATTTTGTTTTCCTATCAATTTAATGGTATAACATTTATTTAGCCTGATTCTTAAAATTTAACATCCTTTACTGATAAATAAGCATTATAATTTACTGAAAATAAAGAGCTCAACATTAATTTTCAATGAATTAAAAGATAATTATTAATATTAATATATTTTTGAAGATATATTGAAAATGATCTGTTGCAGTGGCAAAAAGAGTAAATAGCAAACTTCAGAAATAACTAAAAAGAGAAGCAAAATATTGTCTGTATTCGATTCTTTATTTTATTTTTCTAGGATTTTATAGAAGAAATAAACAACGAAGCTATGACTCTCTATTAATCACCAAACTGTTAAAATCTTTCTATTATGTTTTAATATTCTGGAGAACCTTAAACAATGAAGTATAGTGTTCCTATTACATATTTTAAGATCAAGCTCTAATACAAAAATTTGTAGATCGGTTGAACGATTAGCTAGTCCTATTCCAAGCATTACTCCAAGAAAAACTTCCTTTAATATCTTCAAATGCGCAAAAACAAACCAAAATACAAAGTTTATATCGACAAAAAGTGGTTTCACATTATTAGTAACAAAGGCACACTTTTGATGATTTCTCTATATTATAATTGCTCAAAATTCTCAAATTAATTTATTAAGCTTCTGCCTTTATAAATGTTTAAAGGTCAAATGGATTTTTTTATCTAAAAAATACTCAATTATTTTAAAATTTCTTACTTGAGTAGTAAAAGAAGATAAAAAAATTGTATAAAATATTATATTAAAAAGAATATCCTTTGCACATACGAATTTTACACTTATAATAGTATAGATGCATCTTATTATAATGTAATATAATAAAATTATAGATGTTTCAATCTGAGATCATAAAAGTTGGTCTAATTATCTTTCATAATAATTCATTGTAGATTATTAATTTAATAATTTATTAATTACAATTTATACTAAAAAAAATGAAATTTCGGTTTCTTATGTTTATTCTTTGAAAAAAAATACCTTTATCTAAATTTTAGAATTTCTTATTTATTAAAACCTTTGAATGCTTTTTTTTACGAATCAATTTTATTTAGCTTCATTAGATTCTGGAATTATTTTAGTAAAATTTCATAAACTCAATTGTTAATAAAGTTCATTATATTTATTATTATTGAAATATTACTGGTGTATATGAAAGATATTGAGAGGCTAATAACATTAGAGATTCTTAATATCAGATTTGTATTTTTTATATTAACGAAAAGGTTGATGATCAAACGATTAGCCCAAAATCCAATTATTTAAATAGATTAAATTGACATAAAGAGGAACAATATTAAATTGTGGAATATTTCATAAAATATCGCCAAACACTTCTAATCTGTATTCTTCTATATTGAATTATCAAATTTTCAATAGCTCCAAGATAAAATTTTAAGATTATTATTAACATGTTTAAATTGTTGAATTAAAAATTTTACACTAAATAGAATGATTGTATTTGTTTGGAATAACAGAAATGATCAAATTTTCATTATTAATAATATTAATAAATTAATTTTTTCTGTAGATCATTTTATATTTCGAAATTTAATTAAAAAATATTCAGAGGACAATCAAATATAGATAATAAATTACATGTGATAGGAATATGTCTTAAATATTAATGAAGATTAAAAAATCTTTTATTTAATAGTTAATCATTTTTCTTTCAATTTAGTCTATTCTTTAAAGAATGAAAATTAATAATTTATTGAGACTCATTATTTATAAATTTATTTCTTAAAATGAATGACTAATTAAAAAGGATGGAAAAAGGGAAGAATAACAGATGCAGATTGCTACATAAAGTTTATACTCAAAAAAAGAAGGCACCATTAAATAATATGAGTTTCCAAATAAGAGTTTAGAATATGATAAAGCAGATTCGAGTTGATTAAATTGAGAGAAGTCGCTGCTTAAGTGAATACGAAAATAAGTTTCCATACATCTCAAGATTGAATCCAATTTCCAGACCTTAAAACATAGAACCTTTAAATTTAAAGCTAAGCACAATTCGCACTACTTCTCGATAAAGCAACTTAATTATTGATGGGCCTATTAAGAGAGAGTAATAAAAAAATAACTCTCAAGCAAGTTTAGATTCAAATCTTAGGCTTACCTCGAGTCCTTAAAGATTTTATAATAAGAATAAAGTCTCAATATAGGCATTAATGTTGAAAGATATGATTACTTTAAAAGAATAGAAAATAAAAATAGACTAGCGAACACAAGCAGAATCAAATTTTTTCTAAAATATATCTAGTTGGTCTAGAAAGTCTTCTGATAGTATTATTTGATTTGTATATATACCCTTGTTCTTGTTAGGTTTTAATGATTTAATTAATATCTCTCTTCTAATTTATACTAATTCTATTGCAGTTTGAATTGAAAATCATTTATATTCTTAATAGTTCACTGAAATCTAAATGAATAGTAATCCTAAGTAGAATTATTTATCTTATATTTGAAACTTTGCTATGCTTTTTAAATTAGACGATCTTTGAGTAGCTTTATTAAAGGTAATTTGATGAGAAAACTAGAACCATTGTATTTTATATATAATGAAAAAATTAATTATACCAATTTTCTTAGCCAATGAAATGATTTGTAAAGAAAATAAAAATAATCTTAGAATAAGAGAGAATCAAATTGCTATTTATTTATTTGTTTGAATAATTTACTATATTGTATTAATCATTTGGGTACGTCCTTCTTTCTTTATCTTCTTTATTCAACTTATTTCTTTCTTTCCTCTTCAATTAAATCCTTTCTTCCTGCATGCCAATTTGGTCCTTTTCTCTTTTATTAAGGTCCTGTTCCAGCAACAGCTGTTCCAAATCTAATATATTATTTCATACATCAAAACCTTCTGTTGAAGCAAATTCTTTTGTATGCTCTGCCTTTTGGAATTTTGTGTCTTCTAACTTACTTCTCAATTTTTGGTGTTTGTTTTCTGACTTTACCTGCTTTGGCCAATGTTCCGTGAAGTTTTCCCATAATAATTATTTTTAATAAAAAGATTTAAAATTTTTTGATTAATCAATCAGATTGCAGTCTCTATGGGTGTACTTTACTAAATGAATTTGCAGAGATAAATAATAAACTAAAAGTCGATATAATTTATGATTAGATTCAATGATATTCTTAATAAAAACAAAGAACCTGAATTCTAACAATATATACTAAACAATAATTAAGATAAATGTAAGATTGCTTTTAAAATTGAATAGAACAAAAGTAAATCTCCAAATTGTTTAAAGTACATTTAAATTGAATTTCCTTAGAATGAAAAAATGAATTTATCATAATTGTATTTAATTTTTCATAAAATTGTATAAAGTGGAAATACATAACAAATTGAAAATATAATATAAGTACATTTTTTAAATTGAATAAGTCTTAAGAGTGTTGTTCTACTAGAATAAAATATAGTTAATAAACTAAATTAAAAGTTGAATTATTAATTAAAATAATAATATTATATTCTAATAACATTCCCATATCTATTCAGTAGGCCTTTTTCAGAAAAAACAAGTAAGCGCATATTCTAATTACTTTTATTTATGTTTACAATAGTTTACTATTTACTAATTTATTAGCAAAAGTTATTGGGCTAAATATTTAAGAAAGAGAAATAACTTCAGCTTCTTAATTAATAAAAACAAAGTGCAAATTAAAATAAAGGTAAAATTCTACTTATTTGACTCAAGCACAGCGCTTATATTGGCTTATAATAAATGTTATTTTCAATTTATAAATGAAAACTAAGCTTTAGAACTTAATGAAGAATGAACAAATCAAAATAATGATTATTGAAGACCTAAATTATTATTACCAATAAGTGTATTATTAGAATTCGAAATCAAAAAATTAAAATTTTATACTTTAAAAAAGGATTCACTTGCAAAATGGACAAATATTATGATACAAACTAAAATTAAAAATAGAACTAAAAAAGAATGAAAAAAAAAGTTAAAAATCATTCAATAAATTGTAATGTCACTTAAATAAAGAGACATTTAAAAAAATGAAATCAAAGTAGAGAAGTCAAAGGTGAGTTTAATATGTTAATTTTCATTTGAATTAATTCGGATTCCAGTAAGGTAAAAAAATAGATTCATAATATATATAGAGGAGAGTTCTGTTAACATAAATAATGTTTTAGTCTGAATAGTTATTTAGAACTGATGTTTGCGATGGAACATAAAAAGTGGGTTTGCCCAATTTGTAAGAAAGTGTGTTTTAATTTTATAATCGACAAATATTAGTAATGGATTCTGGATAGAGTGCGATAATTAGAGATAAATGTTGAAAGTGTCACTTTGAATTAGGATGTAAACAATTAAATAAGTATAAGGGAAGAGTAGATAAAGAAGATCCTCTATGCTAGATTATCTCAGAGGGCAAAATAAGGGATTATAATGATGTTATCAAATGGGGATTCACCTAATTTTAAAGAAAGAGCAGAGAAATAGATGAGGATGATAACGGAAGTTCTATAGTTTTAGGGAGAAATGAAGGACAGACAATTATAATTGAATGATAATATAAATCCTTCATATTTATATAAATAAATTTATTAGAAAATAAAAGACTAAAATGGAAGAAAAACAATTGACATTTTCTTAAAGACATGCTTAGAAATTTAATGGGGCATTAATAGAGATGATATCTATGGCTTTATTTGCTTATGGGTAAGAAAAATGTGAGAATTTAGGATTGTATGCTCAGAAGGAAAGGATGGTAAGATAGCGTTAGCATTTTTCGGATCTTTAGCCTTATGTGCACCAATTAGTGGTGGACATATAAATCCAGCAGTAATTTAGATGTAATAAATAGGTGACATTAGCAATGTGGCTGACTAGATAAATATCAACTGGTACTTGTTTACTATATTGGATTGCTTAACTGATTGGTGCATTTGGTGGGGGATTCTTTTGCTATATGGTTTTGGGATAAATCAATAGTCCTATGGTGACTGATTTGAACTTTCATTGGATAATTGCAGACTTATGTGGTGAAGCTCTTGGATCCTTCTCTTTCATTCTGATGATATTAATCTAATGTAAGATCTCTAAATAATTGAAAGGCAATCCCAAAACAACTTTCTCTGATAAGCCAATTGCTAGTATAATTCTTATAACTCTGTCATTGCATTTATCAAGATGTTACACTTCACATTCTGGAGGTATCAAGAAGCAAAAATATATATAGGTTGTTTGAATCCTGGGATGGCAGTGGCCTTGGAATTATTTTAGGTCTTAAAGACTAATGAGGTTGAGAGATTGGATTCTATGTGGGTATTCATAGCTGGACCTTTTGCTGGAGCCATAGTTGCTGTTATATTCTTTAAATTAATTTATTAACCAGCATTTAATAGATATTATAAGAATGCATGATATATATAAACAATTTTATTAATTTTAATTTAATATCAACACCACTACTAGACATATTGCCAAACACAAATTACAGCTGATATATGTACATTTAAAGATCGAATAACTCCATACTGAGGGATCTCAACACAATTATCCATTAGTTCTATGTATTCAATAGGTAATCCAGTCTTTTCTCTACCCAACACTAAAACAGTCTTCTTGTCAAATTTGAAATTCACAATTGATTTGCTCTAACTTGTTTATTCTAATGCTACTAATTGATAACCTTATAGTCTCTTTAGTTACAAGTAATTCATTAAATGATCTTCCTTGATTTCCAAAATTGGTAAATGCTATTCAGCACTAACACTAACAGCCTAATACTATTCATCCTATAGGATCTTTTTGTTGGGTAACACTAATTCTCTGCATCCAAATATTTCACAAGTTCTAGTCAGATGACCAAAGTTAGGTATTTTCTCTAACAAAGTTGCTACAACAATAATGTCTCCTACAATTTATCTTGGTTGATATGCCTTAAATAAATCAAATTAATCCATTATCAAGTTGATTTTCCTTTAGAAATTTAATTATTGCGAATATTGTGTACTCAACTATTATCTTTCAACATATTAAAACCAAGGAGGAGGGGGATTTTCACTCATATTGTCTTCACTTTTCAGTTCGGCAATAGTTTGAGTGCATGTGTTCTTTAGTATTTCAATTATGGATGGATGAATAATCTCGCCAAATGTATCAAATTATATTGTTAATATTCCATCTAAATCAAATGTTACCATCAATTTTTCATATCTCTCAATTAGAGCACCAATATTCTTAATGATCTTCTAGCATTCCCTATTACTTTCAAAATATTCAATGAAGTCCTTGTATTCCAATTTCTGCTTCTTTATATATTACAAACAGGTAGTTTGACAAAGGGATCTGATATAGGCTACATTTGAACTAACTAAAGGAAATAGTTTATCAAAGAATTTCTATGAAAACTTATCTTATTAATTATGCAATAGGAATATGCAAGATATGAAAGTAGTAGGAATTTGGACATTTACTTTTAATTTTGGATCACTCAAAGTTTAAAGAATTCTTGGAGCCCAGATATCTGGATAATTATCTATCAAAAAACTCATCATCAATTCAATATATTATCTATATTGAGGATTATTCAAAGTATCAAATGCCTTCCAAATTAACTATTCCAATTCTACTAAATATTTCTTATCATCGCCAAACACTTTCTAATAATTGTCTGGTTTCAATAAATATTTTAAGCAGCAAATGTTTTACCAAACATGCAACTTCATCCTGAATTATTTAGTGTATTGCATATAAGCATTCTTATATCTATCCTTAATTGACACTTCTATCAAGAATTTAATGTAATAGAGTAATTCCTTTTCGTACCCTCCCTATTTTCCCAATTCAAATAAGAAATTGAATACCAAAAACCTTGGATATGCCCCATAAAATTCCCCTTTGCATGAAATCAAATGCTTAACATTGTTTGCTAATGGGACGTATTGTTCTGATGATGCCAAAATTTCAGAGGAATCATACCCTCTCAATTCACTTCCTTTTATTAACTTAAATAACACATAGTAAAATGTGGGTAATCTATTAGGATGCTTATGTAAACATATAATTAAATTATTTGCTATCTTCCTTTATATAACCCATTGTTTTTAGTGCTATTTCATTATCACTCTAATAACCTATTCAACTGCCTCATACAACTCTCCTTCAAAAAAGCATGGATCAATAATAAAATCTACATATGCTAATATTTCATCTAAATTAGTATGAGTTCCAAACACATGCATCATCTATTGAAAAGAGTTTATAGCAACTTACTTAAATTGCTCACTTGATTCTTTATTGAATGCTATCTCTGGTCCATACACAGATCTTAATAATTAATACAAAGTTATTGAATCATAAGCATTGAATTAATCAGTGATATCAATTATATTGTTGATTAAATTTTATACTTAAGCATGATACTCTTAAGGTTTGTGATTTACTTCTCTGAATAAGGTTAAGATATGACTTAAATAGTGTAAAGTCAAGTTTTTTAATTATCTGTCTTACTCAATGCTTTGCAATTTGCTTAATAATTACAAACCATATTTTAAAAATAGCTCTTCTACAAACAATCCTGTTTTATTTCTTTTTGCTTATTGTAATGCAATATTAGTAGCCTTTAAGGTTTTAATTAGCAATTCTAAATGAATGATATTGAAGTTATCAAACTACTACTAAAACAAGAACCCAACAAATTTACTCATCTATTAAGTCAATAATGGAACTGATTCAAAATGCTATAATGATGCTATCCAAAGCTCTTCAGTGACAATCATAGCCCCTTCTAAATCCAGAGTTAAATAGGCAAATAACCCAGAACTTATTTATTCTAAAAATTGAACTTGATTAGATGTTTTTAAAATGTAATTTAGTTATTCTAAAATTCTATGTTTAGTTTCCTTTTGAGTATAAGTACTGGTGTATATTTGTTACAATTATGATATTATTGGTTGATAAAAAGTTAAGAACAATTTATGATCTTAAGTTAGATGGTATATCACAGCAAATTAATGGTAATTTGAATTTAGATCAAATGCTTTTTGTTATTCTTATGCGTACAATAAAAATTCTTCAGTTATTAATGATTTCAAGAGTTCCGATATGTTGTTCAAAAAGAGACAATCAAAAGGAATTACTTTGATGAGTTAAAATAATTAATCAGCATTAGTATTCTATTTAAATAAATGGAGCACTGCTTACAATAATTGTATTCTTTTTCTTAAATTTAATCTCATTAAATTTTATTCAATAAATTGAACTAGCAATGCAAATTATGTAATTTCTACTTTAATATCTTTCAAAGCTACACTGAAGGCTCCAACAGCCAATGGATACTATATATTATGAACCATTTATATAATCACATCGTCAATATAAGGAATCTTTGCTAAGAACTATTTAAGAAGTTCAAAAAATTTAGAGTCTCCTTCCAAAGGAGTATCAAGATAAAACACTGGCTTATTCAAAACTGGTATAATTATTTCAATAATTAAAGGCTTAAGATAATTGACATCAATTTATTTTTTGAATAAGGATTTAATACAATTTTTGATTGTTTTTTCATTTGTGTGTTAAGCTGCTTTGTTGATCAGGATGAATAAAGGCCTGATATTTTAGAATAATTGTCTTTTCAATTCATTGTCTACTTTGAATTGCTATTATTGGGTAAATGGATCCATTTTAACCCACACATCCTTTGTTAAATGAGTTCCAAAGCTGTCTAGTGTAATATATAAGTCTGTGAACAATTTGAAATGCTATTATATCTTTTCATCATCAATATTGATTAAAACTTCATTTAGAACAGAAACACAAATCTTATTGTTGGTGAGATCAGAGTAAACTTAATAGGAATCATGTAAAGCTTACCAAAATTATTCATATACCATTAATTACTTAACACTCTTACTGAATAAAGCTATTTTAATTAGTTCACTACAATGTAGTTTGAAATCTACATTCTTTGGATTGTGTTGTTGGAAGATCTAGGGTAAATACTTGACAAAGTTCAATCTAATTTCATCATCATTTATAATGAAGGCATAGATAATTGATCTGATTTCTTAGAATTATTGAGCGACGAATTTTTAACTTTTCTCTGTATATATATCTTCTGAAAACAATACGAATTCCATTGCTCTATCCAGAACCCATTGTTTTTGCACTTTTAATAAAGAAAATAAGTTCTTGTATAACTTTTTCACTTTATCAACTATGATCATTGTTTGATCATTTACATTCAAAAGACTCTCATAAATAGGCTTAATTATTTTCTCTATGTAACCCTAAGTTGAAATATAGTTAGAACATAGATTTCTCAATTGCTCCTCTGTGCAAATAGAAAGTATTCTTTTTGTGGCTAGAAATCAATGATTTAATTACTTTGTAGATTATCAATTGAAATTTCAAAGGTTCTCTCAATTAATTCCATGGAGACTTCGCATTTCAATCTTTTGTAGCATAATATCAAAATATCTATGTTTGGTTAAGATATCCATTCAGATTTAAGTTCATTTGTCAATGCTTGATTCAATGCTTCTTAAACTTCTTCCTTCTAGTATTTATGGACACAAATATCAATCAGGGGCTTTAAGGATACATGTTTGCCACTGGACTTTTTTTGTTCCACATATTCTTAAATTTGTAATAATTCTTTCACAAACATTCGCAAATTAAAATTTTTATTTATAAATAGTTTAATTAATCATTGTTATCCTCTAAAATCTTATATTTTCTCTAATGTCAACTTAATTTCCAATTTGATTTATTTGATAACATTCACATTCTTGTTTGGTAAGCCTGTATAATATTCATACTCCATCATTTTTAATTGTAGATACTGATTTAAATCATTGATGGATTGCATTTAATTTATTTACTCTGGAGCATAAACCTTCTAATCTTCATTTATTTTTTCCATCTTTGGAGTGACCTATTATTATACTTTTTATTCATTTGTTTAAATTTTTGTTTGTTATTAAGGCAGAGAGGGTTATTAATCTGGGTTTTCTTAGTAAATCTTAGGTTAGATTCGATTTTATCGCTTCTATTAAACCCACTATTCCACATTATTAAGATTTCCATTGTCTTTAGTGAGTTTATTTTTCAGTTGAAGTTTTCTGGTTTCTGAGTTCCAAAGTTTGAAATACAAGCGAAGACTTCTTTATTGAATTTGCTTGATATTCTAACTAGTAGTGATATTTGCTATAAAACCTTTCAGGATTTTGCGTTTAAGTTTTTAAATTTGTTGAGATCTAAAGTTATTTGCCATTTCCTTTTTATAATGCAAGGTGACTAACCTTTTGCTATTTTAAATAAATCCATTAAAGTATTTTCTGATAAGGAATTTATAGTTGAATATCAATAGTTTCTTGTAAAACAGGTCTCTTTTGTATTTATAGTTCTTCTAGCCATACCAACGCTTGATCCAGGCTTAAAATGCTTTCTTCATTAAATTTTGATCTTTTGTATACATTAGCGACATTAAAGATTATCTAGCTAGATGTCATTCAATACCTCTGCTTAATTTATTTTTGAGTTATTTTATGCCATTGTTTAAAGATTTCAGAAAGGAATTCATATTCATTACTCATTTTATTTCTATATATATTTTTGAATGAACAATAACAATAAAATAATAATTAATAATTTGATTACATAAATGGATATCATAATTAGAAATGCTCCTGCACTTTGGAAATATCCTCAGTTGAACGATCATCATCTAATTAGGTGATTACCTTGATTGCATCATTGTGAACAGCTAATACAGCTCTTCCTGATTCATCTGTATTCTTTTTGAATGCTTCATCCCATTCTAAAGCCTAAAAGATGATAAATATAGATAACTTTTTCGGTTGAACAAGCAATGGATCGGGCAAAAGGAACAGTCAGAACAGCACTTTCACTCGGGAAATAGGATGAATAAATCTATCTAAACCAATATTATTCTTTGTTCCTGGGTGTTGATATTGGGTACTTGATAGATGCTTAAGAAAATTCTTAATCCGAGATTAAATAATTAGCTCGCTTCATAATACCATCTCTCCAACTATAACCAACTCCATCACTAAACTATTCTTTTTATCTCCATAGAATTTCCTATGGCACAAATGGATGCTCTAAATCCTCAAATGCTTTTCTTAGAATATATTTTTCCATTTGAGGTTCGAAGGCATTAATCATCTTATATTTGGGATCTATTTGCATAACATATTCTATCCATTATTTATTCATGAATGGAGGCCGAGTCTCAATACCCCATGCCAAACAAGCTTTGTTGGCTCTGAGAAGATCATACTTATGTAAATCATGAAGTTTTCTGATTAATTCTTAATGAAATTCTACTCTGTTAGGTGCTTTATGGAAATACAAATATCCACCAAATAACTCATCACTTCCTTCACCTGTCAAACATATTTTGATTCCCAATGCTTTGATTCTTCTACACATCATATACATAGGAGTTGATGCTCTAATGGTTGTATTATTGAATGTCTCTGTATGATATATAACTTCAGGGATGTAATCCAATCCTTCATCTACTGTATACGTGAATGAGTGATGTTCAAATCCATGGAAATCTGCCACCTTCTTAGCATAATGTAAATCTGGAGATCCTTCCAATCCAATGCAAAAGGAATGAACTTTCCTCATTCCTCTCTTACTCAAATCTATTTCTCCTCTCTTTATTAATTTAGCCACAATTCCAGCTACTATTGAAGAATCAACACTATTATAGTCATCATTAAAAAGATACCCTCCTGAAATAAACAATCCAAATGGAGCATCGCCTTGAACTTCTCTTCGAACCACTTCCACAAACTTATCCCTCAACTCTTAAAAATTGATCGCTCCTGTTGGTATATGATCAAAGTTATTCCAAATTGGATTATACCATCTCTTAATCTCATATGTTTCATCAATATAATGGCCTAAATATTATATATATATATATAACCTGGAGGGAACTATCTGACTTCGACAACCTAATCATGAATTCCTTTCAACTCAGAGGATAAAAACAGAGATCCGTCTTCATTATATCCATAATATAATGGTATTATACCAATATGATCTCTCCCCGCTTAAAATGATTTCTTACTCATATCAATTAGAACAGTTGCAAACATCCCATTCAAGTGATTCCAGAAGGTTCCTGCCCCATACTATATTTAATCTACCCTTCATACCTCTTTGTATAACATTCCTACTATCTCTGTGTCAGAATTACTGCTAAATCCATATTTCTTCTCCAACATGGGTCTTACATCCCAGTAATCATATAGCTCCCCATTCTGCATAAAGATTATATTTTCATCATCCACCATCCTAAAAGGTTGTCTCCCTTTATCACTTAGATCAACTAATCCCAACCTTTCGTGGGAAATCACATGATACAGGCCAGGGCTGATTTCCTTAAAATTACTCGAAAATTATTACAAGAACAATTATCTTTGATCTATCTGGACCTCTATGTCTTATCCTTCTTGATAGTTCATAAGCTTTTGCTCTTACAGATACCTCTGTTCCTTTTACATTTAAAATTGCCAAAATTCCACACATTGATCAAATAAAGATTATATTCCTCCTCTTCCTTTTACTAACCTTAAATAGGAAAGAATAATTCGTAGTTTAGAATACTATCATTAATAAATTGACGAAGAAACTTCAATACCTACTAATTATATAAAAACGATTTAAATTGATTAATAATAATTTATAATATTAATTATTAATATAAATTTTATAAATTTAATAAACATCATGAAATATAATTGCAATCCCACTATTCTGAGTCATGCTTTAACTATGATTGGAAAGACCGATCATTTTCAGAATATTCTTATTATTTAATCGATAAAAATTATTCTCCTGTTTTTAAGCGGTTTATCAAAAATAGGAAGGTCATTATACTTAATTCGAAACAAAAGACCATATTTAATTTAACTATTGGCAATTAATATTATAATTTTTTATAAAATATTGATATTTTTAAATCAAACATCAGACATAAAATAATCTCACCATCAGGAAGCATATAAGTAGAGTGATTTAACATCACTAAGAAATTTAAGCTAAAATCTATAATGAGATAATAAATTTTAAAAGAGCTGTAGAGAGAAAAGAGAAATTCTTATTATAATTTTTGTTCTATTTAATTTAATAAATTATCCTTTTAATTAATAAAAAAGGTAGGGAGTACTAGGATTTGTTGCTAGGAGAAGCGAGATCTACAATCTCCTGTTCTGACTAATGGGCTATACCCCCTTATTGCTTTTTTATTTCTATATTTTATTGTTGGTAAAATGAAAATTTTTTGCATATATAATAATCATTTTTTATCCTTAATATTGTAAATTGTAATCTAATTATTTAGAAAAGAATTCTTTCCAAATGGAAGTTTGCTTTCTTGTAATTTGAATTTTGCAGATAATTTTGAGTATCTTGTATTCTACTTCTGCTCATTCAAGTATTTTAGTGAACTCATTCTTCTGGGCATATGATAGAATGGATTTTTTCCAATATTTGTTCTAAATATGTTGTATCCAAAAAGCTTTTTATAGCTTTTTATTAAATGTAAAGCATTATTTTACAATTGATCTGGTGTTTTATAAGAATTATTGAATCTAAATTAAAATAAATCAAATAAATCCTCGTATTTACACTCATCTTACCATATATTAATTGAATCCTATGATTACTCACTATCTGATTGATTCTAATCAGTGTCATTCTTTGCATAACAAACAATCGTAGGTTCTTTGTTCGGTTTTTGTAAATTTTCCTCTATAAAAGAAATTGATCTTTTTGAAAATTTCACTTCGAACTGATTATTATAACTCTTTAATTTTGAAGCTAAATTCACATATGTTAATTACGTGTTGTGTTCTATCGGGAGGTTCCTTTGCCATTGTTATTTTGATTCGTTTATAGAAGGTTTTGTGAAGAAGGAATCTTATATTATTTAGGCACAATATTTTCTTTATTACACCAGGTTTTCATTAAATGAAAAAATAAATTGTGTTTTTTTACTTCGAAACTCACTTCGAAATATGAACTAAAAATTTTTATGGATATAAGATTGTAACAACTCTAATTATTTTAAAAATTATTATATTATTATTATTTTTCTTAAAAATTTATTATTTCTATTTTGAATCAATTGATTATTATCTAAGAGATTTGATAAGCATCTATAAATCTGTGTTTATTTCTATATCAAAATGTTAATTTTTTCTCAGAAGTCAAAATGTATATAAGTTATAATCCTAATTTATTACATTGTCTTCCTTAGCCAAATTGAAAGGATCAGAATTATGGAATAAAGTTTTGATTAATACATTTTTGATTAGAATTTTAGAAACCTTATTAAATAGAATAGTTAATATCATAGAATAATAATTTAATATTGTTTCAGAATATTAACCATTCAATATCAAAAATCAAATTGAAATTAAAAAGTGAATCTAATTTACAATAAAATTTACTGCCATAACGATTAATAAATTATATATGAAATAAGAATAAATANTTTTTGTTCTATTTAATTTAATAAATTATCCTTTTAATTAATAAAAAAGGTAGGGAGTACTAGGATTTGTTGCTAGGAGAAGCGAGATCTACAATCTCCTGTTCTGACTAATGGGCTATACCCCCTTATTGCTTTTTTATTTCTATATTTTATTGTTGGTAAAATGAAAATTTTTTGCATATATAATAATCATTTTTTATCCTTAATATTGTAAATTGTAATCTAATTATTTAGAAAAGAATTCTTTCCAAATGGAAGTTTGCTTTCTTGTAATTTGAATTTTGCAGATAATTTTGAGTATCTTGTATTCTACTTCTGCTCATTCAAGTATTTTAGTGAACTCATTCTTCTGGGCATATGATAGAATGGATTTTTTCCAATATTTGTTCTAAATATGTTGTATCCAAAAAGCTTTTTATAGCTTTTTATTAAATGTAAAGCATTATTTTACAATTGATCTGGTGTTTTATAAGAATTATTGAATCTAAATTAAAATAAATCAAATAAATCCTCGTATTTACACTCATCTTACCATATATTAATTGAATCCTATGATTACTCACTATCTGATTGATTCTAATCAGTGTCATTCTTTGCATAACAAACAATCGTAGGTTCTTTGTTCGGTTTTTGTAAATTTTCCTCTATAAAAGAAATTGATCTTTTTGAAAATTTCACTTCGAACTGATTATTATAACTCTTTAATTTTGAAGCTAAATTCACATATGTTAATTACGTGTTGTGTTCTATCGGGAGGTTCCTTTGCCATTGTTATTTTGATTCGTTTATAGAAGGTTTTGTGAAGAAGGAATCTTATATTATTTAGGCACAATATTTTCTTTATTACACCAGGTTTTCATTAAATGAAAAAATAAATTGTGTTTTTTTACTTCGAAACTCACTTCGAAATATGAACTAAAAATTTTTATGGATATAAGATTGTAACAACTCTAATTATTTTAAAAATTATTATATTATTATTATTTTTCTTAAAAATTTATTATTTCTATTTTGAATCAATTGATTATTATCTAAGAGATTTGATAAGCATCTATAAATCTGTGTTTATTTCTATATCAAAATGTTAATTTTTTCTCAGAAGTCAAAATGTATATAAGTTATAATCCTAATTTATTACATTGTCTTCCTTAGCCAAATTGAAAGGATCAGAATTATGGAATAAAGTTTTGATTAATACATTTTTGATTAGAATTTTAGAAACCTTATTAAATAGAATAGTTAATATCATAGAATAATAATTTAATATTGTTTCAGAATATTAACCATTCAATATCAAAAATCAAATTGAAATTAAAAAGTGAATCTAATTTACAATAAAATTTACTGCCATAACGATTAATAAATTATATATGAAATAAGAATAAATACTATTTATTTTAATGATGAAAATCTTAATCATTTCTTTCCATAAGAAGTTTAATTGGCCATTTCTAACACTTGTTATTTGAAAATGTGAATAACTTCATCGATTATAGCATTTTCCTCTAGGAATATAGAATAGATTAATACCATTTCTTCTATTTAGTTCAGTTTCATATAAATCTCTAAGTTCTTATAAAGAAGCTGTTGCTGCATTGATTGCATTTTAAGAATCTTTTAAGACACTATTTGCTTTAGCTTGAACTGCTAAGGCTGCTTATTCTTGCTAAACACGATAGAACAAGATAGAATACCACTACTAATTTGTCTTATAATTAAGTCTTTCTTTGGATTTCATCATTCAAATGAGCAACCTCAGACTCTGTGTCAGCTAACCAATCTGCTAATTAATAATAAGCAGCAATTTCGTTGGCTTCTAAATTAGCTAATGATGACTTTAATTAATCTTCAAGATCAGATAAAGCATTGTATACTAATTGACCAACATTAAGTCCTGATTATCTGTCAGATGATGATGATGATGATCCTTCTTCTCCTAATGCATGTAATTCAGCATTTCCTGAGGCTTGTTCAGCAGCTAATTATGCAAATTTAGTCATGGCATCTTAATTGAAGAGTTGACTGTATTATTTCAATTTATCTGAAACATTTTGAACATTCACTTCTACTAAAGATGATGGTTAGCCGGTTAAATATCCACTCAAATCATTCTTTAAAACTCTAATAACTCCTAAGGCATCATTATGTTATTTAATGGCTCTAACAAACAAACCATTTGAAAAACATCTCAATTCTTATAATTCAACTGATCTTCTATCAATATCAGCCAATCTTTGAGTAGCCCATGCGATATAATCTGTTGCTTCCTACGCAATAATTGATATTATAGTTACTCTGTATTCAACTCCGATTTATTCTCTTCTTGCTTTTGCACTTGCCCATGCCTTTTAATTGAGTTCGTTGACTTTTGAAAGTGCAGCAATTCTAGCCTATCCAATTTCTTCATCTGATATATTTTTTTCATCAGCAACACCTTAAGCTTCAATGTTACTTGTTTTCAAATCATTCAATAAATCATATACTGCTTAGACTGCATCATTCGATTCTGATCCTGTCTATTAATTTATTCACATCTATTACCTATAATAATAGAGAGAAATCTATTTCAAAGGCCTGTGTGCAAACCAAAGCCAATAGCCCAACAATAATGAATTTATTCATTTCTTAATATTAATAACATGTATTATATAAAAACGGGTATTACTAATAAATTAATTATTTTAATATTCATTAATTTAACATTTTCTCTAACTCCCCTACTTTTTTCTCCAACAAATTCATGTGATTAGTTTGTTCCAACCTTAATTCGATGAATTTTATTTGTTACTAACTCAAGAATTCCACCAAAGGTTTCCAATGAATATTTTGTCTTCGCACTATTGAAACAAATTACTCCACAGTTTTATCAAAATCTATTTTGAGCAACTCTACAATTTGATTTATGTGTGTATCCCTAGATCTTCTTTGTTTTGCTAAATTATTCTCTTATAATTCGAGCAACCAATGTCTCAGGAGAGAGTTCTCATTCGTTAATTACATAATACATTGACTAACTCTGACACCATCATTAAAATGTAACAGATAAATCACTGTAGACTTAAGTGCTTTTAATAAGAAATCCTGAGACTCTTAGAATTCTAAATTAGACTCTGGTTTTTAGCATAAAAGTAAATATTTATTAATCTTTTCTAAGATTGCTTATAATTATTGCCATTAGAATTAACTTTTCACTTATCCCACTGATTTGCTCAAACACTTTGTAATTAATGTATAAAATTATTTAGATTATTTATCTTATTCTTTCACTTTTATTAAAATATCTAAAAATGCTAAATACAAATTAGATAATTCTTAATTATTTAAGATCTTTATTAAATTTTGATTAATAAAACTATAGCAACTCTTTTGAGCACCATCCTTATTACCTACCTTTGTTGATTCTTCTACCATTTTAAATATCAATATATCAAATATGACATAAAACTTATCATAAGATATTAATTTCAAAAATTGGCCAGATGATAATATATGAACAAGTTTTTCTAACAACTAGTTAAGATTATCGCATGATTATTCTTTAATGAAATTATTTAACAAAAATATTATTTGATCTGCTAATAATTGAGGATTCTCAAAATTATTGGTTTCTCTATATTTATAATACAACTATTAAAATATTCTAGCATTCTGATCAAACTCAATTTCCATTTAATTTGGAATATTTTATTGTTATTGAACTAGAGTTTTATTTCCACTGTTAATTTGAGAGTTGATTTATGGTATACCTGGAATTCCAATGAAAGGAATTGTTTTGGCTGGAAAATTCTTTTTTTCTGAGTTGGTTTATTCAGGTTTTAATTATTCTGCAACAAATAAAGGATTAAACCTTGAACCATTTTATTCTTCATATTAATTATTATCATTATTTAGAGGTTTTTAAAGAATTGCAGAATGCTAGAATTATTGAGGAGTTACTTAGACTATTTACTTATTAATGATCACACTTTCCTCTTTCCAAATTAAAGATATTAATTATGCTATCAGTTACTTTTATTAAATAGTGCTGTTCATATTCCAATCTTTTGAATTCTCGAACATAATTTGTATCAATTGATTTGCTTATTGATTAGATTATTCATCAAAGTCCTCGAATGAAGCTAATAAAGGTTATTAGAAACAATATTTTTTATACTCACTCAAAATATTCATTAGTAATGGCAGTGTTCTTTATGCTAATTTTGGAACCCCATTTCTAAAATATACTAAAATCATCATTTTAATGTATGAAAATATGATCTATTATTCTAAGAATGTTGGAATATGTTAGGTTATTAAAATCTGGAATAATTGTGAAATTTCCTATTGCAAAGGTATATTCTCTTTCATCCACGATATCAAGTAAGCCCATTTAAAAAATATTTCACTGAATTCTCCAGGCTACGGCATTTTGGTTTTAATATAAGCAGCTGCTAGTTGGTTTTATTATATATTATAGCTAAACATCTTTTCATAGAGAACTTAAGGAATTTAAGGGACTTTTAATTGTTCCTTTATTCTTTCAAAGTGTTAATCACTAAATGTATTTAATGGAAAAGGTGTCATAGGTTTTTCCTCCGATTAGATTTTCTTAACTTCAAATAATTGCTTTAGGGCATTCTGGCATTCTTAAACCAAGGATCTTGTCTTCAAATTAGATAAATGTTAATGGTTTTTAAGAAATTCAGTAATGATCTATTGATCAATGTTTTTTTCACATTGTGGTATATATTTTAATAAAATGTTAAGTACTTCTATAAGTTAACTCTGAGTTGATGCATTTTTAAAAGTTGTAATTAATTATGTTAAGTGATTAGGCTTATAGGTTTGAGCACATTTATCAAATAAGGAATAGCATAGTGGTTTTTATTCAGCCATTTTATCAATGATAAATTCCATGGTTGTACTTAAGATGTATTTGGATTACTAAGTAATTTGTAGTAAAATATTTCCTAATTCTGATTAGTCTTTATTTTTAGCTGATTTATACTATTTTAAGAATGCATCAACTTAATTTGGAGTCATGGCAGTTGAATATTGTAAATCTTAAGTTTCGAATGTATTTAACTAATTAATATGAAGTGGTTTATTGATGTTGGGTTATAAGGATTATTATTTTTGTGAATTGGCATTAGGAGTTGTTTGCTATAATTATAAATTTTCTTTATTTGGTATAAATTATTGTTATTATTATTCTACAACATCTTTCCCTGATAGTGCTTTAATTCCTTCCATATATATATTTACCTAATTCTAATATTTAGTGTATTTATCACCTTTCAAATCTGTCACCATGACTCCATTATATAATTTAGCAGATATCTTAGCCAATAACATGATTGATTTGGCTCTTACATCAGCATTACCATCTTCTGTCAGTTTCTTACAGATGGGGAGTAATTATTTAATACATTAGAGTTTGGTCAATTTATCTTTAGAGGTTTCATCTAAATAATAATCAACTATTATAAAAACATTGACTTTCGGCCCTGGAGCTTTGTCATCCAATAGGGTTTTGAGTTCTTCAAAGAGTTCATCAAGATTACAACAATAAAATAGTTTTTTAATTGCTGAAATAGTTTCATCAACAATATTTTATTTTTTGTCCTTTAATTTAGTCAACACAGGAAGCATGATTATTTTAACATATTGATTAAAGTTCTTTCTTAACCCATTAGCCATACATCCAATTATTTTGATACATTAAGTACTTATAATCATCTATTATTCATTCAGCAATTTCTTTAGTAATTATACAACTGAATATATATTTGGGGATGGTAGTATTTTTGGAACAGAACATGATTTCTATAGAGTGTCTAATTACTCCTTCTTCTCTTACCACTTTTCCAGTTAAAATACTTTTTCACACCAAGATTCAGTATATTTTGAAAATACTTCAACTGCTTCAACTAAATCATACAATTCTTAATTATTTGTGTCAGCTTCCCCCTCTTGATTTGGAGCCTTCTATACTTCAGTGATAGTCTCCGCCAGTTTTTTCAAATCTTATTGCAGTTTCTCATTCAAACCTCCAAAAAAGGCTTCAATGTTTTTTCCATACCATTTTGTTACTTCCTTATAAAATGCAACTGCATCTGCCTTTACTGTGCTTTATTGAGCCTCAGTTAATTTCGACATAACAGGAAAAAATGGCTTCAAGTTTTCCAACTTTTTAAGGCCAAACTATTGAAGCAACTCAGTTAATAGGGCAATTGTAGCTTAAACAACTTTGGGATTTTTATGCATCAATTATTAGATTATGATTTCAAAAATAGCAGACTTGCAAGTAGGAAACAGTTGGTTTGCCACAGAATAACCCAGTGGCTTTAATTTTTATTGAGTTAACACTTTCTCTAATAAAACTTTAATAATTTCTTTTTATTATGAAGACTCTATTTAGTTATGATTTTCAAAATATTTTTATGCTATCTAAAGTGCTTTCTCTTAGCATTAAATATGTATATCTTATATAATAGAGAGGACGCATTCACAATCCACTTCTTCGTCATTCACTAATTCTTCATAAGCTTAAAGCCTTACTTTCCAAACTTTAGATTTAATTCGTTACTTTAATGGTAAATCTACTTTCTCTGATTATTGAGGATCAAAATCTAAGGTATTAATAACTAAATTACCTGGTGGAAACTCCTCTAACATAAAATTCTTTTTTGATTACCCAACCGGCAATTCATCTATTTACATTTTGAATTTATTTTATATAAATTTTTTAATACCCGAACAAATTATTGTTAAATTATTCATTATAAAATTTATTAGAGCAAATTATTTGTCATTCATTTTTATGGAAATGGAAACACTAAAAAGCACCTTCTTGTATTAATATTGGCAAAGCAATAATCGAATTCTTTTTCAAGGCCGTCTCATGATTGGCCCAAAAACAGACATACTAGTATATTATGATTCAAATGAGATTAGGCTAATTTGTTTGTCTGGGGATTGGTCCTAGTATTACCAATCCCCTTCTACTTGTCCACGTGGGATAAGACTTGGGATATCTCTCCAGCCATTCCCTTCTTAACGATATTCCTGTAATTAGCCACTATTATATTCCTGCTTCTCACATCCACGACAGAACCAGGGATTATTCCTAAGAAATAACTTCAGTTAATAGCAGGAACCAATTTTTACTTGGAACAATTTCAGGATTCCAGATTTTGCGAAACATGCGAGATTTACAAACCCCTCAGAGCCTCTCATTGTAGGTAATTATGATGTTGTTATCTAGTGATTGTAACAATTGTGTATTGGTCTTTGACCATCACTGTCCTTTTGTGAATAATTGTATCGGGAAAAGAAATTATAGGTACATATAGAAAATACGCATAGATATTTCTTTAGCTTCCTAATATCAATATTTGCATTTGGATTGGCAGTCATAATTTCAGCTTTGTTATGTCTTTCGACAGTCAGTGATTATGAAGATCAAAAGACATTAGTTATTTTATTTTTAGTTCCTGTTATCATTGCCTCCTTGGTCGTATTGATATTCTTTTTGTTTCACGTGTTCTTGAGGATTACGTATTTCATACATTATAAGTTTTAGGGGGAAAACCACAAGAGAAAAATTGAAATAAATTTCCAAAACTGGAGATGAAGATTTTGATTGGTTAAACTTGAACGAAAGTTTGTTTTCATTGAGACTTTTAATTTGATTAATATTTTTATTATATATCTAACTGTTAATACATGAATGATTCTATGGGATCTCTGTCAACTAATGATTCCTAGGAGGGACAAGAGAGAAAAAAAAAGAAAAGCAATGCAATACTCAAAAAGACAGTCCGACCAATAAATATTAGTTATAATGAAGTTGTTCAATTGCTTAATCCATAAAATTTCTTTATTAACAAAAATTTAGAAGAATAATTCAATGTCATTCAAATGTATCATTAAATCTTATTTCAATAGAGTTCATGAAACTTCATATTTTCCTTACTTTAAATTTATTTTTGATGAAAATTTAGTATGCTCAGAAAGAAAATGGGATCGTCTACCCACAATGATCAGATTAACATCATGATTATTGCTATATTATTTAGTTAGAAATTATTATATTATTTAATACTAAAATTAGCAATTCGCTATGAACTATTAAAGTAAAAGATCATAATTTCCATCTATGTGTCAATCAAATTTATATACTTTATTGACAAAAAAGGGAGTATTTCTTAATTATCTTATCTTAAATGTGTTCTTAATAGTATTGTTATTAAACCAAATAAATTTTATATAAATGTTATAAAATTTGTTTGATTATTCGAAACCTTTACCAAAAGTTTTATAATAAGGCTAATCTAACAAGTCTTAAAGGGAAATATTAGTTATAATTCTTCTTTATTAAGAATGATAGTTTAAGCACTATAAGATTGATGAAATCAAAGCACTGTTCGTTAATTTCAAACTATATTTGTTCGTCAAAGTTGATTATTTGCTTTTAAATAATTAATTCGCTTTATGTAAAGTGAAACAGAGTCATAAATTATTATAATTTTGAAATAAAATGGATTATGAATTTGGATTTGGTTAATTCTATAACTAGGATTTCGAATTAGCAATATATAAGAAAACATTAGATCAGGATTATAAAAAGATTTCGTATAAGTTTGGAACCACAAGCAGATTATCCCCTAACAAACTAGAAACTTATAATTAACATCATCTATATAACAAATTGTTTAAGAATGAAAAATAGAGAAAAAGTATATAAGTTAAAGCTTAGACTATTAATCCCAAGACAGTTAAACACTTTCTAGACAATAAAGGAAGATTTATCAATTAGACTCAAAATAAAGTCTACGATGTAATCAAAGGAAAATATTACATCATGTAACTTGGGCAGATCCCACTTACTTATAGATCGAATACTCCTACTTACTAGTCTTAAAGCAGATAATATACTTAGACATCATTTTATTAAGGGCCGAGAACTCACAGGAAAAGATCAACAACTCCTTCATCTTAAAGGTAAACGACTTGTGATGAAATTTTTAAGGCTTGTTAGATTTAACTGAAAGAATAATTGGAATTAAAAGAGACTGTATATAGAATGAAGAGTTGGAGTTCGAATCGATATGACAAAAATTTTAAAAGACCTTAAAGTTGCTATTAACATCGAAATCATGAGCCAAGAAGCAATTAATATATGAACTAAAATATTGAGAATATTTTTAAGCTTTCAAGTTCCTTTAAAGACTGAATCAATTTTTGTTTACTATGAAAATAGAATTTTTAATACATGAATTTATTAAACCACATAATTTTCGCTAGCATTTGATGTTGACAATTAAAACCATTCTGCCATATATTTATCATAATCTAAATTTTCACTCCAATCAATAAGATTCTAGACTTCTTTATCAAATTCATCCTAATTATATGAATATACTCATACATCATCCATTTCTAAATATTGTTTAGTTTAAGTAAAGAAGTCCTATGGCTATTACTCCTGCTTCAATTATTGGGTTCCTTCCTTTTATTTTTATATGCTTTAAGCCCATTTCAATTTATTAAGTCTAGTCTTCTTATTAACTTTTTCCTCCCTCTTGTCTTTTTTATGATGATAATATCTAATTTTATTGGCTGTGTATAATTCAACGAAATCTGCTTTGATCATTTATTTGTTAGAGATCTATGGTTATTACAATAAATTTAAACTGGTCTCCATCCATTGTTATCCAACCTTAGATACCATCCTTGATTATCATATTTTTATTGATTTTTTTTATATTCTGAGTATGCAACTTTTTCATGGGGAATGGGATCTCTTTGGAGTGATGAGTAGTCTCTTGGAGCAAAGGCATTTAGATCTACAATTCCACCATGGCTATATATTTTATAATATATGATGGGAGGGAATTGCTAGTATAGTATGAGGGGATGATGTACTTCTCCACCGAGTCGAAATCTGATGTGCGATTTGCAAGCTGCATCTAACAATTGAGCCTCGTTGGGGTTGATGGCTTTTAATAATCTAGCAGGGTTTCCTCTATTATTAGCAGTTATTCAGTACTTGCATTTAAATAATATAATATCCTTGTAATATTGGAATATTTTTCGATTGGTAAAGGATCTCCAAGCTCTAATATAAAAAAATGGAGTTCTACTTCTATATTTTTCTAGCCTATTAATCTTCCATTATAATTAATAATTATATAAAAAATTTAACATTCCGTTAATGTCTTCAAAAATCACTATCTATGGTATTATTAATCATGAAGATTCTGATCTTTTCGAAAGTGCTGGATCATTAACATTGAGAACACCTAGGAATGTACCTAATTTCAATGAAACAACCTCATTAACCATTCCAGGTTACATCAAATAAATTTGTGCAGGTCAATCTCACATATTAGCCTTAACTTAAGACGGAAACGTATATAGTTATGGCTCAAATTAATTTGGTTAAAGAGGCTCAACAGGACCAGGATTTCAATTAGTGATGAAGAATGTCCTTTAGATTGCAACAGGATTATATCATTCTGTTGCAGCAACAAGAGATAATAAAGTATATGTTTGGGGTCGAGGATCAGAAGGTTAACTAGGATTGGGAGACACCGAAAATATTGAAAAGCCTACAGAACTCAGCATTTAAGGGCAGGAGGTTTGTTGTGGTAGTTTTCATACTCTAGTAAGAAATGGAGAAACTTGTTATGTGATGGGAGAGAATTAGAATGGATAACTGGGAGTCTTAGGATAACATGCAAGTCCTGTGAAATTGAGTATACCTGTTGAATAAATGGCTGCAGGTTTGGATCATTCCTTATTTTTATATAAAGGACAAGTAAATTGAGTTTCAATATTTAGGTTTTTGTTACAGGAAACAACTTATTTGGATAATGCGGAGTATCAGACTAAGTAGTAAGAGAGCCTATGAAATTATCGTTAAATTTTGAAGTACAATAAGTGATTGCCTCTATGGGAACATTTAGTTGTGTAATAAGCAAATAAGGCAAAGTCTATTTTTGGGGAACTGGGAGTTGGGGCTATGCCAGGAAGTGTACTCCATTGGAGGAGTTATGTAAATTAGATGAAGGTTAGAGAGTGTCATAAGTAATCTCTGGAGAAAACTTCGCAATGTTGAAATGTTTAGATGGATGGTATGTTTTTGGGATGAATAAAATGCCTGAAAATTATTCATAACAATAGACACACAGGATTTCATTAAGCAAAGTCAATTTAGTTGATGGCTAAATCAGTGCGGGTCTTAATATTGTTTTTGTCTATTCCCATATTCAAGAAGTGCAAAAGCCTACTTAATAAATGGCTGTTGATTAAGGATCCTATGTGTCTTAATCATCAGAGCAAGAATACAAATAGAGATCAAGTTTTAAACAAAATAATGAAATAAGGCAATCCTATTAGATGGCACAATCTGTTGCCTATTAACCATCAAGTGCAATGAAGAGTTCATTTGTACAACCTTCAGCCTTGAGATAATCTCAATAAGTTACTAATGTCTCTTAGTTTTCTAATTAAGTTAGTACTTCCTTATAGTTTTAAAATGAGTATCAATCAAATAAAATTGAATCTAAATAAGGGAAGGACTACAAACTTAGTGATCTACTTTATCGATCTGATCACAAGTAGGAATTTAGATAGGACCTTAAATTAGATCTTAAATAATCAGAATAGAAGATCAGAACAGAATCAAGAACTCCTGATAATAGAAATGATAGAAAATCTGATCATAAGGCACCTCTTAAAGAAGATGAGTTAAAACATGAACTAAAATAAGAATTACTTAAATTAGAAAAGAGATAAGAGCAATTCAAATAAGAGATCATTAACTAATAATAATAATTGGATAGAAAAAATGAAAATTTGAAGGAAATTACATTTGGTCTTAAGTCTGATGTCAAACCCCTGTAAGAAAGAAATATTACATAATAACCTTAGAAATGTTATGATTGCTAACATTTTGTTTAAAAAAATGATTACTATTAAAAGCATATTAAATTTTAGGAAGAAGAAATAACTAACCTTAAAAAGGAATTAGAAATCTTGAAAAATCAAATAAAATAAAAAGATAATTATGTAAATGAATTAGAAAATAGAATTTTAAAATATTAAGAAACTAGTTTTAAATAAGTCGGTTTACAATAATAATAATAATAATAATAATAATAATAATAATAATAATAGCCAATAATTTATAAACCTACTATGGAAGTTAGATTGAAAAGCGAAGAAAAATAACCTGTTACCAGAGACGAATAATAAATTAATTACTAAAAGATTATTGATTACTCACCTAAAATTTATAGATAACCTATCATTGATTAATCACCAAAAGAAAGAACTTTTAATACAAGTATTATTGATAAAATTTAAACATATTAACAATCTGCAAAAGCAGCCAGACCAGTCCATCAGAATCTAATGAATAGATATTCAGCTCATGAGGTTCAGCCATAATAAATCTATTAACCAAATACCTACGTTATACCACAATACTTCAAGGCCAGAAATTGAGAATGAAATTTGTTATATACTTTAAAATATAAAAAATAGTATTCTAGTAATGTATAATAACTTATGACATAGGATGATATAATTTTGATATAGTTTGCTTAGTATTTCATTCTAGATTTAATATAAAATAATTTATAATATTAATGTAAAATTTATATAATCATTAATTAAGCAGAGAAAATGAAAAATGAGTAAGATTGTTTTTTTATTTAGTTTTAATTTATGTATTACAACCAAAATGCTATAACAAATATTTGATTATGATTAAGGTTGTTGCCGTTAATGGATCTTAACAATTCAATTTCTTATCTAAATGTATTAGATTTTGTTGAAGATGGGATTAGTTTATTGACATGTCCTCTTTATTAACAAAAAATAATGGTTTGCTAAAATAAACTCTAATCTAAGGAATAATCTATTTAGTAGATTACATCAAAGTAAAATGAATGGATTCAATATTGTTTTCATTAACTTTAGATGATATCTTTATAAATCCATCCTTTTTTTTGTCTCTAAATTATAGTAATGAAATAAAGATAATTAATACTGAGTTTAGATCTATGCTGAGATACTAAGTTTTTAATTTGTTAATAATCTCCAAGTGATGCCCGAAGACAGTTTTTAACATTTTTACAACCTGGTCTGGACTGTATTTCTTGATATGAATTTCATATAACATATTAGGAGTCTAGAGAATGTTAAGACATACAAAGTAATTCATACATTGCAACTATGAAAATCTGTCATTCTTCTCTTTAAAGTAAGCACCTATACAACGTTAGGCCAAAGAAGTAATGAGTCTGTTTTTGAGATTCAACTCTAGTTTCTCATGATTTTATTAATTATTATTTAAGCATTCCGTAGCCATGATGACCATTTATTGTTCATCTGTCCAATAAATTACTAATTAAACTTTGAATTAGTATTCTAATATGTTAGATTGACAAATTAGTGAATTGATTAACTTATCTTAATTTCCTGTTTTTCTCAATTCGAATGCAGAACCAGGCGATGAATTATCTTGTAGCATCATTCGAATATGTTTTTCAAGTGTGCACTTATTGTCCTCGCCAGATAGCTTCGATCCTCTAGAATATGTTAGCTAATGATTATAAGAATTAATTACATTTCTGAGAACTGTTCTTAAATCATTATCATTATTAACTTGCAACATTTCCTTGGTAATATTATTCATCTAATGGATTCTCAATTAGTCTTGTTGCTTGTCTAACTTGACTACTACAATAGATTGTTATAAGACCGTGTCGATTATCTAAAATTCTTAATTTAATTACTGCAAACCATTTTTTCCTCTCTCTGTTATGTAAAAATTGCAGTCTTTTGCCGTTCTCTATGGTATATTTGATTGCAATCATTCCAACAATAATGGATATAAAATTTAACAATAAACCAATGTAGACTTGCGAGGAATTGTAAGACCATAAAATGTATATTAGCAATAGGGCTGTTACAATAATAGCTTGTGACAATATTAAATATCCTTGAATAAATATAGCTAAGTAAATATGATAAATATACCGATGTGAAAATAGCAAGCACAAAATCCATAATACCAATCATAACTTGGATCAAAGGGATTATTTGAATTTGTTTCCCTAAAATTATAGTCAAGACTCTGAACCAAAAACAAAATTATTTACAAAATAGGTAAAACTATGTTTATAACACTGGGGTATTTATCGATTAAAAACTTAGAGAAGATTATAAATATGACACCAAATGAGCAACTAAGCAATATGACTAAAAAATAAGGCTGACTTTTCAAGTAATAAATTGATTAAAATATCATGTATAACTATTATTCTCAATATAAAAATACGCATATTTGTAAAGTGAATGCGGAATACTACTTTTTCACAACTGGCATTTGACTTTCTCTATACTCTAATTCTAGATTAACCGATTAAAAGGTTAGAGAGTATTTATTAAACATTTAATTATTTACACTTTTAGAATAATTGAACAATTAAAAAATGATTTTAAAAAGGTTTTAAGTAGCATTGATGATAGAAATTTGGTATTTCAGAACATAAAATGAATTAGCATAACCTCAATTTGCCAATAAACAGAATTAAATTAAAAAAATCTTTTTTTAATTAGTTCTTTTTTTAATGTAACTAGAGTTTTTATTAAGCAAAACAATAAAACATATTTTTGGAGAAATTTAATTTGCAATTATAATTTTATTTATGTACATCAAATCTAGCTAATCAATTAAAAATTGCTAAATTCTTGAAACCATAAACTAATCATGAGTCAAGTATCGTCTTAATTCAGTTCTATGTTTAATCAGCAAATTTAACTAAATTGAATAAACATACATAAAAATATTAATTTAATAAGATTAATCTCCAGATTTACTTTCAACATTATAATTGGTCTCAAAAAACAGCAAATAAGCACTGACTTAGATTCCATTATTGATATAAAATAATATCATTAAATTATATAAAGAATACGATAATAGTTAACACATGTTTTTATAGAATAATCAGATATTATTTTATCATTCTAAAATGATTACCAATAGATTTAATAAAATATGTAAGTATGTTGAATATTCTTCTTAAGGGGAAACAGGTTCATCTGGTTTAGCTCCTGGATTATCCTCAGCTTCATTTTCAATAACAACAGGATATGAAACACACTAAGTCAAGTTCCAAGCACATTATCCAAAATGACAATAATCCTTTGTCAATAAAGCGCAATCAGCATATTCATATTTGATGCACTGTAATTTATTATTGGACAATTTCAATAGAGTACCTAATATTCGATGAGTTATTTACATGGACCATAAATGCAATTATCTGCTCCGTACAAAGAACTACAATTACTAGTACCATCAATGGATTTACATAATTATGAATCTGAATTATAAAAGCAATGATTTGGATCTGAATTGCAAGCTGAACTACTTCCATTGTTAGTTTCACAAATATCTATTGGGATACATTTATTATTTTGAAGTAAACATTTGCTAGAATACATGCAATTTTTAGTTTCTAGTTTCAAACAATTCACGTTTTCAATACTTTCGCATTTTCCAGATTACCAAGAGCAAATGGCTTTATTACAAGAGTCTTCTCTAACGATATTTTTGCAAGCAGTTTAGCTCGTAACTCTTCTACAGACTTGTTGATCAGAATCGAAATAACATGATTAGGTTGTATCTTACTCGCATTCTGATTTTGATGCGTTATCTTTGCATTATTTTCTTGTTTGACATTCACCTTTGACAACGAAACACTTTTGATTAAATTTGCAAAAGTCTTGACTTATATCTTCACAACTAAAATCAAAGATAGACAAACATAAGTTTCTAGTCTCTGACCATTAGCACATATTATCTTTGATTATTTTTTGATTACTACAAGCATTTTGACCTAAAAATTCACAATTTGTGTTAGTTTTGATAATAGAACATAGATTCATGACTTAATCAAAATAACAATCCAAAGTATCACAATTATCAGCTGTTTTACCATTACAATTTTAAGTGGAATATTTCCAATTACATATTTATAAACTGCCATTCCAAACGCAATTAATATCAGCATCACAATCTGAGTGTACAAATTTCTAACAATAAAAATCTTGAAGAATTTCTTCGCAAATTTAAGTGTCCATATTGAATTTACAATTAGTAAATTGATTACACTTCTTTTCACCAATTTGTTTACATTGAATATGTTTCGTCAATTATTTACATGTTTATTCATACTCATCAAAATAACAAAAAAATGTGGATTCATCACAGTCACCTTTCACTTTAAAATCAGCACAACTCAAATAAGACTTACATTTAGTATCTTCAAGGTAACAATTTTCATTATTTAAGCATCTATTACTATCAAGTTGAGTGCAAGAAACAACTGCATCATTAAACATTTAACATTTTTGATCAATCCATATGCATGGTGCAGTTCCACTATTACATTTATCTTACTATCTAATTAAATCACATGACGTTTTTGCGCTTATCCTCTTGCATTTACCTTCCGTTTCATCATAATAACAATTCAAATCTGAGATCCCACATTCAAAATGAGCATTGTTGTAATTAATAATCTAGATGAATTCACATCTGCTTTTCAATGTACACTTTGTGAAATTATACTCTTCTTTGTCTGTTTCACTCTTTATCACACCTATTATTAATCCAAATTCATATAACCATGTTCCCACTTTCCTTCCATCCTATTGGTTACTGTCCACCTCATTCATTAAAGTGTAATTCTAATTCAAATAGAGCACTTGTGTTTGATTTACTAATTCGCACTAGTAATTCCATTAACACATTGTTTTTGGATAACTCTAACAAGGAGCCTAATCCCATTCCTTTGATATAGAATAGTTTTATACATAACATCGTTCTTCGATTGGATCCCATAAACAAGTTCCCAGTTTACATGATTTCTCGGTGTTTAATTATTCACACACCGTGAAAAAATTCAAGCTCTCCAATATTATTAATTAATACCATGCATATATCATTTACTTTATCAAGTATGACACCCGATTCCTTATTTTGAGCTGACAAATACGGCACATTGGCTTCAAGTACGTAACCTAAAGTAATTGCTCAAAATAAGTACAAAAGTTTGATGATTACTAACATTGAGTTATGTCAGTGATAGTGGAGCAATTGAAAGTCAAATCCTCACTACTAAACACAATGCAAAACAATGCAAATAATAATAGATTATTAATCTACATCACTTCCTATATTAAAAAATAATATATGAAAAATTAATCAGCTTTATTATTTTAAATAGGTTGTTCTGGGCGTCCTCTACTTCCTTAAATTCTGGAAGTCCTCTAATTAATTAGAATACCTTATTGTGTTAGTAGAGGGAGCAAAGTACTCATTATAGGGACTAACACTATCAGGAAGTTTAATAAGTTTTTCACTTCTTTGATTTAAATAAAGTTCCGGCATTTCATCATTCTTTTACGATTTGAGCTTTAATCAAGATATTTAATACTTATATACTTTACAAAGGTTGTGATTGTTCCGATATCGTATCTGCTCTACCTAATCTCTTTGATTGCTTAATGTTCGGAGTGAGTTCTGCAATAAAGTTCTTGGAAAACTTACGAGTCACTGCCTATCTCAAAGAAACAACAGGCACAATTTTTATATCTTATTGTATTTACTCATGCAAAGGTAAAAGTAGCTGATATTAAAGATAAGTCATCCAGAATCCAAAAAAAGATATAAATATAATTCCTATTGATATGGCTTTTAATATGTCTCTCCTTTTTTAACTAAAATATAACTATGTATCATTCAATTCGATAAAAACAACACCGAAAAAACACATTAACAATATGATCACTCCTAATACGAGATCAAATAAAGAAGTCAAAATGTTTAAAACAACCATAAATCGTCCTATTTTTATAACTGAATGGCGAAAAAAAAAAATTATTTCTGCTATCAATCCCAAGATTAGAAAACTGCCTATATTCTCATAAAGTAAATACCTAAACTTAATAAGGTAATTGTAATGGGCAATGAAAAATGAAACAGTTCAATTAAGTTCAAAATCCCTGAACCTCCCATTATCATTAAAGTAAGTCCTTGAATCCCATTAGTTATCATCATTAAGTAAAAGTAATGTTTAAAAGTAAAGAAAATGCAGCAATAACATATACCCACACTTTGATCCTTAAAATCCATTGCAGTAATTGATTTATTTATTATCAAATTAATTGTAAAATACTACGTATTCCCTAAACTCTATTACGAGTTATGACCAATATATACAGTATTAAAGCATATTATTAATTCATATTCATTAATTTGAGTTAATTTTAATCAAAATTGAAATAATCTATTTTATCAGTTCTCAGAATCCTTAACCTATTTCATTATAAATAACTAATGATATATTTTGATCAAACTATCTTTTCACAGCAATTTAGTCTTAAAATCTAACCTTCATTTTAATTCAATAAATTCAGCAACTTTATTTTAGACACTAACTTATTTATTCCTTATTAACAATTTTGCCTTAATTAATTATAGTCTTGATTGTTTCAATTTATATTGATATCATATTTCAATTGAAAATGGATGTCTTTATCAAAGTAGATAAAAATATTTACAACACTCCATTAATATGCTGAATTTTATAATAAATTACCTGAGATACATAAGAGGAGATGGACATTTATTAAAGATTTAGATTAATTAAGTCAATATTTAGATAATTTTCATAAACTTTAACAAATTTATTCTATAATTCAATTAAAATATAGTGTAATTAATATTTTTCTGATAAATGGATTCAACTTTAAGTAAAATAAATAACATGGCTGAGAAGGCAATGTTGGAATTACAGAAGCAGCCACTAGTAACATGGAATTCTGGCTGTTTAAACACTTTAAAATATGTATTAAATTGCTCTAACAGATATTAGATAAATTAAAATCATGTGTTGAGGAAGTGAGTTTTATTTTGATGAGTAAGGATCTTAACCCTGAGGCTTCATTATTGTAAAAATTATCAGCAAATTATGGTCTTGTTTTTGAGAAGGTTCTTGAGATAAATTCAAGGAAAATAGTGAATGCTCCTGAGTTACCTATTGAATATTGTTAGAGATAGCCTAATTCTACGAGAACTGTCTTGGGTGGAACTGAAGTGCAGAATTTTAGTACTTTATGGTTAATATAATTTAGAGATATTTTCTTAAAAACAGTCAGATTTTATAGAAGCAGAATAAACCTTCAAAATGAATAAACAGAAGATCTTTAGGAAGATGGAGAACAAAAGTACAAGTACTAGTGATGATGCCATGATTAAATTGTTTTAGGGTAACATACAAAATGAGACAGAAAAAGAATTGTTGAGAATTTAAGAAGAAAACGAAGCTAATTTGATTGACTTAAGAAAACAATTGAAGTTAAAAGGATTGTGGTCAGAAATAACTAGTAGTCATGCCACTTAAAAATTGAGTGATCTTAATAGACATATGGAGAGGGAGACTTTTAAGAATGATTTATACATAACTGAATAAATAAAGTTAGCAAATGAGATCAAGGATGAAGAGGAATTCGATATAAAAAAAGAAGTTAAAGATAAGATATTGTTGGTTTAAAGGAAGACAGCAGAAAGAATAATGAGAGCAGCAGAGAGAAAAATTAGACTTGAATAAGATGCCTTTGTAATGAAAAAAACAGCTGGAATTTTAGTAAAAAAGAGCAAGACCTAAAACTTTTAGAGAATTGAAGAATTAGAGAGATTAATAAAGGACAAGAATGATTAGATAGTTGAAAAAGAAGCCAAAATTAATTAGTTATTTTAAAAATTTGAGGAATAAGAGAAGAAATTTGCAGGTTTATTAAAACAGATTGATAATTATAAAGTTACTTAAAAAATAGAAGTATGTAATACAATAGTATCTAAAAATGGAAAGAAATCTGATGTTGAAGTTTAGGTTTCTATGATGGATCCAAGAGTTGAGTTATTTGAATTGAGATTATAAGAAATTATGGAGGAAAATGATGAAATGAAAGATGAATTAAAATTATTACATGAAAAAGCATTGGAAGATAAGATGTAAAGTTTAAATGGACCAAAATAAATAGAAGAAGTCTTATTATTATTACTCTAAAGTGATTTGTCACCTGATAACAAAATAATCTCACTTAATACTCTCCTATAATATATTAAGGATAATTCAGCTGAAGACATTGCAAGATTAGCACCAAATGAGTTATATCGAATAGTAAGGTCTAAATTAAAATTTAATTGTGAATCCCCATTAGAAAAACTAGATGAATTATCTGGAGATGAAGATGATAGTTATGAATAGTAATCTATAACAAAAAAAAGAGGGAGAGATAAAAAGAAAAGAAAAAGTCACATTGAAAAACCATTTGATGCCTAAATACAAGAGTCAATAGATCTTGATAAAATTGCTACGTAAAGAAGATTGGCCTAATCAGAGACTGATGACGAATAAAGTAGAATATAGAAAAAATAAATAATCCAATTAAATCAGATTGATGATATAAATAAGAAAGCCAGTGTTAATAAATTAATTGAATAAGTCAGTAGTCCCAAATCTACAAACAGATCTAATATCACATTTAGATAGAAGTAAGGATATTTAAAGACCAATCGAAATAATAGCGCTGTTAATAATGATAGTTCTAAAAAGGATTAAAATTCATCTTCTGGATAATTTGGAATCCAAAACAGTAGACAAACGCTTACGTAACTTGAAACCAAAAGTAATAAATAATCCTTTACAAATTTCTCAGCTAAAGAATTGACTTCTTAAAAAGGAGAAAAACAACATAAAAAACCATCAATTATGGATTAAAGTGATATTTAATGTGATTTTTATAAGTAAAATAAAACAAAAGATATTGGAATACAAGTTTCATTGAAATAGGAGCCTTAGATTCCAACTTAATAATAATAAAAGCATATATAATCTCCTGTTTAATAACCTTAAAAATAGTAAGAGGAAAAGGAAAGAGTAGAAGAGGAGACAAAAAAGCTAAATGAATCCTAAATTTACAGAGCCAAAGCAGAATCTATTTCATAGAAGAATACTTAAACAGATGATTTCTTTTTATGGAATCTTTTTTAGAAAATGGCTGGTGATCTTGGTCTTACAGAAGAGTAATTAAAAAAATTGGAAATAGCATTTTTAAATGAGTAATAATTTGTCCATTACTATGAAAAAACATAGTCTTAAAAATAGATAACTAGAAATTCTACTTTATAAGGGGATACTTTAGGAGATTTCAAAAGGGATAGTTTAAAGAATCTTGATAAAAGTATTGGCATTAGAAATTCCATTAAACTTAGAACATGTAGTTAATAAAATATATACACTAATAATGAATTAATAGACAATTTTGCATATTAAAAAAATGAAATAGATGATGATTAATAAAAGAATTAACATACACAACCAACTACATGGCATTCACCCGTTGTCAGTCGATAACAAAGTTAAATAGTATTTTCAGGAACCTAAAATTAAAATAATAACTTTGGGGCAATAAATTAGCCTTGGAGTCCAAATGGAATTGGAAATGGCTTAAGATCTAATAGTCCAATGAATCCAAATTCAAGTTAAGGTATTAGAAGCGTCAGTCAACTTATAAACACAGGAGATAATGTTCATATTATCACATATGGAACTGTATCTCCAGCTGATTAAATGAACAGGAATAAGCATAGAACCACATCTTCAAGTCAGAAAATTTTAGATGACATGTTGAAATCTAAGACTTAAATTTTAAAATCACCAGACTAATAATAGAGAGAATAAAAAGAACAGCAGTTCTTTTCTGTCTTTGGTGATGATCTTCAAAATGATGAGGAGTTTGATCTAGAAGTCATTCGACAAAACATGGGAAAGCCATTGGAAATAATGTAGGATCATCTTAAAGAAGATTCTATTAAAAAATTATTTACTTCTTTGGCCTAAAAGGAAAAAAATGAATGGAAAGATTAACTTTTCTTGATTATTTCAAATTATTGCAATAAGAGTGTTCAAACAATCACTTATTTTGATTTCAAAAAGTATTATGAAAATTATATGAGAGTAATAATTATACCTAATTGTATTTTAGGTACATAAAAGATGTGGTGATGAATGCATACACATTAAACGATTTTTAGCCAGAATCGGATTTGGATTTGTTAGCAAAAGAAAAGTCTTGAATATGTCCAAATAAAGTGTATCTCCATTTGAATAATTACCTAAACTTAAGTGAATATTAATAAAATTAATTTTAATATATATAGTTATATATATTAATGGGAAGGAAAAATAGAGACTTGTCTTATTTGAAACCCTTTTGTTTTTACTGTGACAAAACATTTAAAAATGAAGTGTACTTGCATTAGCATTAAAAAGCAAAACATTTTACTTGCTAAAGATGCTTTAAGAAGTTTTCATCATGTGATTCATTAAAAAACCATGTAGAATCAGCTCATCATGAGGTTTTGACTAAGTAATTGGAAATTATCTTATTCTAGAATTCCAAATGCCACCGGTGATAGAAGTGACATTAAAAATAAGATTTTTGGAATGCAAGGAGTACCAAGAGTGGAAATTGAAAAGAGGATAAGAAAAGGAGCCGAAGAATATTGGACCAAGATACTCAGTGCTCAATATTAGCAAAGAAGAAAAGAAAATAAATAAAGAATGAAGTAAAACAAGGAAATAAGCAAAAAAGAAAATTAATAGGATGTTAAAATTGATGTAATATTAAATTGTATGAATAGAATGAAAAAGAAGAAGTTGAGTAACATGAATATAATCCAGAAGCAAAACCCATCAGTTTTGACCTAGATTATGAGTAATTGCAAAAACAATGATGTATTATATACCTCATCCAGCAATATTATACTAAAATATAGATTTTAATTATTTCAAGCACTCCATATTAACAATAGATCTTAAATCAGTTGAAACATTTTAGAGCCTTCTCATTTTTTTTTCGTAATCATAACAGATTCTTTCTAAATATGAATTTATTCATTAATTAAGTCTTTATTTATTTATTTTAATATTGCTAGTAGACACAGAGTTTATAAATTTCTTCTTTCTCTCTTTAGATTATGTATAATTCACACTTTGTTATGAAGTTTTAGTTATAGTTTGGCATTAAATTAATTGTATTTTGTATAGTATAGGTTTTGAAGTTTGTAAGGAACTTAATTAACATAATTTGATGGCGCTCTCATTACTTTGTATTTTAGACAAAATAAGGATAAGTGAATTTAATTATTTTTAAATAAACTTAATACTTTATTTTTAGAGACTTGAAAAATTTAATTGTATTCTTTCAAATAATGATAAATCTTGTTTAGTTTTTCAGTTGCATCTTCAAGACTTAAAGTATAAATGGTACTCCCTTCCTTTAGAATGCTTTGATTTTATGTTTTTTCTTGGTTTCATTGACACAAATTCTCCTTTAAACAAACTATTTAATGGGTTAAATTTATTTAAAAATGAACAAATAAAAAGTAATACTCAATTTTTATCCAAAATTGCTAATTTGGCTCTGATAGTTGCTATGTATAAATTGTTGGCTTCTTCTTCCATTTAAATATCATTCTTCATTAAGGCTATTTTTTCTCTATCTTTAGCCTTTTTTTCCAATTTTTACACATTATCCAATATTTGTTGTATATCCTATTAATTCTCTTATAAAATATACTCTTTACTCCTAAATTAATGAAAAATTTTATTACTTATCCAATTGATCCACTGTCATATTCTAGATTTTTCTTTGTTATCTTAGTTACTGTAAATAATCGATGGGTTTTGGTTTAGCAGGTAATTCAGGAGTTTTATGTGTTTTCTCAGAATTAAAATAATTTTTTTTCTTAATTGGTTTAGGAGGTTTATTTTCAAGATGGATGCTAAGATCATTAATTGAATCCTTGGATTCTTGACTTAAATGATGTTATTAAGGTATTTATGGAATATATCTTCTGATTTTTCTAAGATTTTGTTCTGTAATTTGAATTTCTTGTATTTATTTTTATTAAACTTCCTTTTTAGGAGGAGGTTATTATTATTTAGTAGGATGTTCTCTGAAGTAGTTTTCTTGAGCAATGTTTGCATATTTAAATTATCTTTATCTTGCATTTAACTTTAATTTAATGTCTTATTCCTTTAATTATTTAAGATGCTTTTCTTCTTCTTCTATTCTCATTTGGGTCTAACTTTTAGGAAACTTTAAGGTATTTTATCTAATTTTTAAATCATGTTCTTATTTTAGATGTTCTCTTTCATATTCTTTGACTTTTTTATCTTCTTCATATTTTTTTTGATGCTCAGTTAAGTCGTTTAATCTAATAGGTTGGCTTAATTCTCTTCTTTATGTCATAACAGCCTCGGATAATATTAAAAATTACTTTTCGTTTTTCTAATTCAGAGAGGATGATTGCTTCTTCTTTTTGTTTAAGATGCGATTCTTTTTGTTTAATTCTTTCTTAGATTTATTTAATGAGTTTATTAGCTTCCTATTATTATTTGGCTAATCTCTCTTTTTAAGCTTTTTCTTCCTCCATTCTCTACAGAATGAGTTATCTTTTATTAATAGTTTAAAGATTTGTTGTTTAGTCTGCAGAATCAAATGTTTACTATTACGTTGTTTAAGATTACTATATTAATTAATTATTTTATTTCTTGTTTATTTGTTTCTCCTATGAACTATTTTCCTTTTGTTATTATTTCTATTCATTTAAAATCTTTTTTAATGGCATTCTTTGAGTTTGGGACTAATTCCCATTCAATTTGTAATCCTTAATTTAAATGTCTGATTGCTCAAATTTTTTATTAGGTATATGCTCTTCCTAGTATTCAAATTATGGAATTTGTTCTTTTTTCTAAGTTGTTGAGTTAAGATCCTGAATATCTGCATAAGGTGAATTTGACGTTACATCCTTTTTCAATTTTGAGAATGAAAATGTGTTGTTTATGGTTTTTTGTTGAATCATTTTACCAGCCATTCCAAAAAAAGACTTAAATTTTTTTAGGTTTACTTATGGTTCCTGTTTAATTTGATTGTCTCTTTTTTCAGATAATTCAATGATATTTTCTGTAAGATTCATAATTATTTCAACAATATTTTATTTGAAGTAATTAATTTATTCAATATAATGAAAATATTACAAAATATTATGTATTTCTAATGACATGTAATCTTTTGTTCAAAAATTTAATATCTCTTTATTATTCAAGACACTTATCTCAGCATAATGTAAGTATATATAAAATTTCATATCGTTCATATTTACTTTGGTTAATTTGGCTTCAATGTTTCTCTAAATATTCAAATCAATACATCGTTTTTAGAAAATTCAACTGTTTTCTAATGTTTATTCACATAGCAAATAATTGTATCTGATTATCCAAATTTGATCTAAGATTGTTTATTATGTTCTTAGAAATTCCAGCTAGTGTAAACTTCTAAAATATAATTATCCTATTTAAATACTTCCTTTGGAATCTAAATTAGCAAAGCTACATTTCTAAGTATTTGTAGCAACCCCTATGCATACTAACCCTTGGCATTTTTGGATTTTGAATGATAATTTGATGTAATTATTGATTATATCATTTAAAGGAGGATGTAATAAGGCAATGCAGCCAGTGGTTGATTTAATGGAATAGTCATTGATAATGTTAGCTTATCCTTAAATTTGATTAAAATCTAATCTAAATTAAATTTTATTGAAATCTAATTGTTGGAGAAATTTAGAGTTATTATCAATAGAGAAATCTGATTGTGCTCTAGAGATTTTGCTTAATTCAACCTTAGATATATTATTGGATCTGGAATTACTGATTACTTCAGAATTTCTTTTTACCAATCTAGATTTAGTGTCATCTCTTTGAATATTCTTTACATTTTTCTATTGTTTTGGATATTAATATTTAATCTATCCTGTAAATTACTTGGTCCTTTTCTCGAACTCAGCTAAAAATTCATTGAAATAGGAGATGATTTAATGTCTTTTAGATATTTATTCTTGGGTGTTTCGCAAGGCATTTCCAAGTTCATTAATTGTTTACTAGCTAATTGATTTATATTCAGACGATAGAAAGCGAGAATGAAACGAAAATGTTGATTGCTGAATGGTTAATCCTATGAAATTAAGCAAGTCGATTATTTCCTTCTTAAATATCATATAGGATTATTTTATATCCATAACTGAATCTAAATTCTTAGTTTTTTCTTCGATTTCTTGAAAAGTGTAACAAAATTATTAATGATCTGAATGAAAGTCTTTTTGACATGCCAAACATAGAGCTGGTTGATGTTCACAATGGGCATAAAGGCAAACTGCTGAAATATAATACTATTAATTAGAATGAAAAGGACAAGCTATATTTGAGGGTAAAGGCATTATAAATAATTAATATAATGAAAATAATTTAGATATTGGTTTTGGTGTCATATGTATTCGGTGCAACTTTCTCAAGTACAAGCTTAGGTGATGCATTACATGAAAATGGATCAGTCTATGGCTGGAGAGAGGATGAATAAAGATAATTCAAGAATTGGGTTTAGGAAAATCAAAAAGAATATAACAATGAGTTCGAAATGATCTACAGGATGGAAGTCTTTGTGAAGAACTATAGAGCCATGAAGGTATTTTAATGGTTAATTATACTTTTAGCATCATAATGAACAATTACCAAAAGATGTTTGGGGATTGAATGTCTTTTCTGATGAGACATCTGAGGAGTTGATGGATAAGATATTTATGAAGAGAGACTTTGATTAACATTACGAGACGTTCAATGAAGATGATATCAACGCAATTAAAAGTGATGCTCTTTCCCATAATTCGTTTTTATAAGCTGATAAAACAGTAGTGGTAGTTAAAAAAGTAGTAAAAACAACAGCTGCACCTGCCCCTAAGAATCCACCAAGTTTAGATTGGTTAAAATAGGTAATTTACCTTATATTTAATGCCTAGGTTACAGAAGTACAACAACAAGGAAGATGTGGTAGTTGCTGGGCATTTGCAGTCTCAGATGTTACAATCAGTAGATTGGCTATAGCAAATAAAAGCAAGCTTGATCAATTGTCAAAGACACATTTGATTGACTGTGCTGATGGAAATACTGCCGGATGTGATGGGGGTTCAGTCAGCGATGCATTTGATTTCATCAACAATTACGGAACTGTTTATGAGAAAGATTATAGAGAATACGATTAGAAAGAGGGAGAATGTTCAAAACCAAAAGGATCAATTGGATACAAGCAATTCAAATCTGTCTAAGGATTAACCAAATTCACTAATGATAATATTGAAACTGCTATGTAGACTGGTCCAGTCACAGCCCTCATGTATGCAGATGAATCCTGGCTCAGATACACTTCTGGAATTATCAATACATGCGGATATCCAAAAGTTTCTAATTATTAACATGTTGTTTCATTCATTGCATATGATACTTAAACTTGGTTTGCAAAAAATTCTTGGGGAGCCAAATGGGGAATGAACGGTTACTTCTAGGTACAAAAAAATGGAGATGCTAATTGCATAGACAAAATAAAAAAGATTACATATCCAGTTATATGAGAATGAATATATATGATTTAAATATATAAAATGTATATTAAAATTATAAATACAATTAAATATGCCCTTCATTTTAATATTTAATCCTTAGTCATTTTCCTTAACATACAAATTTCAGTTAATCAAGTTCAGATCCTTAAATAACTTCTAATACTTTAAATATTTATATTGGATAGCAGTTTGTACATTGTGAACTCATCTAAACTTTAGTGATTTTTATATTATTGATTAAATATTTGCTTAAGTCCTTCTCACTATATAATAAAGTCTTATTATTCAAGTAGTCAGATTCATCATATATTTAAGCGACTTTTGATTTACATTTTTGAGAATCCAATCAGCATAAGTTAATTTGATGAGCTTTCACAAAACAATTAGAAGTAGATTTTTAATTAGCTTTATGTTAGCCTGTTATTATTCCATTCTTTTATGTGTTCTAAGAGTGACTAATCGTTTTTTAAATAATAATTATTCTAAGTACATTAATTATATAAAATATGGAAGAAAGGCAATCTTCTGTAAAAGGATTAAGGGATTATTTTTAAGGGATTGCTGAAAATCTAAAACAGTAGAATGATAATTATTTGACAATCAAATAGAACAGTACGAGTGTCCCTCCATAAAGAAATAGTATAAATAGAGATTCAATTAAGATGAATGTTCAAAAGATGGAATCGTTTAAAGGGAACAAAGGGGATGATGAAAATTAGTTAAAGTTAATAAATTAATTGAAAGAGAAGATCAAATATTATGAAGAAAGACAAGATAATAATGAGTATTAAAAGCTCTTAGAACGTTTTAATGATTAAAAGATGCAACTGCAACTCTTATAATAGATTAATGATCAATTAAACGAAGAAATTATAATTGCTAATAATACCATTGCAAATCTAGAACACCAAATACAAAAATAAGAAAACTTAACTCTTAATATAAACAATGCATAATAGAATCTTTCTTCAAAAATGCAAGTTAAATAGATCGAAAAAGAAATTCAAGTCGACTTAATATCCCCTCTCATAGAATAGAATAAACTATTATTAGAACGTTTGCATGAAAATCCTGAACCAAAAGGAAAAGAACTAATAATAATTAATTCAAGTTAAGCTATTGAGTTAAGAAGATAAATGGAGACATTGAAATAAGAAGTACCTATTTGATTTATACTCTAGCTTTGTGAAAGGTTAAATCTATATAATAATCTTATTCAAAACAAGTAACTATCAGAAATAAAAAAGAGCATCAAAATAGATATTAATCAATTTCATGACACGTATATTTAAATGTTTCGTAATATCAACAGACCAATCTAAAATGTTGAGTAAGTAAGTAAAATCTTAAGTCCAATATACTAAGAGGAGCTGAATGAATTTCTCGGGTAGTTAAGTGACTTTTTAGATAAGTTCAGGCTAGTTTCTATATTATGAATTAATTATTTTAATAAATAAAGTTTAATAGGCTTTCTTATATAAATTTTATTATAATAAAGAAACTAAAGAAGAGAAAATTTAAAATTTTGTTTATAATATATATCCAGTTTTTAAAGATCTTATGAGATTCTTCTGCATTAATAAATAAATAATCTTATTGAATAATCTTAATCTCCAATTTAAAAATGATTTAATATTAAATATAAAGTGTAACTTACTGCTAAAATTAAATATATAAAATGAATATTAGAAGATATTTATGAGCAACCATCTATTATTATGGATAATGAATATTGTCAGATCAAGAGTAAAGATTTAACTAGGTAGAATACTTTATAAAAGCTTAAAGTTAGTTTGTTTTTAACAATTTTATACTAGATCTGATAATTTTGAAAATTTCAATATAATTAATTGCTAATATATCTAATAAATAATGCAAGCAAAACGTTAACAGTTAATAAAATTATTTAATTAGTTCCTTTTTCAAAAAATTCGATTCCAACAACATCTATAATTTTTATAAATGGAATAGAATATGATATTGTCTTACAATTGATTAACTTTATATAATTATTATACATTTATAACAGAAAGTATTTTTGAATTTTGTAGGATGTAAAATTTGTTTGTATAAAATATTCATCTTCATTGATAAGTGTGACTATCAATGATAGTGATTGAATATTTCTATATTAAATAAATAATAATATATAATAAATTTAATGTATAAAGGGAACCCCACCGAAGTCAAAAGTAGCACAGGGAAGAGAATAACAAGGCCGTATAGTTAATAAAAGTATCTCAATTGATAACTTAGGGAGTATATAGATATTAAGTCTTCACTTAAATAGGACTCGTATTCATGTGAAAAGTCAAACTAGTCTACAATATTAAAAAGCAAAGTGTCTAGCAAATAATAAGTAAAGAATAAAATGAAACCAACATAAACGCGATTTTAATATTAATAACCTTAGAGTTTACAAACTACTCATCGTTATAATCATTCTCCATATGTTAAGCCTCATTAATAATAACAATTATTTGAGTTGCAGAAAACCATTATGGCTGATGCTAACCGAATGGGCAATCTTGTAAATCAAATGAAGTCTCACTCTTAATAAAAAAAAATCCCATAACAGATTTAAATGCATCATAAATCATATTAAACAAATTGCAAAGAGAAATAAACCCAAAGTTTAAATGGTAGTTTTGAATTGAAGAAAAGAATATTTACAACAAACCACGATGTTAATACATAATATAATATGATTACAAAGTCTAATAGAGCACAATCTGTTCTTGATGAATATAAAACCACTGCAATTGAACTATAACAAACTATGAAAATCCCAGAGCCAATCTTACCTTAAAGAGTGATACCCTATGATTCAGAGTAATAATAAAAAATATCAAATATAGAACTGAATTCGAAGGATACAGAAAGGGGGACTTTTTAACTTTCCAGTCAGAGGATGAAAGCGAAAGCGAGGATTTACTGAGAAAAGCTGGAATTGAACATTTCTTAAAAAACTTAACAGATAAGGAAATTTTGTTATTGGAAAAATATATTTACCTACGAAAATATGATATGATTGCTAGAAATCCAAGAACATCTAAATAGAATGACCAGTTTTTTCAGAATAACAATACTTCAAGAACTTCCTAATAACATTAGTAATAATATTGCAAAATTAGTAGACAAACTAAAAAATGAATTATAATTATAATATTTATATAAAATTTCTTCTTATTATTATTACTTTGATATTAATCAACTGGAAAGTTTAGCCGTTAGATCTTCTGACTTTTTGACAGAATCCACATGATCAAAGACTAAATTGTAGGCCTTTTAGACTACTTCAATTTCAGATTATCTTATAATTGATTAATAAATACCTTTGAGTTTATCTGCTTAAATAGGCTTGGTGATATTATTCTTATTACTCCTTAGTTAATCGTAAAAGTTCCTCTGTGATTGGAATATCAATTAGCAATTGTTCCTTTTAAGCCAAGACAATTTTCTAAATAAAGTTATTTAATGGTTTTACTTATTGATTGAATTTGTCATTAAATTATTAATTTAGGTTTTCTAGATCGGTTGACAATCTTTTTCTTAGAGTTTCAATTTCATTCATGGATGTATCGAAATTGTCAGAAGCCACTTTTTCAGCTTCAATGTCTTCATTCAAACTCTTGTTGGCTCCATCTCTAATTTACTCTAGTTTTTCTAAAATTCTTTAGACAGTGGGAACATCAAATCTGGTAGTTAATTTTACAAGAATAGTGATAGGGTGATTTGGACCAAATTATTCATGGCATTCAGCATGAATTTAAGTCAAAATTGCTTATCTATCTTATTCTGAGGTCTATTGATCAACTGCTCTACTCAATTTCTCAATGATTAAGGTTAATGCATTAATAACTTTATTTGCCTATTCAACTCTTCTGTTATAGGCTTTGACATCAGCAGCTCTGGCATTTCTGATGAATTGTTCTTATTCATTAAGAATTGCTAATTGTTTTTCGTAGGTTAAGATGGTTTCTCTAAGGATGACCAATAATTCGGCTAAGGTCTGGATCAACACATTAGCATTGGCTAGATCTGTGTTTAATCTTGAGAGATCATCTTCTAATTCACTAATATTCAAATCAAAAACTGCCATCTATCTTGAATGAGCAACATCATCGTCGACTTGATCTTGTTTTAATGAATCCAATAATTCTTAAATAAGTTTTAAGACTTCATCTACTTATCCTCCTGTTTCTAATTTAATTTATACTAATTCCTTCAATTAATCACTATAGGGACTTTGGCTAAACTAGGGAGTTTAATACTTGTATATACTTAATGAAACGACTTCATCAATAATGAGGCTTATGGAGTCATGGCTGATAAACAAACTCCTATTGTCAATGCCAATATATTAAAACGGATTAAGCTCATTATTTATATAAAAAAATAATTATTAGAGAGAGTGTAAATGATATAGATATTATTAAATTGGATGGATATCTCATTCATGTTAAACCTATTTTCTGACTGCATCACTTAAAGAATATTCAGATCTCTCATACGAATCAACTTTCTAGAATTGTTATAAAATATCAATAAATACCCTATCATTAACATAATCATCGACTCTCTATTTGAATTTGTCCTCGGAAGTTCCAACTTAAGTAGAATAAATTCTGTAAACATCAGTAAATAAATTGAGTTCCTCTTACAATCTTGCCTTATTTTTATTGTATTGAATTTCTTCATTTTTTAAGTCCTATCAATATTATAATCATAGGGTACTTCTATAGCTCTTTATTATTATTATTGTAAGGCAATTCCTTTTTCTCTGCAATTAACAGCAGCCAATCTTGCCTAAACTAATTGTTCTTCCAATTTTATAAGATTTTTTTATTCAGATGAAAGATCATAGTTGATCTGTTCATTCTCGATATCAATAGCTCCCTTGAAATCAGCCAGAGTGACTCCAGTGGCAATTTCAAGATTTTATGCGTTTTTTATTTGTTCTCTGATGTACCTTTCCATATCATTAAGCATTTCAATTAGTTATCCTTTAACAGTATTAATGTTTCCTTATGAAGAAGGTGTAACTTCATTCCAATCAATAAACATTGTGTCTGCAAATTCATGGGCTAATTCGACCAATTCTGATATTTTGGCTTATTTGTACATTGTTAAAAATTTCTCAACGTATGCACCATATCTATTTAATTGATTATTGTCTAAATTCTAAAGGGAGTTTCTCAAAAATATTATCAATCTTAAAGTCATATTATCATTTTTGACTCTTTCAATATAATTTGAGGAATGGGTGCACCTACTATAAATGGAATATTGTACCTATTGGTATCTAGAGTCTGAATTCTATTGGCATTATCAACAAGTCTTTTTTATAAATATGCTATGTATTTATTTGTTTTATCAATATCGGATTCTCTATCAGAGACAGATTTATCTCGACTTGCGCATAAAAAGTTTTATTCTTAGTAGGCCTTACCTAAATTGAATATGATATTCTCTTTGAGCTAAAATGCTTATTAGAATCGTACATTTTTAGAAACTGTATAATCTGTATTAAGTGCCGTAAGTTCGACAGCTGATGCTCCTTTTAAGTCAGCCAATAATTTCTCAACAGTGTCAACTTCATTTTGGCACAGTACACCAACAACTAGCAATAACAAGAGGGTCTTCATGCCGTTTTTTAATTTATTTATATTATATTAAATGAATTTTAGTTAAGAATAAAATAAAGAAACAAGTATATTTTACAAATCTAAACTTTGTACTCATTGGTCAACAAGTAACATCATTCATCATCTTATATATAGAAGGACATTGTGCCAAACAAGAAAAATGCAATTATGCTCATGGAGAAACTGAATTGAGACACATACCACAAGAATATTTGACTCATCCCCATACTAATAATTCCAGTGCCTTTTCAATAAACAATGAAGGACAGACTAATATGGCTGTGATTCAATAAAACTCAATCTAGGGATAACTTTTAAATCCCTTTTGGAAAACTAAAATTTGTAATTTCTATCTGCAGGGCAAATGTCGAAACATTATTGATTGCAATTATGCACATGTTGAAGAAGAACTAAGAGATACCACAAGTCAAGCATATCAATCAATCTAAAATATCCTTAAATTATAAGATCCAGTTTATAGATTATAATTACTAAACTATAATGCTTAATTTCAAAAGAACTTGTTGGAACGTGCCAAAACAATATTTGATTAAATTAGGAAATTGGAATTGATACACAAAAACAGCAATGATATTCAAGACATGCTTGAAGAAGCTAAATTATTGATATTTTAAAAGGAAATTGAATAGGCTACATTGAAAATAATCGAAATAATGTCATTGCCTGATTTAACTTTAGATGAACGAGAACAACACTAAGAAATCAAAAGTAAAATTAAGGAATCGTTTGAGATCCCTTAAGTACAATTTCCAATCACATCTAATTATCCCCCTGAAGATATCGAAAAAATGAAACAATTAATGGAGTAAGAATAGGGATAGCGTTTACCCATTCCTATGATACCCACAATAAAACCATTTCCCAATCACTAATAAGTTTACTAAGATAGATGCAGAAATTAAAAATTAACATGATAAGAAAATAAATACACAAATTTTATTTTTATTATATTTAATATTAAAAATGGCTTCATTTTTTAGCTTGCTATGCTGCTTGCTTCTTTTTTTCAGCTTCAAGTCTCTCCTTCTCTTTTTGATCTAACCATTCCTTTTTGGCAGCCTCAAAATTTCTATCATATTTAATATCCTATTAATTTGCAATGTTTTGTAAAGTAGTTCTACCTTATGGACCTTCAGCATTCTTTCTGCCATTCTAAGGTCCTTTTCTTTCTGTTCCATTCTTCAAATCTTCTAGTAATTTTAACTATCATAATATCATTATCGTACTGTATTTTCAGGTGTTAAATCCTCATATACCCACTCATTATTCACTTGCATCATAGGAGCATTAGCACATGCTCCTAAACATTCAACCTCCTACAATGTAAATAATCCATCTGCTGAAGTCTCGCCATTTTTAATGTTTAATTTTTATTCAATAGCCTTAATTATATCTCTAGATCCACACAATTAACATGGTGTTGTACCGCAAACTTGCAGATGGAATTTACCCACTCGTTCTCTATTAAACATTGAGTAAAATGAAGCTGTTTCGAAAACATCCATCTCTGGGATTTCTAATATCTTTGCAATCTATCTAATACACAATTAGAATAAACCTTTTTCATTGCAGATAAACTCAAGAAGTTATTGTTTTATTTTTGAGCAAGCATTAATAATGGGATAGTCCCTGATTTTTTTTCATTGGAAGGAAACTTTGCCAATATTCCTTCAATCTTTTTATAATTTTCATCAGTAAAATCAAATGGCACTGAATCACTATTATCATCTCTATTTCTATGTGCAACAAACACACTAGAAAATCTTTGAATTGACCTTCTCTGAACTAATTATACAACTTTTTATATCATAAATTAATTAATCAAAAGTTTTCAATGTTATCATCACTATATTTTTTATAAAGATTAGAATAATCATCAATTTATTTATTATTATATTTTAACTTTCTAATTTAAGTCTTAAGAAACTCTCTAACACTATAATAATCCATAATCTAATTAGATTAATTTGTATCTTAAACCTAAATATCATTAAGTATTTGTACAATATAGCTTTCTTTGATTGGCACACTATTCTAAAGTATTTTTAACTTTTGATTTTCATACTTTAATTTTTCTCTAAGATACTAATTTGTTAAATATTGATATCTCAATTTCAACTCTTTATTTTTTTATTTTTACTTTTCTAAAATTAAATGTTATATAAAATTTTTCTTCTTCAATTCTTCCAGCTTATTATTCAAATCAAACAGTTGATTTTTAAGAGTCCCATTTTCATAATTTTCAACTGCATAATATTATTCTAAGTTTTTGTATTTATTCTTTAATTGCTTTTACCTTTTTTGAATAATATTAAATTTAAGGAATAGCATATTCTCTAATCTACTTTAGGAATCATATGTTGCTGTATGGCAATCAGAACTCTCATCTATTTGTCTAATAAAGTCATCTATGGCATTTAGAAAATTATTCAATTTGTTCGTATCTTCAAATGAAAATTTCCTTTTTGTGTCTTCTCTCTTTGGTTTAGAACTAACCAATTTATTTTTTGGATTTCCAAATGGAGTTTCCCTAATATTGAATTCAAAATTTTTACAAGTCTACTTAAGAGATATTCTTGTTGTTGATTGTTTATTTTGATTAATGAAGTGAAACAGAAAATAAATTAGTGAATGTTTTATTATTCTTATAATGTGAATACATTGTACTTATGAAGATTAATGCAATTACAAGATGTCAGAATTCAAGGATAATCTTCTATTACGCTTTCCCAATTCTTGATTATTTTAGATTATACTTTACTTGCATAATTGATACTCATGTAAAATATTTATAAATTAATTACTAAATAGAAGAAATTCGAACCAAGGAATTTTTACTATTGAGAATATTTAAAATTAATGAAAAAACTAATAATATTCACCGTTTTTATAGTGCTTGTTTGTGGTTAATAAGATTTAGCAGAGGCATTCACCTAACTATCCTCGAGTGATCCTGATAGAACGAAACTCAATTGGCCCAATTTATCTCAAGCCATTTCTGATTTATTGTGTGATGTTCAACATGTACGATAAATCGAGAGTGACACAAATCAATAGAAATCAGCATTACTTTAAAAAGTAACAATTGAATACATAATCGTAGTTAATTATTTTGCATGATAGAACCTCAAGCTAAATAAAAGTAGATTTGGCAAAACACAAAACAAAACTCAATGATTAATTAACTCCTTATAAAAATGAATTGGATGAGGCTTTGAGATACAGAGCAGGAATCTTAGATCAACAAAAATAGGACTTGAAGATAAATGATGCAGATTTCACAAAAATGAAAGAATCAGCAAAATCAGAAATGGATGATGTTAGCATAGCTTTACAATCTGTGGATTCAGTATAAAATTTTATATAAATTTAGATGAGAAAAAATGTTAAGGAATTATTATAAGGAGGCTCTGGAGGAAACTCATTTGTAGAGATCAAGACTTCCTTATAGGAATTCCATACAAAAATAACTTCATTGGCTAAATCTGATTCTCCTCTTTTGACCTTGGCAGGTTCCCTTTAGGAGCTCTTGCAACTTGATTTCAAGGACAGAAAAGTTTTGAAAGACCTTGAATAATTGTTGGATTAGTTTTGGATGAACACTATTGATTATAGAATTGAATTGATAAGCCAAGCAAATAGGAATCAATAACTTTATGAAGATAGACGACAAGCTATTTTATAAGATAAAGATACTACGATAGAGCTATATAATTCAAAAATAGAGGAATATAATACTGTTTTTGATGAGATACAAAATATCTAGACTTACATCGAAAACAGATAGAAAGACTTGGATGATAGTGCAAATTCTTAAGACTTCTTCAAGAATATTTGGGGGTTGAATGAGGGGATTACGAATTCAGTTGATAAATCTTTAATTAGCAAGGCTTCGGCAATTTAAGATGCATTGAAACAAATAGGAAATGGAGTTAGTTTTTAAGAGAGATGACTTCTAATTGCAAATCTTATGAAAAATACAAAAATTAAATAAATTTCTTTTTTAAATAAAAAAATGAGTAGTGTTCAATTTGTCAATTCTAAAGCTGAAGTTCTTCGTAAATATTAGGCCTTGGCAATGAATATAAATGCAGCAGCTGGCTTAATGGAAGTGATGAAATCAAATCTGGGACCAAAAGGAACTCTAAAAATGTTAGTGGGAGGTGCTGGATAAATAAAACTTACAAAGGATGGTGCTGTTCTGTTATCAGAAATGTAAATTCAACATCCCACAGCAGCTATGATTGCCAGAAGTGCTACAGCTTAGGATGATATCATTGGAGATGGTACAACAAGCAATGTTCTTTTGATTGGCGCATTAATGAAATAAGCAGAAAGATTATTAGCTGAGGGAATCCACCCAAGAGTAATTACTGAAGGATTTGAATTGGCTAGAAAGGAAGCTTTATCATTTTTGGACACTTTCAAGTATTAATAAATTGATAAGGCTGTATTAATAAATGTGGCTAGAACTTCATTAATTAGTAAATTAACTCCAGACGTTGCTAATCAGTAACTAATATAATATAATTTAATTTAGAATTATTGAAATCGTTGTTGATGCAGTACAAATAGTTCAAGTACCAGAGAAGCCAATAGATTTATTCATGGTTGAGATCATGCATATGTAACATAAGATGGGAGCAGAAACAGAATTGATTAGAGGATTGGTCTTGGATCACGGAGCAAGACATCCAGATATGCCAAAGTTTGTAAAGAAATGTTACATCTTAAATTTGAATGTCTCTTTGGAATATGAGAAGACTGAAGTAAATTAAAAATAAATAAATAGGTCCACAGTGGATTCTTCTATAATACAGCTGAAGACAGAGAGAAATTAGCAAGATCCGAAAGAAAGTTGACAGATGACAAATGCCAATAAATTATTGATTTCAAGAGAAAGGTTTGTGAGAAGAATGGCTATGGATTTGCAGTTATCAATTAAAAAGGAATTGATCCAGTCTGTTTAGAGATGTTTGCCAAAGAAGGCATTGTTGGTATCAGAAGGGCAAAAAAAAGAAATATGGAAAGAATTGCAAAGGCCTGCGGTGGTAATTCAGTTAATGCAGTTGAAGATTTGACTGAAAGTGATCTCGGATATTGTGAAGTGGTAATCATTTTACTTTATAATTAGTTAAGAGAATATACCTTAGGAGAAGAGAAGTACACATTTATTGAAGGAGTCTAAAATCCTACTTCATGTACAATTTTGATTAGAGGACCAAATGAACATACTATTGCCTAAATCAAGGATGCCATTAGAGATGGATTAAGAGCTGTTAAAAATGCTGTTGAAGACAAGTGTGTTATTCCTGGAGCCGGTGCCTTTGAAGTTGCCACCAGTGTTCATCTTTAAAAGTTTAAGGATTCTGTTGCAGGAAAGGCTAAATTGGGAGTCTAAGCATTCGCTGAATCATTATTAGTTATTCCAAAAGCCTTAGCAGAGAATTGCGGTTATGATGTTTAAGAAACACTCATATAAGTTACAGATGAATTCATTAAAAATAACATTCCAGTTGGTGTCAATGTTAATGAACAAGGCTTCATTGCTCCAATTGCTAATGGCATTTTTGACAATTATTGTTCTAAAAGATCCTGGTTGAACATTGCTCCTACATTGGCTTAATAATTATTATTGGTTGATGAGGTAAATATTTATATTAATTTACAGATTATGAGAGCAGGAAAGTAAGCAGGTGGTGCTCAATAATGAAAGAATGAAATTGTTATGTTAAATTATTAGAAAATTAAGTTAATCAATTGCAAATTTATTTAAATGAACATTATTTTGGTTTAGGATTTTAAGAATCTAATTCTTTCTTATAGTTTTCTACTGCTACAGCAGGATCAGGGTTTGTATGATAGATCCAATAGAGATGGCATAGGATGCTGTTGTCATTTTCTTGAACTAAGTATAACAATCTTTGTTCCATTTTTACAAAAGTTCTTTAACCATTATAATTTTATAACTCAGCTGTAAAAAAATTTGATTTTCTCGAGATTGCTTCAAACATCTTGCTCCAAATATCCAAATAGGATTCGAATCTTATGGCGCAGGGTAACATTTGCGTTTAAATTAAATTGCATTCCATCATCTCTCTAGTTATACCCATCAAATGAAGATATTTCACATTGTTTATATATTTCAACACTTTAGATCCTGCCGCATCATATTTTATTATGTAAGATTCAAATGGAAATTGAGAAGCATACAAGTCAACGTAATTTAAATCGTCGCATGAGCTTATTTGAATATTTCTCTATTTATGATCAAGCATGAAATTTTTAATGTCTTATTTGCTTTTCTGCAAATTCATTTTTTCTAATAAATCAAATATAACCTCGATGCTCACACATTGCAAATTTCTTGGAAACAGAGTAAAAGCTTGCTTATCTTAAAAGTAATCAGTTTGCAAAATTTTATAGCCTACTGTAAAGATATTTGTGCACAGTTCTCCTAAATTGGAAGTTATTTAATCGTCAGTGCTGAAAATGATATCTATATCGGTTCTTAGGTATTCCCTTATGCCTAATTCTTTTGGGATGTTTATGATTATTTAAAATTCCTTTTTTATTGCATAATATTCCTTTTGTTCTTTAAACTTTTGTTTCGCTATCTTAGAACATTTCATCAAACCTAAGATTTGGGTGTCAACAATATTTTATTTGTTCTTCATATTATTGCACAAATGTATCTAAATTAATATATTTAAAATCAATAAACTTTTGTGAATATTTAATAACCTTTGTGATATGTGAGATAATGGGTTTTTTATAAATGACCTATTTTGTAAATTAATTTATTTTATGAAAAAAAGAATCATCATCTTAGATCATGTCATTTCTTGCTTATATTTAAACCTAGAAAAATAGTATATTTTTTATAATTTCATTATTATTTATTATTGGTTGACATATAATATCTAGAAAATGTACATCAACTTTAATATTTCAATCAGAAAAAAAACTTAATACAATTCTTTTTTTTAAATTATGAGTAATTGAATACAAATTAACAACTATATTAATTTAAAATTTATCCAACTTTAAACATATTTCCAAACAATAATTGAATTGTATTATTTGTTATAATTTATTATTTATTAATAAAATTTAATATTAATATTTTTTGTAATAATAATTAATTTTATAAGACATGTTTAATCATCGATATATTTTCACTTAATATTGTAATTTGATGTTCCCTTTGCTTTTTTATTCCCTCCGAAGAATCTTTTATTTGATAACTTAGCTATTTTTGTTCCAAATTGTATGGCCTTCTTTCCATGCTTGGAGATAACACTACATATTTAAACAATTATTTACTTTAAACCTTCTTTTTGACAAATAATCCTCAAAATTGATTTAGTATCCCCCATAATATATTAAGATGGATGTATATTTTATCTTATAAATTAAACTAGTTCAATGTTTAAGAAGGGAAACCGAAGTTCTTTACCATTCTTACTAACAGCCCGATCATCCCGACCTAAGTTCCTATTCCACAATCTAAATAAATCAAAGTTCATTTCTTCAATTAATTCAGCCTACCCCCTCTTTAAAGCATGTTTATATCGAGCATATCCGCAAAAGATTTCATCTGCTCCTAATCCACTGAGAAGTACTCTAGTTTCAAAATTATATTAACTGGCTATATTCAGTATCATAGCTATATTAAAATCCATATGTGTAATTTTAGGATATAATATCTCTAAAAATAGTTTCTCTTCTTTGTAGACATCATCCAGGGTTTTATCGATGAGGATTAGATTCAATTATTAATTTTTATGCAGATTCTATAATTCTTGATGAGCATTTTTCGCTGTGATTCTATCAGGGGCATCATTTGTGAAAGCGACATTAATTAAATCGATTTATGAGTTATCTGGCAATAATTTGCAAACCATATGAGTTATTAGGCTGCAATCTATACCACCACTAAATAAAATACCAATTCTTCCTTGTTATTGGTTCTAGATAAGATTTTAACCATTAATAAAGTGATTTTAGAAACCAAATATATTTTAAATAATTTCCTTAGTGCTTTTTATCAATATGTCATAAATTTTACCTATAGTTTATTCTAGATTATTTTAAAGATCGATTTATTAAATTTGATCAAAGTTTAAGAAATCTGATATTTATATTTTATTCCATTAAATCTGCTCTCCACTCAAATCTATCTCTATGATTGAATTATTGGGCAATTCAATACAAGATTTATTAATAGCTTAATTAAATTCGTTTAAGTACTTTTTCATTAAATACTTTTCATCAACAGTCTTTCCATCATCTTCATCATCCTCTTCTTCCTCTATTTCTATTGGAAGATTCTTTTGCAAAGCTTAGGAAGACAATGTAAATCCTTCATTTATGAAGCTTAGTAACATTGATCTTTTACCAAATGGATCTTTGGCAATATAAATTTTTTATTAGGATAAATCTTGGAAAATTAAACTGTAATCTCCATTTAATTATTATAGTAGAGTTCTGATATCGTGAATTGAATTAGCCTGTTGTAATCTATTCATGAGAAATGTAGTGTCTGATTCATCAGGATTTATATTATAGATTTCCCCATTATATTACAATATAAATTATTCTTTTATTAAAGGTTATTTTATTAAAGTGTTTTAATCTCCTCTCATATGAAGTAAACTATGATATAGGAGTTAGTAATAAGGTTAGTGAAGTTCGATTTTCCCTTAATAATCTGGTCCTCTGGCATTAAGCAGTTGTAGCTTTTCTAAGTCAAGATCAATATTTTTTGGTCTTTAATTTTGAGCTAACAACTCTTCAATCAATTCTGGTCTTTTAGTAATATACGGAGAATTCAAATACTCCTAATATAAGTTGAAATTGAATTTATGAGGTTTGTTTATTAAAATTAATGCAAATATTCCACACATTATTAGATAAATTAATTATTGATACAAAAACAATTCTTGATTATTTTACAAAATGTATAGTCTCGATTATGCCTGATTATAATTTAAATTGCAAAATTAAATTTATGCTAGTCTTGCAAAAATAAGAGCTATTACTTTTCAAGTAATCAGAAAGATCAAATGATAATGATTGTTATTCTTGTTAAACAATGATCCCAATTACATTACTAATACATTTTTAATATTATCGCAATAATAAATATAATATTGGAATAATTAAAAATTCTAATTTAAAGATTAACAATTAATTAATATTTTGGAATAAAAATAGAAATCTGAGAAGGATTCCCTTATTCAAAATAATTTCTCTAAGATTCAAACCTTGTTTAAGGGAACATCATTTCTATAAGCACAAATTAATAAAGCATTACTAGCTACTAGCCCAATGAAAAAATAAAGAATTTTGAATTAATAATATAATAGTGACATAAAAGTAGAACGATGAATTTTAATCTTTGATTTTGGTGTTATAAAAATTAAACTGAAAAAACGACTTTTCGATTTAATTGTAATATCAAAGAGCGAGTAGGAGATCACATTTTTCATTAATTAAATTGATTGACTTAATGTCTGTATAAATAAATTAATATAAAAAATTCATATGCTTTACTCTTCTTTACTCAATAACTCTAGAGATTTAGAATTATTTGATTTCTCTATTAAACATGATCACTTGTGGATTTAATATTTGAGTTATACACATATCCAATAGCCTCCTTTCTTAGAAATCTGTGAGCTAGAATTCTGAATAACTTTAACTGATTGTTTTCAACTAAGTGCTTCTTTATATGGTTGATGTTTTTTATACTATTTTTTAATTGTGTTAAAATTCTTAAAAATTCAAGACCACCTTTTTCACCTAATTGCCTTAATATTTCGACCCTCTATCTGATAATGTATTAGGCTATTGCTTTAGCATAATTTTTTTAAATGTTAGTTGACTTTAGCGACATATTAAATTTTGACATTCTATTTTTTAATTTCAGTTTATTTGCAACAACAATTGAACTATTATTTTCCTCTTGTTGACTATCTTATTTTTTCGATTGGAAAGTGTCTGAAGGTGATTTAGGCATTTCCACCACAGTATTCTTTTCTTCCTATTATAATCCCTAAGGTATAGGTTGATTATGGTAGTAGATCTCCTGTTATCCTACATAACCTTAAACGATAGGCATGTAATAAATTGGATAGTAGATAGGTTATTATGCATGAAAGTATGCAAGGGAAAAGGGTTGATTCCACATTAGTTTATAATAATTATTTAGGTGATTCCATTTTACTTTATGAAGACATTTTTCGGTTTATTTCCTTTTGAAAAAATAATTGAATTTAATAAAATTGCAGTAATTTATTGAAGTGATCACAACTGAAAAGCCTGTTATAGTTCGTACTTATCAGAAAGACCTTTAATATCGTGTAAATGTATATCTTATCTCACTAATGAGGTAAGCAAGTATTTTTTGTTAAATTTCTTAATAAAGTTTTTTCTCAAAATATATTGACAGTTATATTAGGAAGTACAATTTTTACTTAATTTAATGAAATAATTGATTGCTATTGATAAATTAGTGTGTGATTCTAACACTTATTAGAATATTCTAAAATTGTATTTTGTGGTCAGTCTTCATATTTTAAACGATAAATTAGAATTTTCAATTATCAAAATAAATTAATCTAATTATTTTCTTTAAATTCATATCCAAATAAATAGAACTAATATATAAATGATACCAAGAAGCAATCGAAATTATGATAGTTGAGATATAGTGTCGGTATGAAGAATTTATAATATTGATTATAGTTTAAGTGTGTGAGTCAAAATAATATAAATTTAGAAGTTAATAAAAGAGCATAAATCTAAATGATAATAAGTTAGTATGGAATGCGTTTTCAAAAAGTTATTATATATAAAATTCAATATTTATTCAAAAAATTTACCACCATGATTTTTCTGTTTAGGGTCTATTTCTACTAGATGATAATAGACCACAGCACAATCCATTGCTATTTCCAGATACTTTTACTCCTTCTTATTTTATAACTTATTATTAAATGATCTATGGTCTATGAGAGAATATTTTGTATTAAGTAGGTTTGACATCTTTGAGCATCTTTTAAACTTCCTCCTTTGCACAATGATGTTTGGATAACTATAGGGCTGTCTTGCCTTTAGTACTTAGTTTATCTTTTGATGCTCCTCTTGAGAGTAGGAATCGTATAACATCCAAATTTACTCTTAAATCTCTAGGATTTAATTTATCTTTGACTGCGCAAAAAAGCATTAACAATGTGTATCCTTTTTCAGCATTTACTACTGCGTCAATATTTGCTCCATTATCAATCAACAATTCAGCTAATTTGAAACACAATTGCTTATTCTCAAAATAATTGGTTTCCTCCTCCAATCTGCTGAAACAATAAAATAAAGGCACAGATCCCTTAGAATCAGCCTAATTTACATTAGCATCTTATTAAACTAGAAGTTCAGCTACCTCATAATATCCATTGCTACAGGCTAATTTTAAAGCTGACAATTCTTATGGTTTAGTAACCATATTTACTTCTATTGCCTCATTTTGTAATAGTAACTTAACTATTTCCAGCTATCCTGTGGCAACTGCCAAAGCTAAAGGGAATATTTATTTATCTATAAAATCTTCACTAAATTCTTCTAAATAATTTAAATCTCTGAGATGGATTTTCATTGATTTTAATTAATCAATGTTACCCTCATAAATGGAATGTAAAATAAGTTGTTCTATATTGCAAATATTAGTATTTGAAAATCGATATGCTATAATAAGTAACCCTCAATTACTTGATTCTTCTTTCTTGATCTCTATTGTTTGCATGTCTGGAGTAGGATCAGCATTGACTTATGGCAATTCTCCTATCACCTAATGAGAATTTGATCTCATTAATTTAATGTTTTATAATTAATGTGTATGTTAAAAATTAATTCCAGAAGAATAACTCAGACAATTACATCCTTCAGATAAAATAACAACACTTAATCTTATCTGTTTTTAAGCAGATCTATTTTTATACTTTTTAATTGAATAATTAAATAATATGTCCTTGTACTGCTTACTTATGTTTCTATTTTCCATAAATATATCTCTATGACAGTTAAAGGTTTAAGATGGATAGCGATTTAATTTATCTAGGTATTAAATTTATAATTAGAAAAATTAGACCTCTCATATTTTATCGAATTCACTAATGTTAAGATAAAAAATAGAGATAAATATTATTCATTAATATTTTGAGTGAAGAATGGATTTAGAAAAAATAATTTTTTGGTAAATTTAAAGTCCATTTAATTTAGGAAAAAGGATCTTAAGTTTAAAAAGAGGATTAGAAAGCGAAATACTTCCAAATTTAAAGATGCAGCAGCTACTAAGGCAATAAAATTGAAAGATTTATACTTTCTAATATATTCTCTTAATATTAGTATTAATTATAATAAAATTACATAAAAGTTTATTATTTTGTTTTTGTGAAGTATTCCATACTATGTAAAGAATTTAAGAATATTTTTATATTTTTTATATTTGTATAATATTTTGATTTATTCTTGCTTACCTGTTGTAAAATTAGATATTTTGTTTTTTATTTATATTACTATAATTGAAATGATATTGATTATCTAAATTATTAAAATATAATTTTTTTGGATATTCTTCACCAAATTCTTGAAAATTAATTTATGTTTATGCAAGCTTGAATATCTTGAAATATTGTTCTATTCTGTTATTAGGAATGTTCTAAATGAATAATATTATAAAAATGATATGCAAATATCATAAAATACATTAGTTATGAAACTTTATTAGTCTTTAATAATCATACTTTTTCTCTATGAATTTATCAGATGATAGAATTCGGCTTGTAAAAATTTAATTAATAACACAGTTTAAGAGTGCGATTAAATCATTAAATAATTTATAGATATGGATTAATAATAGGGAATTCCTGCTGAATAAATCAACTAATTGGTAAATAAGCATTTTGATGATGCTTTACCAAAATTCATTGAGATACTCAAGATTCCAAGTCAATCGAGATTGTTCGACCCAGAATACTTGACAAATGGATTGTTGCAAAAAACAGCATAAGAATTCAGAGATTACATCCTAGCATCGAATCTTAAGAGTACTAACTATATATTAATCGTAATTAGATGCCAAAGTAGAACTTTTGGAGGACGAGGGATATTCTCCATTCCTATTTGTTGAAGTCGACGGATCTGATGGTTAAGCGGATGGTACAGTGTTATTCTATGGTCATGTGGATAAACAACCACCTTTTAATGGTTGGAAAGAAGGATTGAGTGCCTACGAACCAAAAATAGTGGATGATAAATTATATGCTAGAGGAGGAGCAGATGATCATTATTCAGTCCTTGGAGCTGTCATAGCTGTTAGAACAATCTAAGAATTGGGCTTGAAACATCCAAGAATCGTTATGACATTCGAAGCAGATGAAGAAAGTGGATCTGTACACATTGATCATTATTTGGCAAAATTAAAAGAAAGAATAGGAGCTGTTGATTTGGTTGTCTGTTTAGATTCTGGATGTGGTAACTATGAATAATTATGGATTACTACAAGTTTGAGAGGTATGGTAGGTGCATGTGTCACTGTTCAAGTTTTAGATGAAGGAGTTCATTCAGGTGACGCATCAGGTGTCGTACCATCATCTTTTAGAATTTAAAGACTCCTCTTAGATAGAATTGATAATCCTAATACTGGAGAGGTCGTTGAAGATTTCCAAGTCAATATTCCAGGAGAAAGATATTTACAAGCTTAAAAGGCCGCTGAAGTATTAGGAAAGACCACCTTAACAAAATTCCCATTCCATGGCACAACTTAACCAACTACTTAGGATTACTTCAAAGCATATTTGAATAGAATCTGGAAAGCATAACTCTCAGTGGTAGGAGCTGATGGATTACCTCATGCTAAAACAGCAGGAAATGTACTCAGACCTGAAACTACATTGAAATATTCATTAAGATTGCCACCAACTAAGGATCCAAAGGAGGCAGAAGCTGCATTTGTCAAGATTGTAATTATATTCTTTTGATATTTCATAGTTAACTACAAATGTTCCATATAATGCTACAGTCAAAATCACTGGATTGGGATCTGGCTCAGGATTCAATGCCCCATAAAATTAACCATATCTTGATTAACTCATCTAAAGTGCTTCCTAATTGTACTACAAGAAGGATGTATAAACCTTAGGTGAAGGAGGTTCAATTCCACTTATGAACACTCTTAAGGAATAATATCCAAAAGCTTAATTTATAGTGACTGGAGTTTTGGGACCAAATTCAAATGCTCATGGCCCAAATGAGTTCTTGCATATCCCTTTTACCAAAAACTTGATTAGCTGCATCACATACATCGTAACTGGTCTCCAAGTCCATTTAAAGAAATGATCTATAATCAAGACATATAATATTAGGAAATTATTTAATTAGGCTTCACAGTAGATCTAACGTTGTTTAAACTCCCTTTGATAAGTCTTCATAGTAAAATCCAAAATTATTAACATTAATTTTCTGTTAATGTTATTATAGAAAAATTAAAATCTTGGATTTCACTAATGAAACAATGATTATCTTTACGGTTTTAATAAGGAATTGTATGATTTTAGAATGTTTAAATTATTTAAGGTAATAATTGCAATTACCTTTACAAAAAATTATCAAAATCTAAATCAGTAGTCAATTAAAGGAGATTAAATCATAGATTATAATTATTCTTTATATTCCCTATCTTCCAAATGAGTTTAACCAAAAGCTCCTTATACTATATCTATGGGCTTTCTTATTCTAAAATAAATCAAAAAAGAATGGATTTACAGAATCTAGAAAGTCTTAATCTGAATTAGTAATTATAAATAATTATAGAATTCATATTTAAGATCTTATTTTAATCAATGAATAAATTAAGAATTAAACAAAATAAAAACTGGTTAAGGAATCAGTAAATGTACTTATAAAATCAATCAAGACTATAAAAATGATATGTTATATAATTATTTACTTTTTTTGAGTAAAAGTTAATTAATATTATGTAAATATAATTATAATAATATAACCTATGGGTGCAGTATGTTGTACAGAATAGTTTGAAAAGGGGGGAGAATTAGATACAAAAATAGTTAAGTTGGATAATAATAACTAGCAAAGTGGAAATGGAACAGCTTCTATTTCAAAGGAATTATTTGATAGTAAGGATAAAATGTAAGTATAAATGGGGATTTGCTATTAATGCTAAGTGTTGAAAATCACCTGCGAATGTAAATCCATCCAAAAATTAAATGGAGATAAAGATGATGAAGAAATATTTATACTTTCGTCTCGATCGCTGGACAGTTCATCTTTTGAATCACGTCCAGATGATACAAACACCAAAAAAACCATTTTAAAGCATTAATTACATTATGTTTCAAATGTATAATAGTAGCAAATTCCTATAAGAAAGAAGGTTAGATTCGATTTATCAAAGAAATAATGATTAACTAATTTATTTTGTTTTACTTAATATAAATATACAATCACTCTTCTTTCTATTTGTCCTCGCTTTATGCAACTTCTTTAGGGGAGATTTCATCCTCTGATTCATTTTCCTCCTGTTTTTTAAGTGAAGATTTATCATCTTCCTATTCGTTTGATTTAACTTTATTTTTTTTTTCCTTTTTTTAATTTTTATTTCTCTCAGGAACACAACAAACTAACAAATACAGAAATTATTTACTTATATAAGATAGTAAAACACCTACTAAAACAAAAGATGATAAAACAATCCATTCCTTTATATCAAAAATAGATATATCAGGCAATTCTTGTTATTTATTTCTATTTCTTTGCCTCTTTCTTCCTCCTTCTTATTAATCACTTCCATCATCACCTCCTTCATACTCTTTTTTTTATTGATTAACCATATCATCTATAGACTTAATGATTTTTAGAATTTCATTTTTTTTTGCACTCTTCTTTTTTGACCCAAACTTCCTTAAATCAGCTTTTTCAACTAAATGCTTATGTGCTTCTACATTGATTTTTTATGATTGCAATTGTTGGATAATCTAACTATTATAAATATTCTTACCTCCATTGTTTACTGAGTTGTAATGCTATCTAAACATGATTCAACTAAGGAAGCAACAGCAAACATTACTGCATCTTCTTATGTTAATCCTTGTTGAATCATTTCCCCTACAACCCTACCTGCTAACTCCTAATTAGATTATAAATAGTATCTAGAAAAGATGACACAAGCTGCATTTGTCAATTATTGTTCATCCTATATTTGAGCATAAGCCAATGACAACACTATCAATATTAACATTAATTAATTATTAATATATAAATTCTATAGTTAGATTCTAGTTTTTGTAATATTTTAAACGTAGAATTTTAGGTTTTAAAATCAAAAGCAAGAAATGTTACCTATGATAAAACTACACCTTTAAAAAATATTGTTAGGAGTAAGGAATTATTTAAATAAAAATTTAAGTATAAATCGCAAAAACAAAATAAATCATTCATTAATTACAATATGATCTCCCTTTTCTCATTTTAGCAGGCTTCTAACCAAACTTCTAATTGAGTTACTTGAAAATTAGCAATTTTAAAATGAATTAGAGGTTATTATGTGGAAAATAATCAGCATAATTCTAGACTTTATCAAAATCTTCCAAGGTTTATGAGAAGTAGCTTTCCCTTAGATACTACAATTATAAATCTTTTTCTGAGTTTTGTTGTACTTTATAAAAAGATTTGCGCTAGAATTATACAATTGATTGTTTTTTTGAATTTAACAATGTGATGGATTAAGATGGACTTTATTAATTCCGAATTTACGTATTTTTTTTCGATTGTTTTTTTATTGATAAACTTGATCTTAATTATTGGTTGTGCATTTGTTCCTCCTCATATCTAATTGAATTGCTATCAGAAGGTTTATCTTTAATACTTCCTATTTCAGATTGGCCATATAACTATGTAAAACTTTTATCATCTTAGAACTCAAGTGCAGAATTTTAAACTTCATCATTTTCTAACAAGGTTCGAAATTTGAATATCTTTCTTTCAAATTCCAAACGATCATTTTAGCGGCTAAAATTACTTTTTAAAATTTTGATATAACAATTTGGTTTGTATTGTATCAATGGACACTAGATTGAAGAGTGATTTTTCTAACTACACATTTAACAGCATTGTTTTAGAAGAGTAAAATCTTATTTGAATATTAAGGAATCTTTGATCTTATGAAACCTTTAAAAGTCTCGAGAATTTTATTGAATTATCTTTAGAACTGACTCTCTATCAATTTTGAATAATTCAGTAAACGAATTACTAATAGCTGCTTCTATTGTACATTATCCAGTAAAAAATTGGAACTCCCCAAATGTATCCCCTGGTTTCAAAATCTTAATAATCTTCTAACTCTTTTCTTCAACAATATTTACTTCCCCTTCAACTATGTAGTACCTAGATAACAGATAAAAGTTACAGATGTTTATCAAATTTATCATTTAGATGATATATCGGATCCTTGGGAGTGACTTTCATTTAAATCAATTACTTAGAGATTAATCCATTTGAAGCATCAGAGAAGTTGTTTTGAAATATCTAGATTTTATTTGAAATCTTATTTCTTATGTCTTAATTTATTTCATTCTATAAACGAACAGGTAATTAATTTAGTATAGTTTATGTTTCTATATTATTATCCTACGTTTCTTTTTCATTATTATATTTAAAATAATTCCTAACTCTTTGTTGTAGGGATTAATCTACAAAGAGTTTTTCCATATAAGAATTTAGCAAAATTAGATTTCTTCTTTAATATATATGGATTTTATATACTTATATTTGGTTTTTTATTCATTTATACTTTTGACCGTCATTCCTATTTCATTAATGGAATAAGCAAACATGCAACTCGAAAGTAACATAACAATAATTGAAAAAATAATTTCGATTTAATTTTTAGGTGTAATATCCCCATATCCAACAGTTGCTACAGTGGTGGTTGACCAATAGAATGAATAATTATATTTAACCCAAATACTTTAACCAATTATTTCCTCCTTTTCTAGCCATGACCCATGCAAATTTTGGGTAATATCACCAATATAATGCCATAAGCATGCAATAAAATGAACAAAATAAGTTAGTGTTGCAAATAGAGATATTAAATCTAGGAGATTCAAGTCTATCCCCTTAATGTATAGCTTTTCTAACTAAGATTCATACTTAGCATATATGGATTTACATATTATTATTATCAACATTAAACCTATAATTTCTCTAACATAGTTTATTGTAAAGAATTCAAAATACACTAAAATCCATAATAAACCCCGAGTAATGACATTTTATAAAGATTGACTTTAGTAATTAATGTTTTAATCGATTGCTGATTAATCCTTTGTCTAAAACAATTCAATTAAATTTATAATTAATGTATCTATTAAAATTGAGATGATAAAGTAAATTTCAATTCCTTTTAAAATATGATCGTAAATTCCAAATGATATAATGAATGGACAATACCATAATTCTAATAATTGAGAAAAAAAAGAGCAAATCTCCAAAATAGTAAATAGTAGTTTAAATTTTTTTAAAAAGTTATTAAACCATATAAGACATTTTTCTTAAGTACATTAGAAAATCTTTAAACTTACATGGCTTGAGAGAGCTTTACAAATACATAAAATAGATATAAATTTTTATTTTGATATTTATTGTTTGAAATTCGAGTTTTTTTCAAGTAAGCAATCATCTTGAAAGATTGATAATTATTTCTAATTGTTTTTGAGTATATAAGCACTAGAAAATAAATTATTTTTGAATCTTTCAACATTTTGCGTTTTTTTCATTGTTTTCATTAAATTTACTGACGGATTAACAAGTTTCTATACTTTAGGTTTGGATTAGATATTTTCAAAATTAAGTGATTCAAATTACTTTGATGAATTATAGCTTTCGATTTAGAGACTATTCTAATATTACTATAATATTTAAATAATTAACCAAATTCCCTATTTTTTCAGGTTCTTGTGGTAAAACAGATTCATTTGAAGAATCTCTTTTAATATAGTTATCTATGTTATTTATTTCAAATTAGTTAAATGGCCCTATTATAGTATTGTTTATCAATCCATCATTTGTTCTATGGCTAGAAATCATAATTTAAGAAACAAAAAGATAATAAATAATATTTAAATTAACTCATCTCTATTTTTTAATTAACTATATTTTAGCTGAATATCAAAAGATAGCATAAAAAAAATGAGTTAGGAGAAAAAAGGCAAACAAAGTTCTTTTATAAATTTCAAAGTTTTTATTCTTAATATATTTGGAAAATTATGTTCTTTGCAAATAGAGAATATATTTAAATTAGAGCTGCTATAATTATGAAATAGTAAGTAGAATATAGAATCTCTAAAAATCTTAAATATTCGTTTATTGACAATTTTTTCTAATCATCTTTTAGATAGAAAATAAATGTATGTATTAAAGTTAAATGACTATCTATAGGATTTAACTAGATCTATATAATAATTATACCCTGGAGAAAAATCACTTGATGTTACATACAAGAATTTTAATTGATCTTTACTAATTTATTAAATAATAAACTCGAAATATTTTTTCTAAACTTCGATTCAATTCAAAAGCCGTCCATGGAGTAATTTATTTTTAATTTTCTTTTAATATGATAGTTCAAATTTTATCTGAAAACAGATAATTTGAGATTAAAATTCAAGAGTAAATAATAAAATTAATATCAAAATTAATGTTACTTTCTGATTATAAATTATATCAATAGAGTTATAGAAATACTGATAAAATACTTGAGATAACAATACTCTGAGGTAAACATGTAATTTTAACTAAAATTAACAGTATCGTATTTGGGGGGGTAGGGGATTTTCGAAATTGTTTTGCTTATTTGCTAGTGTTTTTGTAATTTTTCATTGTTTTGAATTGGGATGAATCAAATTTAGTTGTGGAACCTAAATACAAAAATAGTATTCTTTTAGACTCCACATTTGAATTTATTTAATAGTCATTTGAATTTAGTTGGTTATTGCTCTTTAGAAAATAAATTAAAGAAAACTTATTCAAAAATTGATTAATCAGCCATTTATTTTAAAGAAAATAATTTGTTCATTAGTCATGATCACACAAGACAGCTAAAGAAGGAAAGAGTACTTTAAATAACGGCTCTTAATAATAAAAGAGTATTTAATTAGTTATATTACTTCAAAAGGCATTGTATATGCAAAAAATTTAATGTAATTTAAGAGCTATTATGTGAGTAAATATAATTTAAAAATTAAATATCCTTACAAGTTTTATTGTATAGAACCTTCATTTGAAAAGAATTAGATTTTTGATTTAGGATCTGAAACAGGTTTTTAGAGCATTAATTATATGTTCTATTTGGACAAAAAAATCTAGAAAAATCTTTATATTTTTTTTTAATTTTTAAGTATATCTCTATTCATTTTCAATAATAATATAAAACTGATAAGATAAGCAATGAAGAAATGATAAGTTCATATTAGAGTGTTATGAGATTTAGAAAAACCTAATCGGAATCAATTTATTATTGTCTAACAAAATAATTAATATAAATTATTATTTATTTGTAAAATTATTGAGATAATGGGATTATGTTAATCGAAAAAATAAGAATCTAAAAGAAATATTATAGTAAGATTACAGGATCATGTCAAAAAAATTGATTAAACCAATATTCATGATTAAGCCTTATTAATTTTATATAATAGTAGAAATTTGAGAGTATAGCATTTAAATGAACCGATATTGAGTGGGTTTAGCAGACAGTTTCAAAAAACATAAGAGCCTTCTCAAAAAAGCTCTGCATGAGAATTTTAGAGATGGTGATTAAATGTGATTTATTATTAATATTTTCTAAATTTAAATAGATAATATAATTTAATAATAATAATAACAATATAAGTATATCATCAAATTTAGAAATGAAAAGGCTAATATAGAGTACTGACTTTAATGTGGCAATTCCTATAAGTAGCACAAAACATGCAATTAATGATGGTTTGTTAGTTTATAAAATAATTGATAGATTACTATATGTTCCAAAAATATAAATGTTCCTCACCAGCAATTTTAGGGGATGTCTTTCGTTGTATTACACCAGTCTAAACTTAACTATCACCTATCGAATATTAATAAAAAAGTTGTTTTTCACTTTTATAAGACAACTTTGATATTTCTGTTAAGGATGTATCTCGAAAATATAATAATGTATCTCGACAATTAAGCATTTAAAAAGAAAATGAAGAGGAAACAATTAAAATTTAGAGAATTGTCAAACAGGAATAAATTATTCTTGAAGAATAAGAAATTTTAAATAAAAAATTGCAAAATCTCCGATTTGATACAAACAAAAAATTAGAGGAACTTGACCAATGTAAACCATTAAAATATTTTAGAATATCTTAAAAGGAGACAAGAAGTCATAAAATAATTATAATTCTCAATAGGTTAATATAGTAGCAACTCTAAAGATATTTAATTTAAAGAGCCTCCATTAAAAAGTGCACTAAAAAAAAAAGAAAATAAAAGATAACATACATAAGGTAAATACTAAGATACATTGAATGATGAAGATTCATAAGATGATTGGAACTTTATACATTAAGCTAAAATAAACCTTGAAAAATAAAGAACGCATTAAAATACTGATGATGAACGAACACCCTCCAAAGTTCGATTTGTTAAAACTAAAGACGCTAATTAAAAGAAGAAAATGCGAAAGAGCATTAATCTATCTGATTTAAATGTATTTATAAAATTTAGGCATTGAAACAATTTAAAATCTATCAATAATGTAAATTCAACAGTATGGCTTATCTTGATGTTGATCAAGGTCATAAAAAGAGAAGGTTTATTTTATTATTCTTCATTAAATTTATTTTAGAAAAGAACTTCCTGCTACCTTATCTCAATCTAATAAGAATTATATTTTTCTTGATTATATGTTTTCAATCATTTTCTTATTAATATAGTGCGAATCTTTAAGACTTTAGTCTTAAACAATAAAAATTAATGAAATGGTTCCATAATTTTAATCTCAATTTTCATTGAAGATAGAAATGATCTTTTTCTTAATTTAATATTATTTTAGTCATTCTATATCCCTTGTTTTTTAATTTTACTAGAACAAATTTTTGTGAATTATATTTTTTACTTTTGTTTAAATAAACTCTATTCAAACATTATTAACATAATTTTCTGTATTTTTTTATTGTTTCTCACACTTTTGATTATGGATTTTGATAATAATGAGTTAAATCTTGATCTATTTCTTGGATTCAATTTCTAAACTATTGGTATCTTTATGAATGATTTATATCAGAAGAATAGAGAATATTGATGGATTTAACACAGTTAAGTTTAGGAATTAAATAAATACCTAAAAGATATAAATTTTATTAATCTTCTCAATTTATGTTTTATAGTTTATATTTTAAAAACTTTATGATAAAGAAAGCATACCATTATTCAATAATTTTATTTCGCAGCTATTTTACATCCTAATTTTTTATTCTTATATTTTCGAAATGAAGAGCATGATTCTATTGAATATAATTGTTTAATATCTATCACAAATTTTAAATTCCTGTGAATAAAATAGTGAATCAAAGCTTCAAATTATTTAATGGAGGAGAATTTTTAATACTAAATATTTTTGATAGTTTGAAAAAAAATCCACAAATATCAACTTCAAAGGATAGGAAAACTGTCGTCTTTAGGTTTTAAAAAAGGGTTATTGAAAAGAAACCATTCAATTTTAATAAATAGATCAATACTTCTATATCACTCCAATTTATGTCAATAGAATTAAATTTATAAATTGATCAATTTCAAGATGTTCGATATCCTTACTTTCCATATTATATTCTTACTTAATCTTAAATTTTAAATGAGTGAAAAAAAAATAAAATTCCAATTAATTATTTGGAAAGAGAAAGCTTATAAATCTTTTCCATGCTTGAAACTAATTTACGATATCTCACATTAATTTTATGATTACGAAAGATGAATTTAATAAGATTAAAAAACAAAACTAATAGTAAAATGCTTGGAGTTTGATAAACATTTAATATAACCGATGTTCCTTTAAAATCTTCTTTTTTTTCTCTACAAAGTAAAATGTATATAATTAATTTTACATCAAATATTAAGACTTAACTAATAGATGTTGAAATTCTAATTCTTTATCTGCAAGGTTTTATTTAACTATTATTTTCAAAAAGAAGGTATGGGATGTAAATTTTGTAATTCGCTAGTTCTCTCCTAGCATATTTTAAACTCTAATTAATTCATTGTTCAAAATCTAAATTTTTTTTAGGACATTTCATATTTCACTAAAACACTTGAGAAGAAGAATATATTAAATTACTTCGGTCTTCTTCTCATAATAACTATAAGTTGCATTTCCAAAATGATTTTCATTTCAGAATATAATTTATTATAAACTAATTAATTTTTGAAAAACAAAAAAGAGTTAACAATTTTAATTGACGTAAATTAAATTTTGGAATTTTAGATAATTTAAATATTAATGGTACTCTACTTTTAAATACTAATGTTCTTCGCCTTAGGTATGATGCCATCACCAAAATAAATTGATAGAGGTGAAAAAACTGTTGAAATAAAAAAAATTTGCTCCCTTAAATTTTCAACTCCTGATAAATTTCCTGAACACATAATAAAATTATTGCTTCATTATCATGAATTAATAACATATGATGAGGATTGTGATTTTGAGGAATCTATTCAGAATACTAATATAAAAATTGAAGGAGCTTTGAAATTTGAGATTAGTATAAAAAACTAAGAGCAATTATATTGGGTTACAAGTACAAAAGAAGAAGCTTATGAGCTGTAAATAGATGAAAACTTAAATGTGAAGATATAAGCAAACAATCATTGGGGTTTAGCTAGAGCTCTTGATACCGTAAATCAACTGGCAATAAATAATGAAATTTAGAGTGTAATCTAAATAAATATGATATTAGTTACCTATATATATAAGTGATGAACCATAGTATGTTCATAGAGGAATTATGATAGACACAGCTAGAAACTTTTTACCTGTAAAATTAATTAAGAGAACAATAGATGCTTTGGTAATTAATAAATTAAATGTATTGCATTGGCATATTACAGATGATGAAAGTTTTCCATTGCTTTTAAGTAAATATAGTTAAATAACTAATAATTCTAAATTTTGGAAGGATGGGTTTTTTACAAAACAAGATGTATAAGAAATTATTGAATATGCTTCAATCAGAGCAGTTCAGATTATACCTGAAGTAGACACACCAGCACATGTTCATTCTTGGGGTATATCTCCAGATTTATAATCAATTGTCATAACATGTGATACGAATATCAAACAATATGGATAATTAGACCCCACTTTAGATTAAACATATGAAGTCTTAACATCTATTCTATAAGATATAGATGATATGTTTCATAAAGTATAATTCATTCATTTTGGTGGTGATGAAGCTAGTATTTAATGTTTTGAATAAAAACCATCAATTAAAGAATTCATGACATAAAATGGAATTTCAAATTATTTTGATCTTTAAGCATATTATAGAAAAAAATAAAAAGACATTTGGAAAAATTAAATTAAATCTCAAAAGAAAATAATTTATTGGTATAATAAAAAAGATTAGCTTCCAGCTGATTAAGATGACATCATTTAATGGTGGGGTCTTTCTTCCTAGCTTAATGAAGTGAAAGGCCGGTCCAATTAATTCATACTAAGTGATTACCATCCCTTATATTTGGATACTGGAGTTGGGAATGCTTTTGGGGATAGATATGATAAATATTAAGGATGGAAAGATGTTTATAAGTGGAACCCAAGTATTCCACATAATTTTTAAGGAACTATATTGGGGGGTGAAAGTCTTCTTTGGGGTGAAACTAATAACTAAAATACTCACTTCTAAAAATTATTTTTAAGATCTTCAATTTTAGCTGACACGTAAATAAAATTTGTATAATAGTTTATGGAACCCAGACTAAAAGCAAGATGAATTATTTCCAAAATTCGCAAAGAGATTAAGTGACATGGAGGATAGAATGAACAAATATGATTTCCCTGTCTCTCCATTTACTCATAGTTATTGTAAAAGACAACTAGATTTATGTTTTCCAGAGTCTTATTCAACAAAATTAAAATTGTTCTTCATGTTTGTTATAGTTNTAAAATTATTGCTTCATTATCATGAATTAATAACATATGATGAGGATTGTGATTTTGAGGAATCTATTCAGAATACTAATATAAAAATTGAAGGAGCTTTGAAATTTGAGATTAGTATAAAAAACTAAGAGCAATTATATTGGGTTACAAGTACAAATGAAGAAGCTTATGAGCTGTAAATAGATGAAAACTTAAATGTGAAGATATAAGCAAACAATCATTGGGGTTTAGCTAGAGCTCTTGATACCGTAAATCAACTGGCAATAAATAATGAAATTTAGAATGTAATCTAAATAAATATGATATTAGTTACCTATATATATAAGTGATGAACCATAGTATGTTCATAGAGGAATTATGATAGACACAGCTAGAAACTTTTTACCTGTAAAATTAATTAAGAGAACAATAGATGCTTTGGTAATTAATAAATTAAATGTATTGCATTGGCATATTACAGATGATGAAAGTTTTCCATTGCTTTTAAGTAAATATAGTTAAATAACTAATAATTCTAAATTTTGGAAGGATGGGTTTTTTACAAAACAAGATGTATAAGAAATTATTGAATATGCTTCAATCAGAGCAGTTCAGATTATACCTGAAGTAGACACACCAGCACATGTTCATTCTTGGGGTATATCTCCAGATTTATAATCAATTGTCATAACATGTGATACGAATATCAAACAATATGGATAATTAGACCCCACTTTAGATTAAACATATGAAGTCTTAACATCTATTCTATAAGATATAGATGATATGTTTCATAAAGTATAATTCATTCATTTTGGTGGTGATGAAGCTAGTATTTAATGTTTTGAATAAAAACCATCAATTAAAGAATTCATGACATAAAATGGAATTTCAAATTATTTTGATCTTTAAGCATATTATAGAAAAAAATAAAAAGACATTTGGAAAAATTAAATTAAATCTCAAAAGAAAATAATTTATTGGTATAATAAAAAAGATTAGCTTCCAGCTGATTAAGATGACATCATTTAATGGTGGGGTCTTTCTTCCTAGCTTAATGAAGTGAAAGGCCGGTCCAATTAATTCATACTAAGTGATTACCATCCCTTATATTTGGATACTGGAGTTGGGAATGCTTTTGGGGATAGATATGATAAATATTAAGGATGGAAAGATGTTTATAAGTGGAACCCAAGTATTCCACATAATTTTTAAGGAACTATATTGGGGGGTGAAAGTCTTCTTTGGGGTGAAACTAATAACTAAAATACTCACTTCTAAAAATTATTTTTAAGATCTTCAATTTTAGCTGACACGTAAATAAAATTTGTATAATAGTTTATGGAACCCAGACTAAAAGCAAGATGAATTATTTCCAAAATTCGCAAAGAGATTAAGTGACATGGAGGATAGAATGAACAAATATGATTTCCCTGTCTCTCCATTTACTCATAGTTATTGTAAAAGACAACTAGATTTATGTTTTCCAGAGTCTTATTCAACAAAATTAAAATTGTTCTTCATGTTTGTTATAGTTTATTTAATATGAAACTGCGTTTCAATATATACAAATTTATTCTAAGGATATCATAATAAAGAGAAAAAGTTTCACTTTAACAAGGCATTGAGTTGGTGTATTTTATTAAAAATGAATGGAAGAATTTAATTAGTGTTCAATTTTCATTTTTTTATTCTCCCTACTAATCTATAAAGAGTTTTATTTTTTATTAAATATGATA